TTAACCTTTCATTTCTGTGGCTTCTTGGGGAAGTAAGTTTGGCCTAACCTCAAAGACCAAATGACCCTTAAAAGTAAGGGCCGTTTACCCTTATACTGTGAATTCTTATATGGTATATGAACCTTAAACCCTTTATTGTACATTTCGTCCTCAAGGTGGCCCCTAAACGGGCTTATGGTTTAGGGTTGAAGGAGTATAGGGTTTGAGGGTTTAAGATTTCAGGTCTAGGCATGTCAGGATTTAAGGCGTTTTAGGATACCCTAAGGCTCAAAATGACCCAAAAGCCTTAGAAAGTATGAACTTTGGGTCCAAAACCCTTAATATATGAGTCCCTAGAGCCTTCAAGATATTAGGGTTTTTACGATGTCAGGATTTATGGTGGTCGAAGGTTCAGGGTTGCAGTGAGTCGGGCTGACGGAACGCCTCCCTACTAGGCTTCCTTCGCACTGCTGAAGGACAACGATGCTTAACAAGTCTCAGAACGAGCGCCGGAAACCTTAAACATTTAAGCTCTAAACCCGTAACCCTCAACCCTAAACTCTAAACCCTAGACCCTAAACCCTATAAGCTCCAGATCTCCTTGTCTGGAATACCTTCCGGGGTGCTTTTCTGGAGACAGATCAGGCAGTCACGACAAAGGAGCTGTAAAACGAACCTTCAAACCCAGAATCCCGGACCCCAAACCCTAAACCCTAAACCCCGAACCCTGACCCTAAGCCCCAAGCCTTAAACCCTATGTACCCAAAACACTGAATCCTACCTTCAACTACCAAAAACCTCCATTTTTGTGGGTTCTTATGATAAACCCTAATTAATATGGACTTTAAAGGGACCCTACCAAAAAAAGTAGTTTCTTGTAGGTTATAAGGCCCTAAACCCTAAACCCAAACACCCTAAACCCTAACCCCTACACCATAAACCCTAAACCCTAAACCGCGCGCGGAGCTTAGCTTCCCCGGTGCCAGGGGCTGCTGTTCCTTCATCTCACGCAAGCACCAGATCCAGACACTTGGAGAAGGGGGGTTTTAGGATTTAGAGTTCAGGGTTTAGAGCTTAGGGTTTGCCGGCTCATTTAGAGAGGTTTTGCGGTTTTTTAGGGTTTGAGTTTAGGGTTTGAGTGTCTTTAGGGTGTAGGAGTTCAGGATTTGTGGTTTCTTGAGGGTTTAGGAGCTTACGGTTACCTCGCGGTTGCCGGTTTCAGGCACTTTGGAGTCTGGGCTTTCGGGTTTAGGCTTTAGAGTTTGGGTTTTAGGGTCTAGCTGGGGTCGTTTCGGTCTATAGGGCCTTGGATGGTTTACTTACCTTTGGTTAGTAGGGAATGGAGGAATGGGGTACAATTATAACTACTGTTCCTACCGTTCTTCCATTCCCTACTAACCAAAGGTAAGTTTAGGGCTATTTTAGGGTTTTGGGTTTGGGTTTACGGCCTTGTAAGTCTTGAGTAATATAGACTCCTGATTTAGAAAACCCTTTGCTTGAGAGGAGACTCGGAGAATACTGCTCTCCCTAGCATAAACCTTATCGAGAGAGAGGGGTTGATTCATCGGGGGTCTACATTACCCTGAATGGAAGGTAACTGCTGTGTTTTCTCGGGCTACGCGTAGACTGAGGCTTTAGGTGTCCGCGTTTTGGGGGAATGCGGACTGCATCACAGGCCAAGGTAGCTCATTACCGACATCGGGAGACTTAATGGGCCATGATAAGTCCAGCAAAACTCGCGGTTTTGACGGAGCAGTCCTTACAAGAAGGTGTGACAAGGGGGTATTGTCCACAGAGTCTATAGTGACAGTGCTCAATGGTCATCCGTGTAGCTTGAAGCCCCAGACCCAATACTATAGGTGTCTGAACTGGCACTAACCTTAGTCCTCCTCATTTTCCGTCAAAATCCACCCCCCCCCCCCCCATTCCCAGACCTACTCTTACTGCCAAGGCCATTAGTTTCTCCGTTTAGCCTTCAGGATACTCCCAGCACCGCCTTCAATGCCTCCGCCTGCATCACCATCGATGGACTGAATCGCGGGGGCTAGTTTCACATCGTCGAATTATACTTGTAGGGTCGGGGGACTTACTAAGTAGTTATTTTAGAGACTTATAATTACCATAACCCTACTTAGAATCCCTTTTAGGGTACTTATAACTCTACTTATTATCTACATACTAAATCCCCCGACCCTCCAAGTAGCCAGATCCCGGGAGAAGAGGTGCACACCCCTCAACCCCTACGGCTTCGAACTTAGAGATTTTAGGGCTCAGGGATTTAAGGTTTAGGGTTTAGGGGTTTAGGGTTTAGGGGTTTAGGGGTTTAGGGTTTAGGGGTTAGGGTTGAGGGGTTTAGGGCCGCCGGCTTAGGTCCGTGGCCTAGGATGTGCGGTCAGCAATGTCCAGGTTGGTGCCTTGCACACAGGGATTACATGAAGGTGCTAGTCACTCAGTATTAACTGAAAATATGCAAGGTAGTTGGGCTTCTTAGGGGCGCTGCGCACGTGGGGTATAGGGCATCCCTCTAAATTCAAGATGTGCCTTGTTCACGCTTTACTATCTAATTGCTTATTATAATCCTCAGGGTCCAAGTACCATACTCTCCCAAATAAGTAACCTGCAGAACCACTGTGCGAAACCTAAGGACCAACTTGTTGGGTCCTCTGGACCCTTAGAGTGACGGCTCCTGCACCCTTAAACCCCGAGGAGAACTCCTTAAGTGACCTCGCTCGCCCTAAGGGTCCACAGGAGGTACTTGCGCATGGCATAGTAGTTGTGTAGGGTAGTTCTTCGTGTGAATATTCGCCACCTGGACCCTTACCTTGAGATCCGAAAACCTACCGTTTTAAGGGTTCTACCCTCTAGATAAGGGGTCATAACCTACTATTTTGTAGGGTTTGGGGATACAGGTACTTGGAAGGGCAGGGGGCTTAGTAAGTAGGTTATAAGTAGAGTTATAAGTACCCTAAATGGAGTTACCCCAATTATAACCCTACTTAGAACCTACTTACTAGGGCCTTAGGGGACTCCTAGTTGGCGAGACACTCACCATTCACAATTCTCAAGTCGTTCCATCTTGGGGTTCCGGGCCATCTCTTTCGCTCCTGATGTCCTGGCATAGCAGTGATGACCGAAGAAATGCTGAAGACCGAAATTGTCTTCATGCGGGTCTGTTTAAACGATCCAAAGTGTTCATGTGCTCGGCAGTTGGTGGCTGAAATTGGCATGATGATGTGGAGAATCACTCATATGTTTGAGTCCTGAACCTGCGCAGCCTTACAAACACTTGGAGGGCCAGAGGACTTCGTAACGTTATGAGCAGGCTAGAGACACAGGCGCCCCATCTGCTGGTATCCTCCTCATAGCTGTTCATCATACCCAACTTTTTGGGGGATACCTTATCTCAAGGAAACCGATAAGCACCACATAACAGGAGTTGCCTACGACCTTCTGCATACTTTCGAAGTCCTCTGATCCTCTAAGCTGTTTGGGTATTTGGTGCCCTGTTGCCCATCGATAGATGGCTTTGCTCGGAGGCTCGTAAAGTTGTTTCGAATTGAGAAGCACCGGTTCTGTCTTAGTGGTTCTATATGGCCAGGTTGGTGACGAGCCTTGTGAACCGGGATGAGTCGCCAAGCATCGTAGAACAGCAGGCGGTTTAGGCCCGTGCGTATCCCGCAATGGCGGGATACTTTTTCCAGACGGATTTGTGCGTATGCTTGCCGCAAACAGGCATGATCAGCCCCTAAACCCCTAAACCCTAAAACCCTAAGCCCCAAACAGGCCACATCAGCGGTTGGTTTTGGCTGCTCAAAGTCTAGATTGTCGCCATGCAGGTCTCAAGAGTTCAGCCCAGAGGGCTTGAGATGTTGAGTTGACCCTAAACCCTATATAAACCTAATAATATGGGAGCTTCTTATTATATGGACCCCAAGATAAGGTACCCCTAATTTATCGGAAGCTCCGATATAAGCCCTAAACCCCAAAGCCCTAAACCCCTAAACTTAACACCCTAAAGCCCTAAACCCTTAAACCCTAAACCCCAAGGCCCTAAACTCCAAACCCTGAGCCGAAGGAACTAATCATGGTTGGGAACCTCAGACTCTCAGCTTCCCCGAGACTCTGTGGCTAAGGCAGCGGAGAGCGCTTCCTAGACCCAAGAGTAGCCTAGGAATAAAACGGGTGCCCTTTTTGGGCTGAAGGGGGTTATAAGAAGCCCAAAACCCTAAAAAAGGAAATAAGGGCCTACTCTGGGTCCTAGATTCCTAGCAGACCCAGGAACCCTAAGTTTGAGTCGCCCACGGCTCCTCATCTTATAGGGCATTTTGGCCCAAGTACCATAATAAATGAGGCTTTTCGGCTATTTTGAGCTCTGGTGTCATTTTAAAGATCAACCCAATGCCCTAGACCCTAAACCCTAAACTCCACAGTAAACCGTAGCCAAAACCCTGTCCCAACAACTTTGACTTCAGGGCCATGGACGGTTTGGGAATGGGGCTCTTGTCTGCAGCGTCCCGATTAAAACTAGCTGATCGGGGTTCCATAATCTGCTATCGTGAGAGCCGCATGCTCAGTGATTAAGGAGCACAGGTTGACTGTTATGGATTTCAATAGAGTTCTATATGTATTTCAGTGTCCTCAGTTGAGGAATTCGTCTGAACCACAAGGGGCCGCATACTATGGTTCAAGATCGAATCCCCAGCTATGGAGGAGTGGCCCCATCTTGATTGAGGCTAGTGGTTTCTCGCATCCTTTGCGCCAGCACGAAAGCGTCAAGCAGCCAAGCTGTACTAAACCCTGCCCCTAAAACCGTAAACCCTGAACCCTACTATTTGCTTAAGAACCCCAAAAAATAAAAAACATAATCCTTATTGGGGTAATATAGGGATTATTATTTTTATTTTTTTGGGGGGGTTTCTTAAGCAAATAGTAGAACCTGAACCCCAACTTAATCCCTAAGCCTGAGCTCCTCTGAAAACCGCTGAAGCCTCTTTTCACCCCTACGGCCCGGCCTTGCTAAGGCTACTTTGGTTTCCACCGCTGTGGACCAAAGGTCCAGGCTATACGTCGGTGCCCCAGGTTTTTGGAGTTCCGCAGACTCGACCGGGATTGATGACCCACACCTAAGCGCCTCAGAATTAGGTACTTGGGTTCGGGATAGCGGTTTTGTAGACTTGTATTGTTAAATTATTTACTTGATTATTGCGCACATGGACATTTATAGGGATAGAAGAGGGGACCCTAATATTTCGGGTTCCTATGCATTAACCCTGAGTCGACACTAGCATGTACCCAGGCTTGGGTGATGAGCCTGGAAACCTCTAATGTTCCCCAAAGGGGGTGGTGTAGGGAATAAGGCCCACACTCAAATTTCTTAATTCATGAATGTGCCTTTAGCTGTTGAGGTATCCTCAAGCTCTATGTGTTCCCCAAGGGGGTGGTGTAGGGAATAAGGCCCACACCTGAATTCATAGTTTTATGAATTTGACTTCAATTGTTGAGGTATCCTCAAAATTATATTCCTTACTTGCCGGGGGGTTTGGAGCCTCCGGGTTTAGGCAGGGGAAGAAGGCAGGCTTGTTGCAAGAGCTTCAGCTTGACAACAGCGAAGCAAGGAGCAATATGGGGTCGGACTAAGGTACAAGCAGTATATGTTTGGGCACCAAAGTACCCAAAAGGGCTCACTTTGCGGTCGAAGTCTCTCTCTCTCTCTCTCTCTCTCTCTCTCTCTCTCTCTCTCTATATATATATATATATATATATATATACACACACACAATCTGGGCAACGCAAGTTTCTGGTGCAGGGTTCAGGGTTTAGGATTATAAGACTTAGGATTTAGGGCTTCGCTGTAGAGTGTAGGGTTTAGAGATGTTTAGAGCTCAATTACCTTAAGGGTGATTTAGGATTTAGGCTTCAGGATTCAGGGTTTTGGGGGCTGCTCCTGTACACACCTGACTTCCAGTCCATGCGATTCAACCCTTTAGGTTTTGTAATGCTCAACCCTAAACCCCGAACCCCTCGACCCCAGACCACCAAACACTAAACCCCTGAACTCGTAAACCAGCCCCAAACCCCAGACCCTAAACCCGTTAACCTTCACCCTGACGACTAAACTCACTCCCAGACCTAAGAAACTCCCATTTCCCAAACTTGTGCTTCCGGGTCGAAATCTCCAAACTGAAACCCTAAACCTTGATCCCGAAACACCTACACTCCGAAACCCTGAACAAAGCCATCTTAATTCCCACAGGGAGCCAGTTGTCCCTTAATTGACCATATTCATGCCCCCATAACTTTGAGTTCTACTCCTTCTGTAAAGAGTGCTGGGCTCTGCAAAACCTGATGGAGGGTTTTAATATCAATCCGCCTCCAATAATTTACGTCTAATTCTTACTAGCTCTTAATCATGTAAAGCGAGCTGGAGTATGCTGGAATTTGATGGTTAAGGCCGAGGGTTTAGAGGGTTTCCGGATCGATCCTGAAAGCTTTGGTGCCCCAGCAGGCTTGCGCGGCGGAGAATGAGCTTCCTCTGCCCTTGGCTTTCTCCGGTCTCAGGTGCCCAGGTATACTAGATAGTCCTTAGGGACATTCTGGCTTAAGAAGGTTGTCTTTCCGAGCAATTTTCAGAGGCTTTCTACGGGTATCCCAGTTTAGGATGCGAGCAAGAGTTGAGGGGTTTGGGTTTATGGTGAACCCCAGAAAGTTGCAGCATTGATTTAGGGTGATTGAGCCAGAATTCCCTCTAATTTACCTTAAGAGCATGAGGATAATGATGTTCCCACTTTCTGGCTTCTTCTGTAGGGTTGAAGCTTCATCGCTTAATACTGGTTCAGGTGCTTAGGCTTCCTCGTGAGCTGCAGCAAGTTGGGTGGTTGTCCAACCCTCAGGGTCCAAGTACCCACATAGTAGGGTTTCAAGGTCCAAAAACCACTCAGAGTATGGATTTTGGGGACCTAAAACCCTACTATTTGGGTACTTGGACCTGGACCCTCTGGGAAAATTATGGTCCCTTGTTGGGCACCCCTATTAGTGTTAGGTGCCGTGCTTATATTAGGGACCCAAAGAGGGACCATAATCTTGACAACCACCCAGGTAGAGCATGGCTTTGGACCGACAAGTGTTTGGATTCGCTTTATGGCTTGAGGATGAGACTTGCTGCCCTAAGGGTCCAGGTATCTCTTTAGAAGGGTCCGGAATGTCATAGGGAGAGTCCTTAGTTTCTCAGACACCTTCCATTTTTGAGGTTCCCCAATGTGTTAGCACCCTTAGGGTAACCATGAAATATGTGCCAGAAAGTTGGAACACCTGGATCCACACACATATGGGTAGTTGTCAAAATTATGGTCCCTTTTTGGGTACCCTACATAAGAGGTGCCGTATTAAAATAGGGACCCAAAAAGGGATCATATTTTTGACAACTACCCATATGGTAACCTCAAATCTCGGGGTTGCGGCACAGTAAAGAACCCGAAGTGTTGCAGCCTTTATGGCAACGAGGGCAAGCCTCTAAGCACGAAGCGCTCGTCCAAACCTCAAACCCCGAAGCACAAGACCCTATAACAGCAAATAACTCGAAAGACCTTGTAATAATGATTACCTATACTATTTTGGGGGTTCCTTCTTATACTTTTGGTTAATGTACCCCAAAACCCGATTCAAACAAGTGTCCTTCTGGAACCTGTTCGGAAACGCGCCCAAAGGGATCGTATAAACCAGGCCAGAGTTTCATGGCTTGGCCTTTGCACCATCAGGTGCCCATGCCCGCCGACAGAGTTGGATCAGGCATGCTTCAGGTTGTTCACCAGACCCCCAAAACTAGGTATAATAATGGCCCAAAGCCTATAAAAGGCTATTATTCTACATACTTTGAGGGTCCAGGCAGGGTCAAGGTTTGAAGGTTTGGGTGTACAGGGTGTGTGTGGCCTGGGAGGTTAAATAATCAAAGGGGAAAAGGAGGGACCCTTAATCTGGACCCCTACCCTATAATGGTCTATATAATGGTTACATAATAGCTATATTAAGGGTATATACCTAGGGGTCCTTATTAAGGGTCCCTCCTTGTACCCCTGGAAATATAAGCATCATTCACCATGATCTCTGAATATTATCAGCCCTTCGAGCCGTGGAAAGCAGATTCCGGACCTTAGCGAGAAAATACTTCAGCCTCAGACCCCAACCCAAAATCCCAAAAAATCCCTCAAGCTCCAACCCCAAGGGTCCAAAGGACCCCCAAAAATTGGGTATTCGGCTTTAGGATAGGTTAGGATTTTGGAGAGTATATGATTATTAGGTACTTGGACCCTTGGGGTAATTTATCCTCAGGGCTTAGGGTGTGCACTGGCCTAAATGCCCAGCCAAGCGACGCAGAATGCTGTCTCGAGACCTCGGTCACGAGTGACAGGGTAGAGAACCCTTGAACTCTTCACCCGGAAACGGAGTCACACTTGAACGATGTTTAACATCAACGATGCTGGAGCTACAACAGGCATCCTATACTGAACAAAAAACTCTAAGCCCCTTGAACCCTAAGCTTCAGGCGGTCTTTAATTCGGCATTGCGGAACTCAAGACTCAAAACCTACTCAATGCACCTTTATAACGAAGGGCTACGCTACACATGTATTTGCATCTGCATCTACAGGGTAAATCACCGCACGACTGTATGAAACTAATTATTATAAACGTTCTGTATGCATGCATGCATGTATGCATGCATGCATGCATGCATGCATGCATGCATGTGTGTGTGTGTGTGTGTGTGTGTGTGTGTGTGTGTGTGTGTGTGCATGTGTGTGTGTGTGTGTCCAGTGCATATGTGTACATCTGTGTATGTATGGGTATGTATGTGTCTGTGTGTGTTAGTGTGCGCGTACGTGCTTGCATGTGTGTGTATATATATATATATATGTGTGTATGCATGTGTAATTAATGATGGAGAGATGGCGGGATGGAGCGATGGAAGATGGCTGTCTGGATGTATGGATGGGCGGAGGGGTGGATGAGTACATCTGTGCACGCATGCATGTATCTTTGTAAGCATGCGCAAGGGCGTCAGTGCATGAGAATGTTGAAATACCTCCCCCCAGCCAGATTTCGAAGTCAAACCCATTTCACTCTTCAAAGTTGATTCCTCGAGCTTTCCAGATTGATGGCATCGACGGGACGGCTTCACAAGGCGTCGATTGCGAGCTTCCAGGGCTGAGTGTGGCTGAAGTCTGGGCTCCTTTCAGGATCAGTGTAGCGTGGAGCTTGCCTGTAGGCTGATACCCTACCCCTGTTTTAGGGTATCTACTTTCGAACAACAGATCCTCGCCACAACACTATAAGCGTCCTCAAACAGGGGTAGGGTATGAGCCTCTAGGCAGGGGTATGCGGCCAAGGGTTTAGCGAGTCAAACAAAGTTATCATAATAATAAACCGCAGCACCCGTTGCTCTAAACGGCACGAGCTGGGGACTGCTTGTAGACCTTGGATGCCCCCCCCCCCCAGAGTAGGTCTCCTTCGAAAACTTGGGGTGTGGCAGCACAACAGGCGAACTTGCATTAAGTTCTTAAGGCTTACAGTAGAAGCCAGAAAGTTGGAATATCATTATCGTAACCCCTTTAAGGTAAATTATAGGGGATCCTACCATTAATCCATATTCCAACTTTCTGGAGTTCCCTTTAAAGAACTTTGTCTCTGAGATCCGATTTTTTTTTGCCTTCAGGCTTTCGGGCTTTTGAGCTTTAGGGTCACAAGCTTTTTGTGCCATAGGGGTTGATGATATAAATCCTGGGGTCCCTTTAAAGGGATCTATAAGGGTACCTCTAAGCGGCTCCTTTAAGGGAGCTATAGGGGGTTTAGGGTTTAGGGTTGATGATATAAATCCTGCATAACCCATGATAAGGAATATACCCATAGTTCCCATAGTCTAGGGTCCTTAAGGTAAGGCAGGATTTCTATATCATAACCCTAAACTGTGGGAATTATGGTGTATTCCTCATTCTGGGTCATGCAGGATTTATATCATCAACCGTAGGCTTGTGCGTTCGGAACGTATGTTGGACCGCACCCGCACCAGGGACCTTCTGAACTTTTTGAGGGGCTCTTCTCTAAATCCCAAACTCTAAACCCTAAGTCCTAAACTCTTGCATGCCATGTTGATTCGGAGCTTAGGGTGCAGGACGTAAGGAAGCACGACCAGGGTTTAGGACAAGCTTAGGCTTCTGTTTTCTTTGGGGGGTTGGGGGTTTCAACAGGGTTTAGGATTGAGGGTTGGGGTTTGAAGGGCTAGAAGGGTTTAGGGGCTTCAGGGTTTAAGGTTTAGGATCTAGGATTTAGGGTGCAGTGTCGAGGGTATTCCGGAACCGCACTGAATACCAATGCGGTAGATCACGTGCTGAAGGGTTTTCTGTTTCAGGGGGAGAATGGGATATGCAATGCGATGCACATGTGTGGTCGAAAACCTCAAACACACAAAGTCCAGTCCCTTGTAACGGCCTTCGATTGTGTTTGCGGTTCGATTGTGTTTTTGCAGGCAGGCTACAGGGCCTATCCAGCCGCCTGCCATTCCTATGTGTTGGTCTGTGCCTGCCTTGAGACAGACACATGCAGAGCTCGAGGTTGATATCATCGCGAGATGGAGGAGCTCCTGTCGTCTTGCGCAGTAGGGCACTGCCACAGTCCGGGATTTAGGACTGACTCGATCTCAAACCCTAAACCGTTATAACCTCCCTAAACCCTAAACTAAACCCTGAACCCGAAGCTCCCAAAAGCCCTTTACGTAAACAAAAATCCCAAACCCCTAGACCCCAAAACCCCTAAGCCTTAAAGCCCTACTAGAGAGGCCTGAATAATCACCCATACTCTTTGGAGGCTCCTTGTTATAATTATATACTGTAAACCATACGCCAAAACCTTATTCTAATTTTTAACCTTATAGTAAACCCTACAATCTGACGATCCACTGCCCTCCGAGCCCTGTCGCAGTCGACCGCGGCGTGATGGTTCATTGGGAAGCATTTGAGGCCCGCTGACCAGGGCAGTATCGGGGCTAGGGCTCCTTAATGGGTTCCTTCAAGAGCGACGCTACTATAGAACCTTCATAACCCTTAATAATGAGAATGAGGTTTCTTTCAGAGCTTCTAGAAGGGTCTTAATTGGGGCTGATGGGGTTCATTACGGTCTTGGTATAGGGGGCTTTGAGTCTACAACTAGCATCGGATGTTGGTGTATGTAGAAGCCAGAAAGTTGGAATATCATTATCGTAACCCCTTTAAGGTAAATTACAGGGGATCCTACCATTAATCATATTCCAACTTTCTGGAGTTCCCTTTAGTGCAGTATAAAAGTGAAATAAGGAGCCGTACGGAATACTGCGCCTGAAAATTCAGGAGCCTTCATATTACCCAGAGGCTCCATAGTAGTTCCTCTTTGGGGGTTCATAAATAGAAACCTATAAGGTAACCTCCAAAAGGAACTACTATGGAGCCCGGTTTCCGAACATTAGGGGTCCCCCATTTTGGGGGGCCTTATAATAAGGATCCTACTATGTAGGGTAATCTATTGGAGTTCCCTATTTTCGGAAACTACCATATTCAGGAGCCTTCGTATTACTTGTCCCGACCGAAGTTCTTGGACTTGAACAGGGTTTGAGACTGCTTGTTGCCTAGTAGCTGAGTGGGTACACTTTACATTTTTTGGAATAGTATTTCCCACTATAAAACTGAAAGTGTAAAACTTCTTAGGGCTTAGGAACTCAGCAACCAACTAGGGTGACCGCCCTGCCGTCGCATGGGATGGGGATTCTGCGGGGATCCTTTGTACCCTTTCCCTCCAATGCCCAGAGGTTTCAGGGCCCTAATTCTACTAGACTAGAGCAAAAACTATAGAGGGACCCGGAAGAATCCTTAACCCCAAGCCCCAATTCTAGACCCTAAGCCTTAACTCTAAACCTAGACCCTAATTCCCTTAACTACCGTGTGTTGCATTCTCTGGGTGAAACGAAGGCGCTGCTCGCACTTCCGAACGATCGTCCGATGCTCCTTTCCCTCGGCGGCCCCGGTTGTGCACAGGCACGGATGCCCATTTAGGGTTTAGGGTTTTGAAAAATTTGGGACAAAAAGCCAGATCAGGGCCGTGAAACTTCGATTTTGGTTTGGGGGGGTATGCTATTCTCTAAGCCCTAAATCCTACACGCCTAGACCCTATAAACCCCGAAACCCTAAGCCCTCTAGCAGCATCTTTTCGGATCTATCCAAGAAGATTAGTTGCTAGTATTGATGCTTCACGTGGTAGATGAGTGGATACACTTTACACTTTTGGGGATAGTACTACCCACTATAAAACTGAAAGTGTACACTTTTTGGAGCTTATGAACTCAGCAAATGGGAGTTTCCGAAAATTAGGGGTACCCTATGTTGGGGTCCTTAATATAAGGATCCTACTATTTAGGGTACTATATTAGGGTCCCCTATTTTCGGAAACTCAGCAAATAGGTTCAGTATTCAGACCCCGGTTCTCGAAACCTCGCCACGGGCCCCCGAAGCAGCTCTTAAGAGAGGCCGTTTCCCTCATTGTCCATGCACCAAAATAGACTTTGCCCCCAAATAGGGACCACTTTAAGGCCAAAGTATAGGTTTAGGAGTTTAGGGTTTGGGGTTTATACTATTTGCGCACATGGACCTTTAGGGTTTAGGTCCGTCATAGTGGCGATTTATGCTTAGCAGGGGGGTAGTTAGGTTTAGGTTTGCCCCCTTACAGTAAGAGTCTATGATAGGGCTACTGTTAAAGTCCTAATATCTATATTATGAATTTATTCAACTATTACTGAGTGGGGGCCATACCCAAGGTTTAGGTGTTAGGGTTTGAGGTCGGAGGTCTCGGTGTCTCCACCGTACTTACATACGGTTGATGATATAAATCCTGCGTTACCTCAAGGACCCTAAACTATGGGAATTATGATATATTCCTTATTTATGAGTAAGGCAGGATTTATATTATCAACAGTACAGGTTGTGATGCCCCACTCAATCAGGTACCAAGACCAGCAGTTTTGGCACAAGAAGTTCATCGATAGTTCGGAGCCCGAATATGTGGCCCTCAAGACGACGAGGGCATCTTGCGACCGGCCTTCCATGCGGCCGACTACATGATAGATGAAGCTCCCCGACCGAAACTCCAACCCTAAACCCTAAATCGGGTGACAGTCGGCCTTGGAGACCCAAAGAGTCGATATGGAACGCCGATGAAAGCGCCGAGAGCTTCGGCAAAGAACCGCAGGGACAAGAGCAAAAAAACCCAATCATAGATGGTGGGCCCTCCACTGATTTTGGGGCTTAAGTAATTACGGTTCCCTTGTTATAATTATAGTATCATGGGCCCCAAAACCCTACTCGAATTATGAAGGCCCCTATAGTACCATTATAGATCCCTTATAGTAGCCCTTATAGACCCCTTTAAACCCTATTAAGGCCCCTACATTACCCCAGGGGTCCAAGTACCTAATAAATCATATACTCTCCGAAATCCTAACCTACATAACTACTGTCCTAAAACCGAGTACCTTATTATTGGGTCCTTTGGACCTTAAAACCCATAAAACCCCAATATAATCCTAAGAAAACCTTCTACAACCCTTATAGAACCTTCTAAGAACCCTTATTATTGGGTCCTTTGGACCCTTGGGCTTACTTAGGGTCGTTGTTGATTTTTTTCGGCCTCAACTTCAACCTGGCTTGCGGAGCTGCCGCAGGTGATGCATCGACCCGAAACCGCAAATCCTAAGCCCTACACCCTAAGAAGACCTTCGGGCAGACGGAAAAGAGGGTTCAAAAATAAAACAAGAAGCCCTAAACCCCGACCCCTCAACCTTACAAAAACTCCAATAAACCTTAAACCCCAAAATCTAAGTCTTAAAAAAAGAGAGCCTAATAAACCCTACACCCTGGCCTCGAAGGTTTCCAGAAGAAACCAAAGAGCTGACTGCCCGCTCTGGAACTCTCTCTACGGGCTTAGGTCATAGGAGGCCAAAAGGGGTTTTAGCCTATGGGGTTTTAGTAGGGATTAGGGTTACATTAATGGGGTTCATATTAAGGAATCCCTACCCCAAGAATCTTAATTCCCCTTTTGGCCGGTTTAGGGGTTTACCCACTGGCTCTATAGTAATTCCGTTTGGGGGTTCGTATTTAGAGTTCTGTAAGGTATAACCCCCAAAAAGGAACTAATTACTGTAGGGCCTATGCGTAGGGTTCTACGATCATGCTGAGAGCGGATATCATTGGCACCACCGTTTCGGCACAGTTGTGAGTCAGATGCTTGGACTTCTTTCTTGTCCTGTGTGCGCATGCTACAGTTCAGGGAAACCGAAGCGACGCTGCGTCCTGCTCGGTACACTACCCTAAACTTGAACCCTAAGCCCTAAACCCTAAACCTTAACTCCTAAGCCCTAAACCCTAAAACCCTAAACCCCAAGCCCTTTAAGATCTGTCTTTCGAGATCTGCTTCAAGATGCCTTCATGGTGGAGAGGTTTTTTGAAGGCTTTGGAGGCATAGGAATTGCTGGACTCATGGGGGTGCTGGGGGGTGGGGTGTTGGCTCCAGAACTCGGTTATAAATACGTAATAGAATAAGCTTCCCGAGAACTGCCTGCAACCCCGATTAAGATACTTATTGAATCTCCCAGCCACCTTTAGCCCTTAAGCCCAAAGCCCTGGACCAGAAGAACTTCCCTCAAGAGTCCTGCAGGCTGGAAAGTCGAGTCTTCTTGCCGAGCTTCTGGGGATTTCTTGCGCCGTCGTCGACCGCACCGAGGCCGTTTAGGGTTTAGGGTTTTCCGTTTATATGCGGTGCTTGCTGCCTTCATGACAATCATCAAGAAAGCATGTGGCTCAGGTTAGTAGATGTCTGGTAACTTTTCTGCTATACAGACAAGCCAGCTCGGAGTGCGCATCTTGAAAATCGAGCATATGTACACAACCTGTACTACACGCACGTGTACATATACATACAATATGCTTATACAGATGCATGCGCTTATGTATGACTGTTATTGTTACGCGTTATTGTTCTGGTTGTTCTGGCTGTTGCGTGGGTCTAAAGCCCCAATCTCCAAGCCTTCAGCCCTGGACTCTAAACCCAAAGCTACACGAAATGCAAGCAATTGCGATCAGCCTAAGGGTCCAGGTATCTCCTTAGGAGGGTCCGGAATCTCCTAGGGAGAGCCCTTGGGTCTCCTTGGGGTCTCAGAAACCCCCAAGTTTGAGGCTCCCCAATGTGTTAGGACCCATTAGGGTAGCAGGAAACGACAAGATGAAGTATGACCACGCTAAAGCAAGCGAAGCCCCCAACAGCATGCACGACAACGACAACTCGAAAACAAACCACTTGGGTCCAAGTACCAGAAAATCTAATGATTGCTCCCCCAAGTACAAACCTATAAAGCCTTTGCCTGAACCCAACGGTTGATAACTATGGGAATTATGGTATATTCCTTATTATGGGTAATGCAGGATTTATATCATCAACCGAAGTAACTAAGTATCGGGTCCTGTGGACCCCGAAGTGTTCCTTTACGGGTTCATTTAGGGGGAACCGAGGGTAGCACCGCGAGGCCGACCAGGCAACCTCACGGCTCGGGCAATGCAGGCAAAGACGAGAGCTCCGGTCTCTGGGAACCCAATGAAGGGTGCCAAGAAGGGTTTCTTTAGGCCTTTAAGCGTTTTAGTGTTTGAGCTAGGTTTTATCTTGTGGGTTTAGGGGCTAGGGTCCGGGGCGTAGAGCTTAGGCTTAGGTTTTCGGTTAAACGTTTTTGTTGGTTGGGTTTGCGGTTTAGTAACTCTCGTGTGCAGAAACTAGGTTTCAAGTTGTTCGCCTTGGGGCTTTTTGTTTTGGGATTGAGGATCTAGTGTCGAGGCTTGAATTTCAGGTCTTATAGGGTTTAGGGTTTCTTGTTCCTGGTTCACCCTAAGGGTCCAAGTACCTCATAGTCATACACTCTCCCAAATATTCACCTACTTTCTACTATCCTAAACCCAAGTACCTGATTTTTGGGGTCCTTTGGACCCTAGGGGGTAGGCTTTCGGAGGTTGGTTTTATAGGTCTTAGGCTTAGGTGTTTGCGTTCGGGAGTTCGGGGCCCTAGGGCGAAAGTTTATTAATATGGTTTGTGGTGTAGGATTCAGGGGAGTCTGCTGTGTTATGAGATCTGCGTTCTCTTCATGTAGGGCTTAGGGCGTTATGGTGGTTCGGGTTTTAGAGAGTTATGGTTAAGGGCTGTTGTTTTGGGAAACAACCTTTTGACAACCCTGTCAAACTCATAAAACCTGTCTGAAGTCTTCAGGGGAAGGGCTTAGGGTTTTAGAGAGTTTGGGTTTACGGCTTAGGCTTGCGTGTTTTTTCGTAAAGAAATCTTCAAAAGCCCCATTAGGTACCTCGAGCCTTTGCCCAGACCCGATAAACAAAATAAACCATGAACTACCTTTACTTGACAGATCTCCGGCACACTCGCCGGGTGTGGACCTGCTGCAGTGTGCTGCCAGAGCCTTACCAGAGGCCGTAAACACTTGAAGTGTGATTTTAGGGATTATAGCTGATTCGGCGTTGCATTGGAGTCTTCGACACGGGATTTGATAGGGCTTCGTAATGCCGTATATTAGAATCGGCTTTGTTGAAATTTGTAGAGTTGTGCATGGTTTTACTTCGTGGGACTCGCGAAAGTTGGTATAAGGCCAAATATCGGTGCGTTCTGGAGGTCGCGCTCGCCGCTTTGTCCTTAAGAAGGTGTAAATTATAGGGCTTGAACACCTGGCTCTTCGAATTCTGGCATCCCCAGCGGCCGAAACCCCTAAAGTTGTTTGGGCTTAGCCGCTTTGGGGCTTTGGGTTCAGCTTTCAGGGTTTAGAGCTTCATAAATGTTCAACCCGACCTTGAGCCTGATTCGTACCGCGATGTAGCGATTTCTTCGGCTAGAACTCGACCTCATGCCCTACCTGGACCTGGACCGTGAAGGACGGATACCTTAGGGGTACTTAGAAATATGTTTAAGTCTTTGGTTATTATAATCCCCAAGAAGCAGCTGAAATTAGAATTTTTGCTAGGGGTCTAAGTTCAGTATAAACACAAGGAAGCCATAATAAGGAACCCTAAAGGGATTGCTTTTGTAGGGTCACGCGAAAAAGGTGCTGCATTCCAGTGTCTCGACTGGAGTCTGGGCACTATTGCGGCCTGAAAAGTTACCCATACGACTCCTTGTGAGCCACTCCTGTTGATGGACAAAATCCTGCATCACCCGTTATAAGGAAAATACCATAGTTCCCATAGTTTAGGGTCCTTAAGGTCATGCAGGATTATGTCCTTCAACAGTACTACTCCTTGTGAGTCACTATTAGCGAATATTCTTATGTTTATGGTACAAACCGCTGTTCTAATTGTTAAGGCTCCCATCTTACCCCGAAGTCCAGCGGGCTTCCAGAGCTCTCCTTCGCAAATTCCGTAGTAGGAAATAAGTAGAGTTGTAAGTACCCTTCAAGGGATCCTCATTGTGGTTTTGATACTTGTAACTCCATAACTACTCAGTAAGTCCCCCGACCCTCCAAGTAAGCCCTAAACCCTAAACCCCTATAGATCCCTTTAAGGATCCCCTTAAGGAACCCCTTAAGGATCCCGTTAAGGAGCTACTTAGTAAGTCCCCCGACCCTCCAAGTAGGCCTAAATGAGCAGAGCAAGGCTCCTTTGAGTTGGGCCGCAGACGTTCACGGCTGCCACTCGGCTGGAGCTTTCTGAACTGTGGCTTTGAGGGTGTTTTGGTTTTGAGGGTGTTTAGGGTTTAGGGTTTAGGGTTTAGGGGTTTAGGGCTTAGGATTCAGGGTTCAGGGTTTAGGGGTCTAGGGTTTAGGATTCAGGGTTTAGGGTTTAGAGTTTAGGGGTTCAGGGTTTGGGGTTTAGGGGTTTAGGGTTTAGGGACTTCGGAACACGGTTTATGACTTTAGGACTTGTTCGACTTGAAGCCCTTCATCCCGAACCCTAAGGGTCCAAGTACCTAAGAATCATATACTCTCCCAAACATTCACCTACATAACTACTATCCGAAATCTGAGTACCTAATTATTGGTTCCTTTGGACCCTTAGGGTAAGGCACTGACTCATTAGCTGGAGTTGGACCCTAAAACGCGAGATCCTTGCCATCAGTAGCCCGAAGTAACGTGGCCCTGACTTTCGTGTAAGGGTCCTGATACTTCTGGGAACCTCAAAATGTAGCATGCCTGACACCCCAAAGATTTACAGAGATGCAGGGGCTCCCTGTTTAAAGATACCTGGACCCTCAGGGCAGCAGCCCGAAGTAATGCGGCCCTGAGTTTACAGTTCTCCGCCAGTAATCTCAGGAGACAAAATAGGACCCAAACTTATACATACACTTTTTGGTGATATCAGGACTTTCACTACTTCATTGCTTTGTTTAAACGGGTGGCTCGTGGGACATCCCACCCTTATGGTTTGTGTTTATGGTTATTGAGTCCTTAGTTCTTGCGAAACGTTTCGACAGTCTTGTAGAATCCTCCGTCCAAGACCTGTCTAAAACCACTCACGCCCTTGTAAACCCCCGCAGAACCCAAAGGGTCCTTCTAGGTACCGTAACCTGCCAGGATGTTGCACGGCCCTCATACATTCCATATTATTTGGTTTGATAATGAGAACCTAACAATATCAGGTTTTGGTCGGCTTAGATATTCGATATGGGTGATGCCTACCAACACCATATGAATGGCAGTTCCTACCACAGAAACCCGACTTCCCGCTGTGTAGGTATTTTGGATCCTTTGCATAAGGACTCGAACCCCAACTCTAAGTGCCCAGAAATAATCTACTCTCCCAATTATTAACCTACAAAACTAGCATCCTAAACCCGAGTACCTTATTATCGGGTCCTGTGGACACTAGACCCTTGGGGCAAGCCACTCCATGCCGTCGAACCCCAAGCTACCCTAAACCCTAAGCTCCTAGCTCTAAATCCTCGTAAACCCTGAAACCCCCTTGAGGTTCTCTAGGCGATCCGACCTGGACAGTACAGCTGGCACGGTTGAAATTTGGCAGTGGGCCTAGGGGTTTAGGGTTTAGGGGTTTAGGGTCTATAATTTTGGCAGCGGGCTGTCCCAGGACCTAAACCCGACCCTTGGGTCGCTTTGGGGCTTGAGAAATCGGAAATCCTACATTTTGAGGTTCGCCAAAGATTCAGGAACCGGTGCATAAAGGCTATAAAGTGTCGGTTTGGGTTCTGGGGAAGTGTTTAGGACGTACAGGGTGTAGAGTTGAGGGTTGATGGCCTATGTAGGCTTCCCAGATCCACCACCTTAGATCGAGGGACTTCAGAACGGTTGTGAGGGTTGTCCTCGACGTGAGCTTTAACCAGTGAATCAGTCGCATTCGTACCCTAAGGGTCCTAACATTTCGGGGAACCTCAACATGTAGGAGTTCTGAGACCCCAGGGAGGTTCTGGACCCTCGTAAGAAGATACCTGGACCCTCAGGGTAGAGCCAGACTGCATGCAAAGAAGTGCTAAACCCTTAAACTTCCGGGACTACATCCAAAAGCCGCAAACCCTTTCACAAACCCAAAGTCTTCAGCCACAAAGCAAGAACACTAGCAGAACGCCCCCTAAAGCCTCACCCCGCCCCCAAAGGATTCTACTCTTGGCGTTCTTCTGGTTGGCTCTGAGGACTTTAACTTTTCGGGATTTCTATATGAACCATAACAAGGAGGCTAAAGGTTTAACTTTTAGGAGGGGTTCAGAAGTCAGCAAGAGGCTTACTGCAGTCTTCCCCCAAACCCTATTCCAGGCACTCATGAAATCAACCCTAAACCCTAAAACTCTAGGCCCTAAACCTTAGGGCCAAAACGGCAGTCACTCATCGGCAAAACCCTAAACCTCCCTGCATCTCGACGACATTTTGACGGCAACTTGTTTCTTCCGAATTTCTGAAATTCATCATGAATTATCAGAAAATGAAGGAAGTGACACTGGGAGAGCTTGCAGATGAGTCGGAAGTGACCCTTGTTATGTAGCGAAACCTAAACCCCAAAACCCTAAACCCCAAGACCCTAAACCCGAACACTTGAACCCTAAACCCTTCAACCCCAAACCGAAGCCTTAAAACGCCAGGCACTCATCGCTACTTTAGGGGCGACCAGCGCCCTGACGCTGCTGCACGTGTCTGCTGAGGACTTCACGGCCGGCGCCTCATAGGGTTTCCCCCACTTGGAAGGTCGGGGGACTTACTAAGTAGTTAGCTTTTAGAGTTATAAGTACCATAACCCCAATGAGGGTCCCTTTTAGGGTACTTATAACTCTACTTAATACCTACTTACTAAGTCCCCCGACCCTCCAAGTAAGGGTCCTAACACATTGGGGAACCTCTAAATTGAGGGTTTCTGAGACCCCAAAGAGACCCAAGGACTCTCCCTAGGGAGATACTGGACCCTTAGGGTAGGGTTTAGGGGTAACTTTGTAACATAACTTAAGGGTTCCTCCAATGGTTCCCTAAACTTAAGGGTTCTAGAAGAGATCTGCAAGGGGTCTAGGGTCTGTTTGGAGGAATCTGGGACTTGGTAACTTAAAGGGTTCCTTAAAGGGGTCTATAGTATCTATAGGGGGTTCTACAAGGGAGAGTTTGGGAGTGCTGGGAGGATCTTGGGACTTAGTACGAAAAGATGTTGTTGCCTTAATTTACTTTGCAATTATGATGAGTATAGGTACCGAATATAGGACATAGTTACTCAGTCCCATGATCCTTTCAGTATGCCATTTTAGCTCAAGGTTTGGCGCTTTCGGGTTTTAAGGTGTAGGGTTTGGGTGATGAATAAGGCTCCAGGAACTCGAGTGTTTCAGGGTTTTGATGTGTGAGGTTTGAGGGAAAGGGTATCTGGCTAGGGTTCAGATTTCTACTTTCTCCCCCGAGGGTCCTACTGTTGATGATATAAATCCTGCATGACCCATAATAGGGAATATACCATAATTCCCATAGTTTAGGGTCCTTAAGGTAATGCAGGATTTATATCATCAACCGTAGCACTTTGGGGAACCTCGAAATAAAATGTAGCATTCCTGAAGCCCCAACGAGACCCAAGGGCTCTTTCCAGGAGATTCCGCTCCTAAGGAGATCTCTGGGCCCTTACACCCTGAACCCAAACACCATCAACCACCTAATTGTTCCCGAGTACCCAAATAGTAGGGTTTCAAGGTCCAAAAACCGTTCAGAGCATGGGTTTTGGGACCTGAAACCCTGCTATTTGGGTACTTGGACACTCTGGGATTGGTTCCTTTGGACCCTTAGTTCAAGATTGGGGATCCTTCGCCTTCAAAGATGGAGGGGCGGTATGAAATAGCCTACCAGAGGGGTCTTCATAATCATCTATACTATGTTGGGGGTTCCTTATTATGATTATAGTGTAATGGGCCCCAAAACCCTATTCTAATTATGAATGCCGCTATATTTGGGTTTGCGGGGATTTTATCCATGAGCCGAACCCCCTCCTGCACTTGGGGTCCCCCTCAACCCTAAACACCCTAACCCCTAAAGCCTAAACCCAGTACCCTACCCTAGAAGCTAAAGCCCTTAAACCCTAAAGCCCTAAGCCCGAACCCTTGAACTCTAAGCCCTCAAACCCCAAACCCGAAAACCCTATAAACCCCCTAAACCCCCTAAACCCCCTAAACCCCTAAACCCCCTAAACCACTAAACCCCCGAAACCCCCTAAACCCCCGAAGCCCCTAAATCCCCTAAACCACAAACCCTACAATCCGCTCCTTTCCTTTACCTGGCTGAGGCTCAGGAAGATGAGCGGCGCCGGGCTAAGGGGGCCTGACTTTATTCGCCAAATCCTAGAGGCTCCAGATATACTACCATTATGGAGTTAGGTCCCAAAAGACCATTCTTATTATGGTTTTAGGGACCGAATTCTATAATGGTACTATGTGTGGAGCCTCTGGGAATGGGAGAACTTAAGGGTTTTGTGTTCTGGGTTATAGGGCTTAGTTTAGGGTTCCGGGGGCGCGACCTCATTAGCCAATGGGAAAAACTTAAGCTTTAGAACCCTGGAGCTCCCCCGAAGTGGCCACGATTTCAAGAGCTCGCCTACAAAAACTTCGACAGCTTTAAACTTTCTGGCCTGATGAATTTTGGTCTATCTGTCATTTGAACTGTTTTGGGCCTGCTTAAAGGAGCGGTGAACGGGCACGTCAAAAAGTAAAAGGGTTTTGTGCCTTTCAAGTCAGTCTCTGCTTTGAAGTTTTGAAGGTCAGGTTCAGGGGTTAGAGGGTGTAGTAAGTAAGGTTTACCTACCAACGCCCTGATCGTTCAAGTAGACTTAAAACACTTATACACCCTGGTACAATCCTTGATAAACCCCCTTTGAGGATTTATTGATTCCATGATAACAGTTGAGGTTGCAGGGGTGTAGGGTGCAAGGGTTACGATTCTGGGTTTAGTGTTCGGGGGCTTGGTGCTTACCTCAAAGACCAAATGACCCTTAAAAGTAAGGGCCTTTTGCCCTTATACTATGAGTTCTTATATGGTTTATCAACCTTAAACCCTTTTATGGTGCATTTCGTCCTTAAGGTACGGCTTAGGGTATGGTTTGGGATTCAGGGCGTCGGATTCGGCTCGAGGTTCGGAGTTTACCCTAAGGGTCCAAGTACCCGATTATCATAAACTCTCCAAAAATAGTGACCTACATAACTCCTATCCTAAACCCATGTACCTAATCATTGGGTCCTTTGGACCCTTAGGGTTAGGGTTCAGGTTTCGTGAGCAACCAAACCCCCTAAAAAACAGCTGAAATCGTAGTTTTTGCTAGGGGATTAAGCTCAGTACCTATAGTCTCCATTGCAGTTCCTTTTTGGGGTTACCTTTTGGGATCCTTAATATAAAACTGGTTAAACCAAAAAAAGGAACTACAATGGAGACTGTAGGTATAGAGGAGCTGGACCTGGCCTGCAGACCCCAGGCTCCCAAAGGAGCCAAAGTGTAAGGCCAATACATTCAGGGTTTAGGGTTTAGGGTTTAGGGTTTAGGGCCTTTAGGGTTTAGGGTTTAGGGTTTAGGGTTCTGGAAAACCCGAAATCCAAAGTCAAAAGCCTTACAGAAAACCCGCTAAAGTTGGAAACCGGATTAAGGCCAAACAGTGCTTAGATTGCTCTGAAGGGTTGAGGCTATCGGGTTTCCAAGTTTTGGATTTCTACTATAAGCGGCCCTTCACCTCACATCCCAAACCTCCCAAACAAGGCCTCACTGTAAGATCAGGCCTCCGCCAAAGAAGCCCGCGGATAACCGAGGAGGGCAGGGGTTGAGAGGAAGCGGGGCTTTGTAGCGCAAGTGTCCTATTTTCGGGGACCTCAAGATGTAAGAGTCTGAGACCTTACAGTCAACCCCATAAAGTTGGAAACCCGATTAAGGCCAAATAGTGCTGGGATTCCCTATACATTACTCTTAAGGATTGAGGCTATTGGGTTTCCAACTTTTGGGCGTCTACTGTAAAGAGTTTTCACAGAGATGTACTTGCGGTGTCGGGTGTTTGGTACGAGGTAGAGTCGTCTATCCTGGGGAGGAAGCCGTTCTGTCATCGTCGGGGATGCTGGTGTTCACTCTTGACGGGTTCTGGTGGATTGGGCAAAACCCTGGACTCTAAACTCTACCCTAAACCCCGGTGCTTTAAACCTGAAGCAATTTCAACAACCTAAAGCCCCAAACACCACCATCCCAACGCCAAAACCCTGCCAGCCCCACACAGTTGAACCCGCGGCCCAAGCTTACAAACTGTGCACAGATCTCCATGAAGGAATCGACCGGAATCGACCAAAATAGATTGCTCGGTTATGGAGTTTAGGAGTCTTTGAACTTGCGCTTTTACAATGCGTTTGGCCTGATTGGTCTATTGTGGCGACAACGGCCCGGAGCCTATCGGCACGGCCAAATGTGTAGCGCAGCTTTGGTTGAACGGTGACTGCGCCTGATTATAATCAATTTGTTTTCTGTCGTGTGTCTATGTTGCTGACTTGCTGTCCTTGTTAATTGTTGCAGCCGTTTCGGATGCGGTAGCCCGATATTCGCCCTCAAACCTTCCCAGCCAAAGCCCTGCCATCCGCTACAACCCGCGAAACTGTCTTGAAACGCGAGACCTAAGCATGAAGTTCTGAGGCCTTGCAACTGGCCTGAAAACCCTGTAAACCCTAAACGTTACCGTTACACCCTGAAACCCTTAACCTTAAACCCCTTAGCCTTGGAAATCCCTAAAGCCTAAATTAACTCCCTAAACCCCTAAACCCCAAATCCCAACACACTACGAAACCCAACAAAGCCCAAACCCCATCAGGAGGGAGCACGCAGCTGTCCCGTCGTGGTACAGCAAGCAAGGATTCGGCGCGGTGCCTCAGAGGGAGGTAGGGAAATTCCCCTCAAGGTCCTTCCATGGGGTTTAGAGGTTTAGCGTTTAAGGGTATATCATAGGACTGGGAGAGGTTCAGGTCCATTCACTGGAGACCCTACCATTCCAGATGCTTGATCACAATATATTTCCCCATATACTATATAACTTATAGAGCCATTGTAAGGCATTTTGTAAGGGTCTTGACGGGGTTTACAATTGCATGGCGATCATATTTTGTGATGGGCCGTAACTTTTAGACTAGTGTTCTGCTCTATGTTGTACCATAGGGGCCTAAAGAATTACCGATACTATTTCCGGGGTTCCTTTACGTTATTACAGTATAGTGGACCCCAAAACCCTATCCTAATCATTATGTAAGGCCCCTATCGTAGCATGGTTGTAGGTTGGGTACGGCCCCCACTCAGTAATAGTTGTTTAATATTCATTTTATAGATATATTAGGACCTTAATAGTAGCCCTATCATAGACTCTTACTGTATGGGAGCAGTACCTAAGTTGTAGGTGTGCTTTCCGGGAGCCTCGGGTGATGCGCTCAGGCTCAGTCACTCTGGGTTGAGCACTTGCTTTTAGGGTCTCTAGGATTTAGCTCAGCTTCAGTTACTTGTTGGCTGTAAACTCAACTTTTCAACTTTTGGGGGTTCTTATAAGGTAGTCGATTCTCAAAGTTCAGCTTCTATTGGGCGAGTGAGAGTTAAGCCTTGCGGATTTGTTGTGGATTCAGACTGTTTCGGGCCAAAAGGGTTGGGGGTTTGGCCTAAACCTCAACCCTATAAACCCTATAAACCCTAGGCCCTAAACCCTAGACCCTAACAGTTCGGCTCCTGCTCCGCCCTATCGGGTTCTGTGTGGTGTCCGTTCCTGCAGAGCCACAGGCTCCATGTACCTTTACAGTAGATGCTTAAGCCTTAAAGGGGTCCCTTTATGGGTACTTTAAGGCCTAAGTATATACTATATGGGTGGTTGTCAAAATTATGGTCCCGTTTTGGGTCCCGAATATAGTACGGCACCTAATAGTTAGGGTACCCAAAAAGGGGCCATAATTTTGACAACTACCCCTATGGGTACATGGAGCCTTGGGCAGAGCCACCGTTGTGGTGGGTGGTCCGACGGCTGCGTAATATCTCTGTACTATACCCACAGACTCCAATATCCCTTAAGTAAGGAATATCTAGGGCTCCTTTAAGGGATCTATAAGAGATCTATAGGGTTTAGGGTTTAGGGGGCTCCGATATCCCTTAATGAAGGAATATGTCTTAAATCATGGTAGGATTCCTAATATGATTTGAGGCATATTATCTTCCTTAGTTAAGGGATTTTGGAGTCTCTGGGTAGGATGGGTCCAGAGTCTCCAGGGACAGCCCTTGGGTGTATTTGGAGTCGCAGAAATAACTTGGAGGCCCAGGGGAGTTGGTAAGTCGGTTAGAAATAGGGTCATAATTGGGGTACCTTCATTTTGGGTACTTATAACTCTACTCACTACGTCCCCTGAGCCTCCAAGTACACCTCCCAGAGTCTCCACCCGAGGGCCGCTAATGCTCCCTAAAGTTCTCAATCTGGCACCCCAAGCCCAAAGGCTCCAGGTACCCATGTAGTAGGTACTTAGGCCTTAAAGTACCCATAACATAGGGATCTCTTTAAGGCCTAAGTACAATATGGGTACATGGAGTCTTCGGGAAGGAGCTCGGAGGGATCTGGTAAGGTGATTCCGGACGGAGATACGGTTGATGATACAAATCCTGCATTACCTTAAGGGCCCTAAACTATGGGAATAATGGTATATTCCTTATTATGGGTAATGCAGGATTTATATCATCAACAGTACGTCCTGCCAAATGCAGGAGGGTTAGGATCCCTCTGTTACCCTGCCAAGGAGATAACACTCAAAGCCCAAGCCCCTGCCACATGGGCCCTCGTATGATGCCTCGTTGATGGAACCCTTCAAGAACCTCAACGGTCGCTACATGAACTTCAGAGCATTAAACCCTGAATCCTTAATCCCACACGCTAAACAGAGAACCTTTCAAAGGACCTGGCAAGGAGGCTTCAAATAGAAGAACTTTGTATGATCCCTTTCGACCGCTTACCGAACCCTTCATTAAGAAACCGTTCAAACGACCCTAAACCCCAAACCCCTAAACCCTAAACCTTGAACCTACCAAGTAGAGGTCGCCACCGTGAATTCGAACGCAGCGCCGGGTCCCTGCACTCGCGCTGTTTTCTTTGGTTTAGAGGTGTAGGGGCTTAAGATTTCGGGTTAGGGTCTAGGGGGTTTAAGGGTTTAGGAGTTTAAGATTTCGGGTTAGGGTCTAGGGGGTTTAAAAGGGTTTAGGAGTTTAAGATTTCGGGTTAGGGTCTAGGGGGTTTAAGGGTTTAGGAGTTTAAGATTTCGGGTTAGGGTCTAGGGGGTTTAAGGGTTTAGGGGTTTAAGATTGTGGGTTCAGGGATTGGGGGTTTCGGCTCCCCTATGGCCTGTTCTCTTGTGGGTTATCAAGGGGTCCTAACCTGCTATTTTGCAGGGTTTTGGGCTACAGGCAGGGGGTCCTAACCAATTGGGGAACCTCAAAATTGAGGGTTTCTGAGACCCCAAAGAGACCCAAGTGCTCTCCGCAGGACATTCCGGACCCTCCTAAGGAGATACCTGGACCCTTAGCGTAAGCATTCAGGGGGTTTACGGTTTGCAGGTTGGGGTTCCTAGGTTCGCAATTCGAGATTTTTTCTAACACAGAGAGCTTGATGCCATCTACCATTCTGTAAGATGTAGGTGGGGATTGCCGGCAAAAGCCCGAAGCTAAACTCTGAGGGGTTTTTTTGATTAATACCGACAGACCCCCTTTCAGCCCCTAAACCCTCAATCTCTCCAAGCCATCCTAAGCCCTAAAAGCCTCAAACTTACACCCTAAACTTCCAACCCTACTTGGAGGGTCGGGGGACTTACTAAGTAGTTATTTCAAAGAGTTATAAGTACCATAACCCCAATTAGGGTCCCTTTTAGGGTACTTATAACCCTACTTATTACCTACTTACTAAGTCCCTTGACCCTCCAAGTACAAACCCCAAGCCCCAAGCCGCTGCCACCTGTGCTCGAGACGTTCAAGAGCAGAATGAACAGAAAAAGCATGGATAATGCCCCCACTCAGTAACAGCTGAAAAACCATGATCATATAGGCACTTACGACTTAAGGCCAACACCCAAAACCCCAAGCCATAAGTGCGTATGGGGGCAGTACAAAAACCCAAGCCCTGTGTGCTTGCTATAATCATAAGGACCCATAGGGGGGAAGGGAGCTTTAATACCGGTAATGAAGACGTAATAAGGCCTATTTAAGGAAGTATGGTCCCCTACCCCCCCTGAAAATTCCCGTTGCCTCAAGGATGCCGAAGATCACGGCGAAGCCGGATCTGATGGCACTGTCCGACAACTCAGACCGAGGGTTCTTGCAGGCTAATGTAGGAACCTTACAATAATTGCATCGGGGTTCCTGTACCTAGACCCTCCATCTACCCTCTATTAGACCCTAAATGCCCTTTATTTGGGGCCATATACTCCTATTTGAGGGTACAAGGAGGGTCCTGGTAAAGGGGTCTATAATACAAGGGATCTAGAAGGGCACTATGATGTAGGAACCTGATTAAGAAGCCGTGGCCTTCCCGAACCCCTAGAAAGATTTACAGTTGTAACTTTGCGCTGGCGCCGGTACCACCCGACATACAGGCTTGATGTCGCCCGCGAGCCTTCAATGCTCGGTATCTGTAGCGGACAACAGATGCGGAAGTACCAGAGGTGCAGATACAAGAGATTCAAGGGATGTGAAGTTCAGTTGGGCCGCCATGGCCGACCCAAAATAGTAGGATTCATATGGGTGGTTGTCAAAATTTTGGGTGCCCTAAATTTTAGGTGCGGTATTATAATAGGGACCCAAAAAGGGACCATAATTTTGACAATCACCCGTATAAGGAGCCCCAATAAAGATTCAGGGTTTCTTAATCAGGTTCCTACATATTTCAGGGCACAGGGCTTTGGAGTTTGGGGCTCAGGACTTATAGGGGTCCCCAGGATCGTGCTTTCTTATGGTCCTTAAGGGAAGGTACTTGGGGTGTAGCATACCCAGAGGATCCATAGTAGTTCCTTTTTGGGGTTCATGTCTAGAATCCTATAAGGTAACCCCAAAAAGGAACTACCATGGAGCCCATGGTGGGTAGAGTGTAGTTGGGGGGTCTAGGTAGGGTTTGGGGGGTTAGGGTTTTTTGGGGATTAAGGGCTTTGCTTGTGTTTATGGCCATGGGGTTGAGGGGGTCCAGAGTTTCAGGTTCTAGGGCATCTACTTGGGGAGCCGCAAGCTCTCATGTCTGATGTTGGGGGTTTTCGATGTTCGCCTTTTCCAGTTTTGCCTGCTATCGAAAGCCAACTTCGAAAATGAAGCCGTTTACTTGAATACCCCTTTGGGAGCCCTAGGGCCGATAGTCCAAGAGCCCTTCTTGGAGGGCCCCGGGGGACTTACTAAGGCTCCTTAAAGGGATCCTTAAAGGGCTCCTTAAAGTTTAAAGGGAACCTTGAAGGGCTCCTTAAAGGGATCTATAGGGGGTTCGGGGGACTTAGTAACTAGGTACCATGAAAGGAACACCAAAAGGAACCTTGCAAGCCCTCTTAAAGGAACCCTGATCCCAAACTGGTACTTATAACTCTCTAAAAAACTACTTAGTAAGTCCCCCGACCCTTCCGGTAACCCCTAAACCCTAAACCCCTATAGATCCCTTTAATGAGCCCCTTAAGGAACCCCTTAAGGATCCATAAGAATGACTACTTAGTAAGTCCCCCGACCCTCCCTCGTAGATCCCGTCATAATCCCCCTATAGATCCCTTTAAGGAGGCCTTTGAGGATCCCTTTAAGGAGCCTTAGTAAGTCCCCCCCGACGCCCTCCAAGTTTCCTCATGAGACACTCCGAGGCTGAAGATCCTCACGGACGCGCGGCTTGCGGGGGTGCTGCGCTCGGCCGTATACTACAGGGGCCTAAGTAACTACTACTACTACTACTACTACTACTACTACTACTACTACTACTACTATTACTACTACTACTACTACTACTACTACTACTACTACTACTACTACTACTACTACTACTACTACTACTACTGCTATACTACTACTACTACTACTACTACTACTACTACTACTATCTACTACTACTACTACTACTACTACTACTACTACTACTACTACTACTACTACTACTAGAACTACTACTACGACTACTACTACTACTACTACTACTACTACTACTACTACTACTACTGCTACTACTACTACTACTACTACTACTACTACTACTACTACTACTACTACTACTACTACTACTACTACTACTACTACTACTAGCCACCCCCCCCCCTCCCAACTACACTCGTTCCATCCGGGCTGGGCAGCGGTAGCTGCTAGGCGCCTTAACTGCGATAGTTGCAGAAGATGCACGGGCTCAGGCTCCTTATCTGTGACAGCTGCAGAAGTTGCAGAGGCTCAGTTTCCTTAACTGTCACAGCCGGTGAAGTTGCAGGGGCTCAGGCCCCAAAACTGCCACAGCAGCTGGAGTTGCAAGCTCGACGGGGAAGAAACTGATAAACCCCAGGTGGTCGGATAGTACGAAAACGCTGTAAATACCGTGCAAAACCCAGGTGCTGCCAACAAGGGTTTAACGTTTCTAAAACCTGAAGCGCAACATCTTCTGAAACATCAAAAACAAAGATGCCAGCTGTACGTGGGAGGGGCTCGCCAACACCCCTACCGCCCAACCTCTGCGTAGGAGGGTCTGTTTTTGAATTGGTGTGTGTGGTGTGTGCGCGCTTGAGTGTGGAAATATTGTTCAGGGTGTCCGCAAAACAGTGTCGTGATCATCCCCGAAGAAGCTTTCCCCCACCCAATTTCGAGTTTTTTTTCAAACAGTTCCAAACAGCAAAGTTTAATACGCATAGTCGAGAAGTAGGGGCTCAGAATATGTAACAAAGTCTGACATCACGAAAGTACCGTAAATACCGAGTTAAACGGCTCTTGTGGTGATACTGCTGGGTGTGTTCGCGTAACACTGTCGTCATCATCCCCCCCCCCCCACCCCCCCACCCACCCCCAGAAGCAAGTCCAAAATCAAGAGCCCGAGTTTGCAAACTCGACAAGTCGATTTTTAGGCCTCTTAGGATGATCGCACATGACGAAAGTGCCGTAAATACCGAGTAAAATGGATGTTGTCTTAACATGGTTGAGAGCAAGTGTAGTTGGTAGGGGGGGGTGCCTACTACTACTACTACTACTACTACTACTACTACTACTACTACTACTACTACTACTACTACTACTACTACTACTACTACTACTACTACTACTACTACTACTACTACTACGTACTACTACTACTACTACTACTACTACTACTACTACTACTACTACTACTACTACTACTACTACTACTACTACTACTACTACTACTACTACGACTACTACTACTACTACTACTACTACTACTACTACTACTACTACTACTACTACTACTACTACTACTACTACTACTACTACTACTACTACTACTAGTGTGGGGGTTCCACAGTGGGCCCCAAAGCTCCGTTCTAATTAGTACTGGTTTAGGGCTCAGGGTGTATAATAAGATTCGAGTAAGACCTAGGACATGGGCCCCCTTTCCCTTCTTCAGAGAGACAGCCCTGTCCAAGGCCCACAGGGTTTAGTGCTTATTGCGCTCTTACTGGTAGGGTTTATACGCTGTTAATCTAGGATTCTGCACCCTAAGGATCCAGGTACCTCTTTAGGAAGGTCCAGAATCTCTGAGGGAGAGCCCTTGGGTCTCTTGGTGGTCTCAGAAACCCTCAATTTTGAGGTTCCCCAATTTGTTGGGACTGTCAGGGTGGCCCCTAAACCCTACTTCAATACTACCCCAAAGGGCCCAACAAAGTAACTATATAGTAGAATGTAGGGTTTCTGTATTAGGAATTACTATTATGATTTGGGGAAGTATTCCCCATAACAGTACCTAGGACCCTTAGGGTACATGTTCAGAGCTTACACTGCCTAGGTCGGCCCGGATCGGGCCCGCATCCTCGTCATCTTCCGGGATGTCGCAGACCCAGGGATCGGTGGGCCTTCAGAGTTCGATTTGGGGTTATTACCCTAAGGGTCCAGGTATCTCCTTGTAGGAGGGTCCGGACTGGAGGGTTCAGGGGTTCGGGGTTTAGGGGTTTAGGGTTGAGGGGTTTAGGGTTTAGGGGTTACCCCAAGGGTCCTAACAAAAATTGAGGGTTTCTGAGACCCCAACGAGACCCAAGGACTCTCCCTAGGAGATTCCGGACCCTCCGAGGGAGATACCGGGACCCTTTAGGGCAGGGGCTAAGTAGAAGTTGGGGTTCCTTTACAACTTCATGTCCAACCCGAAGCCGAGGAGCATCCACGGTGATCTTTAGGGTTTAGGGTTTAGGGTTTAGTGTTCAGGGTTTAGGGTATAGTGTTTAGGGTTCAGGGTTTAGGGTTTGGGGTTTAGGGGGAACAGATTTCTTTTTGTTGTAGAAGATCAGGCATCTGAAGTACTTTCTTTCCCATGTTCCACCTGCATGGCCTCTAAATGCTGTGGTGCTGGCAGTATGTTTCTTTCTGACACCGACTGGAATGGCAGGCGAGCATGTCCCTCAAACTTTGCTTTCGGCTTTAGTTGTTTTGTCAATCAACCGTTAGACGCTCCGACATTTCGGCGTGAGGGTTAGGTTAGGTGAGGGCTGTCCTTCCATGGATTTGGACTTAATGTGTTAAGTTTCCAGAGGTTGGGTCTTATCTTGGTTAGGATGCGGGGTTCCGAGTTTTAGGATGTATTCGTTATTTGCGCTTACGGTGAGGGCGCAGGGTTTGAAGAAGGTGGGCGGCATTAGGTTATAGTTTAAATACTCCAAAGCTCCTGGGCAGAGTTCTTGTGAGCTCCTGCTTGTCGTTCTCTGTCACTTTCGCTTGAAAGCCCTTTATAATTACTCTACAGGCGCACGACTGCAGCTTCCTTGCTGCTGCGTCGAAGATGTCATCTCCTGAGCACATGCCGAAGCCTTGAAGAATGGACGCTGGACTTCAATTGTCCTGAGGATGCCAATTATATGGGTTTTGGCATGTTATGGACGATCCACATGTGCCCCGCGACAGGGACCTGTACATATGAGGGAAGGAGGCAGCGCCCAAACTCTTTTGCATCAGGTGCTAACCGAGCTGTCCGCGGAAGTATGTTCACGAATACTGTCACCCAGAGGGTCCAAGTACCCAGATAGTAGGGTTTCAGGTTCCAAAATCCATACTCTGAATTGTTTTTGGACCTTGAAACCCTACTATTTGGGTGCTTGCCCTTAGGGTCAGGGCATTGTGTTCCCAGTTCCCCCTAAACCCAAAACCCGTAAACCCTAAACCCTCAAATCGTAAACCCTACACCTTAAAGACCATCTGCCTGAAAATGGGGGAACCCGCAGGAGCAACAACCCTCTGCACCGTAAGAGCTGAACCCTAAATCCGAAGCTCGAAAAGCCGAAGCTCTGGACCATGAAAGCCCGAAGCCCGAAACCTTGCAAGCCCATCAAGCCCGCGACCCCAAGCCTTAAACCCTGAAAGCCTGAAGGCCAAAGGCCGGAAGCCCCTAAACACAACAGAAAGGGACGCTGAACCCCTAAATCCTAGCCCCAGACCCCTGAACCCACCAAAAGCTCCATTTCGAAGCCGCCAAGAAGGCGCCCGCCTCCAATGCTCAGATCTCACCAGGGATCCAATCGTGTCTCGAGGCTCTGTGATCAACGGCTCTCCGCTGGGTTTAGGGTTTAGGGTCCAGGGCTTCATAGAAGCATCGAAAACGAGTTTTATCCTTGAGATCATATAGCAGTTAGGGACCCTTCTATGATGGAAGGTATGGTGCTTTGGCAATAAGGTCTTTGGGAATCTCTCGGTGGTTCACCCCTCTTGACTAAAGACTCTCACCTCTCGCCTAGACGACTCCACGCATTGCTTTTGGACGAAGGGGCCTACACTGCTTGTAGGTTCCTGAATAGTACCCTGCTGCCCTTGTTATTTGATGGTCCCCCTCTTTAAGCCAAATAGTAGGAAAAAGGGCACCCTTATTGTTAAGGGTTTTCTCAGGAACAGATCCTCCCCCTAAACCCTAAACCCTAAACCAGAAACCCTAAACCCTAAACCCTTTCCGATCTCAAGCAACTGAAGCTATTATTACATCATGGGCTCCAGGCTTAGGTTTGAGGGTGTTTCAGTTTTAAGGGTTTAGGGTTTCGGGTTTAGGGTTGAGGAGATTTGGGACCAATACAGAGAACTATAATAAGTACCAGAAGTGTGGCTGTGGAGACGCCCTGATACCTCTAAGTAAGGATATGCGGTTATAGCGTCAATACGCAATAGGACTGCACTTACGTAATTTTACAACAGGAACTCAAACTTCTACAGTGATCATAGGCCCTGTATATGTGCTGTCAGATAACCCCCCCAAATCATTCATGCTCTGAAGCAGTGCGCCCTCAATTCGTTGGGACTCTTCTTGATGTGAGATTGTTGACAGTTTGCTTCTTCTGTGAGGAACTTCTTTTAGCTGAACGAGATTGAAACGCAATATTGTTTTTGAAGGGTTTAGGGTTGCTGCTGTGTGGTAGAGTTGAACATGCTTTGTCGTTGTTGGGTGTTTCAGAGTGCGTGACCCTGTAAACCCAAAGCACATTGTACTCTACATCCCCAGGGCGGTAAGCGTCGTGTCGTTGTTAAGACTATGCAAAAGTCTACCTCGACGCCCCGAAACTAAAGCCTGCTGACACAATACAACACCCTTTTTCGATCCCTTCCAAGAGCGACTCATCTAAATAACATTCCCAGAGGGTCCGGAATACCTATGTAATAGCATGTGGGTTTCGATATTCGGAACTACTACTATGATGTGGCGAAGTATGCCCCACAGCAGTATAACTGGGACCCTTTCCCTAAGGGTCCAAGTACCCAAATAGTAGGGTTTCAAGGTCCAAAAACAATTCAGAGTATGGATTTTGGAACCTGAAACCCTACTATTTGGGTACTTGGACCCTCTGGGTATAGTTAAGGAATATACCTTGACTCATATTAGGATTCCTACTACAATTTAAGGTATGTTCCTCAAATAAAGGATATTGGAATGCCTTGGAACACTTATATAGGACCCTAGTAAAATTCAGGGTGCGTTCTGATTCGCAGGCTGCGCTGGGCACCAACTTGGCGGGGATTGTGGCACTGGAGAAGCTGCAGGCGAAAGATGTGCAACGAGGGTTTGGTAGGGTTTAGGGTTATGGGTTTGGTAGGGTTCCCCAAAGATCCAAAGGACCCAATAATAAGGTACTTGGATTTAGGATAGTAGATATGTAGGTTCCTATTTGGGAGAGTATATGATTATTAGGTACTTGGACCCTTGGGGGTTATGGTATACCTAAGCTGAGTTCTATAATAAAGGGGGTTCAATAATTAGAATACGGTTGATGATACAAATCCTGCATTACCTTAAGGACCCCAAACTATAGTAACTATGGTGTATTCCTTATTAAGGGTCATGCAGGTTTTTATATCATCAACAGTAGGTACTGTTATGGGCGATACTTCCCCAAAACATAGTGGTAATTCCGAATATTTAAACCCTACATTCTATTATATAGGTACCTTGAACTCTTTGGGCTAGGGTTTAACAATGAGGGGGGGGTAACTTGGAGGGTCGGGGGACTTAGTAAGTAGATAATAAGTAGAGTTATAAGTACCCTAAAAGGGATCCTAATTGGGGTTATGGTACTTATAACTCTACAACATTACTACTTAGTAAGTCCCCCGACCCTCCAAGAAGTAGTTTGTAAGGTTAAGGGTCCAAGTGCTCCTTGTTAAAGGGCTCCTTGGTCCCTCTTGGGCACCCAAAACCACAAAACAAACTGGCTACCTGGACCCTTAGGGTAAGGCTAAGGGGCCCAACACTCACAAATGCATCGAGCAGTGTAATTACCTACTCTTAAAAAAGACTTTTCGCCGTAATTAGGCATCCACTAAGGTCTTTTTCAGGGATGTGTAAGGATTCTAACGGGGGTTCAGGGCTTAGAGCCAAGATTCAGTGCTTATAGATGAGAGTTCAGTAGGTTGCTTAGGGTTCAGGACTTTGTGGTTATGGAGTCCATTCGGCTTACCACGGGTTTAGGATTTACCGTCGGAGTTTTTTTTCAAATAAAGGCGCGGTCGTATCCTACCGATCCCAGACGGTCCACGTACAGCACCATTATGGTGTTGGGTCCCACACGGCCATCCTTGTTGTGGTTTTGAGGCGGCCTAATTCCATAATAGTAGTATATCCCGACCTTTTTGGTCCTTCGATTTATTCATTTACGCTGCAATATGATATACCAGAAATCTTCGCCGAGAGTCTTAGCTTCGATGTGCCGAGCTTTGAGCGGCCTGGATGTTTTGGGGCTTAGGGGACTAGGGATTATAGTGAAGCCCAGAAAGTTGGAAAATGGATTTAGGAAGATCGTGCAGGAATTCCCTCTACTTAAGCTTAAGGGTTATGAAGACAACGATGTTCCAACTTTCTGGCTTCTCCTGTAGGGTGTAAGGATTAGGGTTGAGGGTGTAGGATTTGGGGCTCATAGAGTTTATAAGTGGTTTAGGGCCAGTGTAGGGATCAGGGCTTATAGGGATTAGGGTGGGGATTTGACTGCGCCAACGGCCTGAAAGGGTGATCTCATGAATCCCCAAAATACCTTTATATAGGTCAGCTCTGCAGATCAAACGAGAGATCCTCAAATGTTGTTCCTTTTTTGGTAACCTTTAGTTTCTTATTGTAGACAACACAGGTCATCCAAGAACAGGTACTACATTTCGGGGTCCAGATACCCTAAGCCCTGAACCCTAAGTCTTGCTTCCGTAACTTGGACTTCCCAAACGCTCATGCCCTAGCATCGTGCCATGCACATGCCCTGGCCGCAAGCTACTCCAAAGGAGCCCATCGCACTTAGGCAGATCGAAGCTTTGGAACGTCAGCGTTTAGTGCAGTTAGTTTGTTGTTGATAGAGGTGCGCACTATAGGTGCCTAAATCATTCATTACCAATACGCAACTTTAGGAATCCTTATCATAAGTCTACAAAATATCCCCCCAAACCTGTTATAATTATGATTAAGGCCTCTACATTCGGTTCCTTTAGTCAAGCTTCTGAACCAGAACAGACCCTCTAGATCCCTTATAGGATCAGGAACCCTTAAAGGATCCCTTAAAGGAACCCTTACAGTAAAAGCCAGAAAGTTGGAATATGATTATCCTAAGCCCTTTATGGTAAATTATAGGGTATCCTACCCTGAAACCATATTCCAGCTTTCTGGAGTTCCCTTTATAGGACTCCTTCTAGGATCCCTTTAAAGGGACCCTCCTTTGGGGACGTCTGCTCGCCAGAAGCTGCCTGCGGCCTACCGCCAGCGACCGCTGTGCCTGCCCCAGCTTGTGCATAGCATGGAAGCCTTAAAACAGAGATTATCTGTAGTTCGGGTATCCCTAAACCCTAAGCCCTATACCCGAAGAAGAAGGTATTGGAGCATATCAAACCATACTTAATACTGAGTTTTGTTAGGGTTCCTTATTGTGATTTCTTTATATAAGTCCCTAGAAAGGTAGGTTATCTGGGGTTAAGGTAAAGCTTAAGCTTAAACAAACGAAAAACCCTCAGTTGAGAGACCATCCACAGGGTTCGGCTGCGCGACAAGCTCCAGCAAGAGCTCTACCTGCTAAAGGAGGCCTGGGCAATCTCTCGTAGGCCACTTTTTGAGGTTTGTTCGGACGCAGGGTGTAAGATTAGGGGTCTCATGGATCAGATTCAGAAATTGGCTTTGGTAGTTTCCGAGTTTTCTTTTGGTTTGATCGTGTGATACGGTTTACGCAAGATTCAGTGTCTTGGGGGGAGTACAGTACAGCTTCCATTTTTCTCATCGGGAAAGCGCCTAAGCTTTGGAGGGCCCTGCTCCTATCTTGGAGCCTAAGTGTGCACCTTCCAAAGAGGCCTCTAGTATAGGGGCCAAAAGAATTGACTTAGAATAGGTTTCTGGCGTAACTTATACTACTAATAATCATAATAAGGAATCCCAACAACAGGGCCTAGGCCCTTAAACCCTAAACCGTGAAACTTCACGCTCTAAAACTGTAAAAAACTCCACTACACACCAGTATTTGTACACGGTCTGCAGTTGCCTCACTGACCCCAGAAAACATGGAGCGCTTGCTTGCGCAGCTTTCAAGGGCACCAAGAGCATTCGAAGGAAAGGAAGGTAGCACGACAGGCAGCAAAAACGGAGCAGGTGAACGAGCATCTGAATGTGGAGCGTTACTCAGATGGCCACTGATTCCATCAGAAGAGCTGCATGGTTCCAGTGGCCAGTGTGCAGCATCCATCCAACGCGAGCTGGAGATGTCCTGGGTAAATTTAAAGCTTTCAGGTTTGTCCTCGCCACGACAGCCGGCTGCCATCACCTAGTAAAGGAGGAAGTATCATATCTGTTCTCCCGCCGCACACGATGCAGCACAGGATCAGCGACCGGACCGTGCCGGCGTGGCCGACCCAGCTGGTATGTCTTTTTGCCGTGCCGACTGCCGTAGCGATGTTTGCGGCAATTTTGTGCGCATGCCGGTGTGATGTCGTGAACTCCAAGCCCCACGCCGGGATAAAACACAGCTTGAAGCGGGCATTGGATGCAGCTTGGATGTTGTACAACCAAGTTCAACATTAAGCGTCTCAAGCTGCCGAGGGAATGCAAGATATGATCCACAAGAAGCCCGCCGAACCCTCACTAAATTCCCAGACCCCGCAACCCTAAACCCCCAAACCCAAAGCGCAACCAAAGTCGAAGTCACAGTCCGTTTTCGGTCTCTAAGAGCTTTAACATAAACATAAACGTCCTTGGAGCCACTGGGATACAAGGGTTGGTGAATGGCCTGAAAACAATTAACTGTTTTCTGAACAAGCTGTCTTTCCCTGGACAGTGTCATACTACGGGTCTCTTACGCTGACGGTAAGTTCCGAGACCTTCAAAACCCTCAAATCGAAACATCAGAAGCAGAAACTAAGCCCGATATACTACAGACCCTTAGCTACATGCTAACTGGGTAAACGGAGGTCATCAGGGTTTCGGGTCTTGGGGTTTAAAGACGTTTAGGATTTAGCCTTTAGGACATTGGAGCAATAACGACCCCAAGGGTTTTGGGTACCTCCTGATTGAGAGTCATAGAGTCCCGGAACCCTAAACCCCTAAACCCTAAACCCCTAAACCCTAAATTAAACTTTAAGCCCTGGACCTATCTTACGAGAACTCTTGCCATCGGGGTCTCAGAGACCCGAGCTTGGAGGATTTAAAGGTTCCAAAATTCTTACTTGGAGGGCTGGGGGACTTACTCAGTAGTTATTCTAGGGACTTATAAGTACCATAACCCCAATTAGGGTCCCTTTTAGGGTACTTATAACTCTACTGTTCGACCCTCCAAGTAAGATCCTTTTGGGCGCCACCCCGAACCTTCAAGCCGAAACCCTAAGCCCTAAACCCCAAAGCAAACACACACACACACACACACACGGCCTTTGCACCTTTGTCTGAGGCCAACATAAGTTGCTAAACTTAAACCGTAGAGTCAATCGACCACAGAACGCGTTCCCAACAGTGATAAAAGCGAGAGACCTGCTCTGGGGTGGGTTCAGGACCCTATGAACCCCAAGCCTTCAGCCGCTTGCGCTCAAGGTGTGGGAACAGGCATACAGTATACTTTACTTAAGGTGCTGGCACATGGATCAAGGATGATTAGTGCCAGGACACCTCAGACTGTATATAGGTGGCATGATGATGATACTGACGTTGCAGCTTTCTGGTAATGCAATATCGGCAACATCACTCGAAGCGTCGTACATACTCGATGGCTTTGTCATACCGTGTGAGCGACACCGGGGCCCATAGTTTTGTCCTCTTCCTTTTTTTTGTTGCTGCCTGCGTGTTCAAACGGAGTTTTTGGCTCCGGGAGCAATTCCCTTGACTTGGGGAACCCCAATCCCAAAATAAACACAAGAGAGCTTAGCAACAGAAAAGTTTCAAAACTTGAGCAGGAGCCAAATTTCTACAGCGCAAATACACTACGCAAAAACAACTCTAAGGTCCAAGTATTCCTCATTTATGGTTTTTGATACCCAAAGGGCCTTAAAATCCTAGAATAGGGAATACTTAGGCCTTCTTTTAAAGTGACAAGCCGTCGTCAGGCTCCACGCGATCGTCCTCAAGTACCTTGCATCGATGCACTCAAGCAGGTCTTCAGGCGGGACTTCCCGCCAGACAGACAGAGAGAGAGCGAGAGACAGAGACCCAGACAGAGAAAGAGAGAGAGAGAGAGAGACAGAAAGAGAGAGAGAGAGAGAGAGAGAGGGAACCGCGACGCACTACCGGCCAGTCACTACCGGCCAGCTCACTCTGAACCCTAAACCCCACGCCCTAGAACCCTTCCAAAATCCCTTGGACCCAATCCGACACATTACCGGCCAGTCCCTCAACCTGAAGCCCTAAACCCTATGTAGCCCCACACCCTGTAAAGCCCAAAACCCTACGTTCAAAAACAAATTTTGATCCAAACCCCGACACACTGCACCCTATATAACCCCTAACACCCTAGACCCTAATCCTAAACCCTATAAAATCCTAGACCCTATAAAATCCTAAACCCTATATGATAATCCTAAACCCTCTGTAACCCTAACCCTATATAATCCTAGGCCCTGCATAATCAAAAACCCTGTATAACCCTAAACCCTCTATAATCCTAAACCCTATGTAGCCCCCCTTGTCAGTCACTTCTACGATCGCCTGACATTGGCCGGGGATCGGCCCGGGACCTCAGAACAAAGTTACTACAGTAGCTAGGATGCCCAGTAGTACCCTTATTCCCTTTTTGTAGTCCGAGGTTCCTTATAAAGTTACCCAATACCAAAAAGAGAGGCCTTTTTATTCTTAGGTTCCTGGGTATCCTAGTTAGAAGCCAAAAAGTTGGAAACCCCATAGCCTCAGTCCTTAAGAGTAATGTATAGGGAATCCCAGCACTATTTGGCCTTAATCCGGTTTCCAACTTTATGGAGTTTACTGTAAGTTCCTCTAAGGGGAGCCGTTTACTTGGAGGGTCGGGGGACTTAGTATTAGTAGGCGATAAGTAGAGTTATACGTGCCCTAAAAGGGATCCTCATTGGGGTTATGGTACTTATAACTCTATAATAACTACCTAGTAAGTAGCTAATAAGTGAGACAAGTGCCCTAAAAGGGATCCTCATTGAGGTTATAGTACCTATAACTCTATAAAATGTAACTACTTAGTTAGTAGGTAATAAGAAGATAAGTACCCTAAAAGGGATCCTCATTGGAGTTATGGTACCTATAACTCTGTGGAATATAACTACTTACTTAGTACGTCTCTTACAAGTAACCCCGGACCCCTAAACCCTAAACCCCGGAAGCCCAGGTAGCCCTTCAGGGGTTTCGTTTAGGGGTTTAGGGTTTAGGCTGTAGGCTGCAGGGTTTCAGGGCTTAAGATTTATGGAGGTTCTTGTAAGGGCGCCATAAATGGGGTCTATAACAGGGTAGGGTTTAAGGCCTAGGATTTATAGAGGTTCTTCTGAGGGCGCCATAAATTGGCTTCTATAATAGGGCATTTAATAGGGTAGGGTTTGGGGTTTAGGGTTTAGAGTTTCTTCTAAGGGCTCCTTAGGGTCTAAGGTTCTATAGTAGGTTTGGGGTTTAGGGTTTAGAGTTTCTTTAAGGGCTCCTTAAAGCTGTCTATAAGGGTTTAGGGTTTACAGAGGCAGAGGCCCTCAAAAAACTTTAAAGCTGTCCTCATAGAACCCTTAACAAAAAGGGCCCAAAGGACCTCATAAACTTGAGGTGCAGGGGTTCTGACAAAGGTTCTACAAGGGTTCTATAAGGGGGGTTTGCATGGTTAGATGGAGGTCTTGCGGATCCACAGGACCTAGTGACTATAGGTACTTGGGTATAGGATACCAGTTATGGAGGTTAGTATGTGGCTTGGTTTTGACAATGACATTTAGTAAACAATTACAGGGTGTCCTACAAAAGGGGCCCCACAAAATTACCAATACTGTTCTCCACGGTTGGCTATCATAAATTTTTGTATACCACTACGCCCCCCAACACCCTATTCTAAGGTGTCTATATAAACAGGTTAGGTTCCACAAGAGTTTGTATATTGGCTCTGTGGTACACAGGTTAGGGCTTAGGGGTTTTCTGCTGCTACTGGTTCCTTTGAAGAGAGCAGAAGAAGTGCTTCACAAGGGCTCTGTAGTGGTTTCATCAGGGTCCCCTAAGTCCCCATACCTGCAACCCCCAAACCCTACAGTAGAAGCCAGAAAGTTGGAATATCATTATCGTAACCCCTTTAAGGTAAATTATAGGGGATCCTACCATTAATCCATATTCCAACTTTCTGGAGTTCCCTACAAAACCCCACGCCAAAACCCAAAACCCGAAGCTCTAAGCCCCGAAGCCCTAATCCCCTAAACCTTAAAGGGAACTCCAGAAAGTTGGAATATGGTTTCAGGGCAGGATACCCTATAATTTACCATAAAGGGTTTAGGATAATCATATTCCAACTTTCTGGCTTTTACTGTAATCCCCTAAACCTTAAGTTAAGCCCCAAACCGATTCTAACTACGAAGCTGCAAAGTGGCGGGGGCTTTTTATGCTACCCTAACCCATGAACCCCAAACTCGAACCCTAACCCTTAAACCCCTGAACCTTAAACCCTCGATCCTAAACCCTAATCCTTCGACCCTGGACCCTCAACCCTAAACCCTCGCCTAGGCCCGACCTTAACCCTGAATAACCTACCTTTTTCAGGACTTATGTAAGGAAATCAAAATGAGGAACCCTAAAAAAAGGTAGGCTATTCAGGGTTAAGGTAGATCCTAAACCCCTAAACTTTAAACCCCACTAAAAAGGAAATCATAATGAAGGTAGGTTATTCAGGGTTAGGGTAGATCCTGAACCTTAAACCGTTAGGGAATTGTAGAGGAGTCATGGGGGCTATGCCGGCCGAGCAAAAACAATCGGGGTTTAGGGTTCAGGGTTTAGGGTTTTAGGGTTTAGGGTTTAGGGTCTAGGGTCCTGGATCATGGATTACGGGCCTCATCATCGAGGTGCGCTGTGGATTTACGACGCAACGGCCTTCAGACGAGGATCATGTGCCAGCGAAGGTGCCGATTCCACCCAATGTCAGCGCGTTGGGCACCGGCTATTCTGCTTGCATTTGGCACGTATGTTTAATGGCCCGACTTCCTTTACTTCTCCTCGTAGTCGCAGGTACCTCCGGTCTTGCACCGTTCTCCCAATGGCAGAACTGACAACGGAGTTCCCAGTGGAACCACAAACAAGTGTTTCGTCGGCCAGTCGCCGGCGCATTGAAAAAGAGGGCCCATCCATGAGGCCAGCATCCCTGACTGTCATAACAGCTGGCTCCATGGCTGGCTGCAACTTTAAAGGTTTCGAATCCAGGGGTTCCTCAGTCTGAATTGAGGAAATACATTCCGAGCTTAAGGCGGTCGACGGTTTAGGTTTAGGGTCTAGTAAGGGTTCAAGTTTAGGGTATGAGAGTCCGACTGTTTTGGGTACAAATAAGATCCCCTCAAGTGGGGAGGGTACTTCAGACCCCGGTCTGCAGACCAAATAGGCCGAAGGTCTGAAGTGGGTCTGGGACCAATCCAGACCCCCGGCAGGGTCAATCCAGACCCCCCCCAAAAACGTAGTAACTTTGCATACAAAACATGCACACGAAACAACACATCGTGAGTATTAGTGAGTGCGTTTCCTTCGCGGCGGCCTTCTTAGCTGCAGGGACCTTGTTGGAGTTTGTGAAGCCAGGCAGACGGACATCAAAGCACCAGGGGCAGCCTTACAGTCAAACCACCTGTGCTGTTGCATACAGAAGGCGAGGTCACGGCACAGGAACAGACGTCAAACCGATACTGGTGTAGACGACACGACGCACTTTAGTTTCTGATTACATCTCGACATGCCTCGTGGTCGTCTCCTTCCTGCGGCGGAAGCTGCGGCATCAGAACCCCGAAGCCCAGAACCCACAAGCCCGAAAGCCCTGAAACCAGAAATCCTCAAACCAGAAACATCAACAAACCCTTTTTTGCAGAAACCCTAAACCCAGAAACCCCAGAAATCACAAACCCAGAAGCCCTAAACCCTCAGCTTCGAAACGTCCAGAAACGCTAAACACAGAAGGTTGGAAGCCAGAACCCGTCAACCCAGAAACCCTAAAACGTTGAAGCCTGAAACCTGCATGAGAGCCAACAACATCCAGAAACCCTAAACCCTTGAACGCAGAAACCCTAAACCCGTAGTCCCTTAGATCCTAAACCTAAGCAGAAGTCGTAACCCTAAAGAGAAAACCACAATCCTAAACCCCAAACCCTCGTGTCGAAACCCCAGCCCCTGTGGAATATAGAGGGGGGGAACGGGTCGCGTTCCGGCTGTTGCTGCTTCTACTGCTACACCTGCGGCTGCGGCTATGCGAGCTGCACGGCTACGGCTACGGCAGCGGCAACTGTGACCACTGCTTCTGCTACGCCGACGGCTACTGCTACTACTGCTGTTACGGCCACTGTTACTGCTGCTGCGCTAATGCTACGGCTAGCGCTACCCAGAGGCGCTGCAAAACCCAGAAACATCCAGAAACGTTAAGCCCACATGCCTTGTACCCAGAACCCCTGAACCCAGAAACCCTAAACCCCTGAAGCCAGAAAGCCAGAAACATCCAGAAACCTTGAATAGAAACTCTAAGCCCAGAAGCCTTGTATTAACCCAGAAACCCCAAGCCCTGGACCCAGAAATTCGAAACCCAGAAGCCCTAAACAGAAACATCAACCCAGAAGCCCGAAAACCTTGAAACCAGAAACCCTAAACCCAGAAACCCAGAAACCCCAGAGACGGTGGCTCGAAATGAACTTCGACAGTCAGACGACCCAGATTAAGGGGGAAGCCAAAGAACGTTCAGGAAACGCATCTTTCATTTCTTGTGCCTGACAGCATGCGGAGCACATAGGGGGATGTCAGTAAATGAAGCTTACCTTTTTCGCCCCCCCCCTCCACAAGAAACATGGTGGATACCAAGGTGTCCTGGTCTGAGCACGGCACCGGTAACCCAAGTAGACGGTTCTTTTGGAGAAGAGTGTCTGTGGCCTTATTTTAGCAAAAGAACGGCGTCCAAACTCCTGCGGAAACCCTCCTACCCGACGTCTCCCTTAGGGGATGGGGCGAACGGGTTGGCGGGTGTTCAATGCTGTTGTTTCCGGAAGCCGCTATTCCGCAAGCATCGCCAAGAATATCACCAGGATGCCCCCAACGGACCCCAAACTCAAAATATCATGCGTCAAGACAGACAGTTTGAGACAGCCGGAACAGAAACTCATCAGTGCCACTGACTTCCCGCATCGAGCCCGAAACCGGCACAAGCAGTATGTGGATCCAGGGGTTGGAGATCTCTTGGGGTCTGAACTGTGTTTTGGCCGCGGGGTCTGGATTGCTCCGGCGTTTTGAATCACAGCACTCGGGCCTCTGCTATCCAGACCCAGCGAAAAGGTCTGGATTGACGAGTGCCGAGGCAGACCCCCCCAGACTTGACCCTATCAAATAAGGCTGTTCATTAAACTAGGACTAGGAAGCACTTCATTCACCTCCGACACGGTTCAACTTGTCATGCCAATGTAACGGCTGTAACTGTATCTGTATCAAAGACCCTGCCTGGCCCCATAGTGAGTGGTCGGCGCCTGAACTTGCGGCTGTCCCACACAGTGGTGACACTTTTGGCAGAGACAACAGCTCCAGTGACCTATTTCCGGGTAGCGAAAGTTACATTGTTGTTTGGAGGTGGGCATGAGGGTTTAGTGGGTCAGGGGTTTGGGGGTCCCAGGGTTCAGGGTTTAGGGGTTTGGGGGCTCTGCTCCTCAAACTGTATCTCCCCGAATATTCCTTACGGTTCTTCAATCCGGTTTATGAATATAAGCTATTACTATAGTACACCAAAACCCTACCTCTTATTTAGGCCCCTGCGCTAACACCATATAGAACCTATGAGCCACTTTCACAGACCCTGGTAGAGACCTTTACAGGAACCCTACTTGGAGGGTCGGGCGACTTAGTAAGTAGGCATTACGTAGACTTATAAGTACCCCAAAAGGGATCCTAATCGAGGGTATACGAAGTCCCCCGACCCTCCACGTAATTATGCCAATCATTAAGGGCGCTATCTCATAGAAGCCTAGCTTGGTTAACCCCTCAACTGAACCTCTTCGAGTGACCCTCGGCGGAGAAAGGCCAGTTCTTCCCAGCGACACGATTAGCGTGCAGAGTTATCGATGCCAGGCACGGCACCGAGCTTGTTTCAACCTCTCAGCCCCTAAACCCCAGAAGCCTGAACCCTAAGCCCCTGAACCCCAAACCCCTAAACCCAAGCTCCTGAACTACAAACCTGACAAACGGAAACCCGAATGGATTACCGGATTATACTATTCCTAAGGGTGCCTTAAGATAAGTGCGTGCATATAAACAAACATCAATTCTTACGTATGTGCATATTGTATACATACACATATACGTATTTACACATGTACATATACATATTTACACATACATACATATATATATATATATATATATATATTATATATATATATACATACATACATACATAATCATACATACATACATACATACATACATACCCGATGATATATCACCAAAAATCCTGCTCCAACCATTCGGGCGCCTGTCCACAAAAAGCAGAGCCGTAGACGGGTGGTTGGTTGTGTTCGGCTTCTGGGGTGTGGGAGATCAAGAATTCGGGAGGTTTCAGGATTGGGGAATTTAGGGGTTCGGGGTGCATGGTTTTTGGTTTCGGGGCTGCAGGGTCTCCGGGTTTAGGGTTTCGGGGTTTCGGAATATCAGGAATTTGGGGTCTGGGATTTGAGGCTCCTTGGTGTTTGGGGCTGCAGGGTCGTTAGGCTTAGGGGTTTGAGGTGTCGTTTGCGTGGGTTTTAGCTTTGGGCACTTTGCGTTTCTGGGAGTGGGGTCTCATGGGGTTCCAGGGCCTCTCAGGGCAGAACAAGCTAGGTTGCGTGTTCCTTCAAGAACGCTTGCAGAAATCTTGTAAGACTCCATGAAGCCGTTGCAAATTCCTATGAAGTCTACAAGCTTCATAACATCGTTTTGAACCCTTATAATCCTCTTAAAGCACCCAGCAGCAGCGGTTTTCTTCGTGTCGCGAGCGCTGCGCGTTACACCTCCATGGCTCCAGGGACACGAAGGCTGGGTCCGGGTATGTACTTGGAGGATCATGGGACTTAGTAAGTAAGGATATAAGTACCTTAATTGGCGTTATAAGTGCTTATAAGTATGGTTACCTTAAATAGAACCCCAGTTACTAAGTCCCATGATCCTCTTAGTAGGGTTTGGTTTCGTACAGGTTTCCTCAAGGGTTCAACCTCGTGGAATTCACCTCAACCCCAAACCCTAAACCGCTAAACCCTGAAACTCAAACACTCAACTACTCAGAAGGGCTTCCAGGGCTTGTCAGCCAATCCTCAGGCTTGGAATAGCCCAGACGCCTTACATGGTACGGTCTTTTGGCCCACGAGCCTTAATAGTGAGTCCTCAGAGTTTTAGGGCAAGGGTTTCGGGTTTAGGGTTTAGGGCTTGGGGCTTGTATGGACAGGAGGTTTTTTTGCCATACGGTGCGGGTCTCACTGGGGGGCGCACGAGGCTTCAAGGTTGGGGAGAGGCTCTGGTTCAGCTAAGACGAGGCTTAATAAGCGCGAGACGCCCCAAGATCCCAAGTTTACAAGCTTTTCGTAGTTACTTTGGGGTCGAAGGTCTGTAGAAATTATATTCCGAAGTAGCTCACCCACCCAGGACCTCCGGCCTAGTCTAGCCATTGCAGCCGAGATTTCAGATGCATACCTCAGGATTCCTGTCAGCATCGAAGGAAGTGGGCAGGAAGATGGGAGGTATCCTGCAGTTAATATGCCAGGGTCTAGCGTTTAGGGGCTTGGGATCTAGATTCCATGCAGAGTTCGAAATTTGGGGATTTATGGGAAAAGCTCTACGTGTGGATCCTTTTCTTTGTCAGCTTACCATCATGGTATACTCTTCCATGGGGGACCCCGATGTCCCGTGGAGTGTGTGGTCAGTGTGATCGGGTGCATTACTTGAAGGATCAGGGTATTGAGGATACCTAGTAATCTATTCAATTCAGGGATAGACGGAATCAACAGTAAAATATTTACATATATATATATATACAGATATACACACACACACACACACACGAACACCGTATTTATAAACCTAGTCCTGTGATCCTTTAACTATGGTCTTTCCCTGAAAGTCCAGAATCCTCACGAAGATCCCTGCCACAGTTTGAGGCATATTCCGTAGGACGGCATCAGGGCTTCCTAGTTCATTTTTGAAGCGTACCAGTGTATCAGATACCCGATTCAAAGAACAGCGTGCAGTAGAGCATTATGGCTACAACGGCTCAAGCGTGTCGGTGCCAATGTGCACCGAACACCTGGTAGTTTAGGTTTTCGGGCATAATTACCCAAGGGCCCCAAAGTAGTTCCTTTTTGGGGTTCATATATAGAATCCTATAGGGTAACTCCAACAAGGAACTACTTTGGGGCCTCTGGGTAAGGTGTGAAGTTTATAGGGTTTGAGTTTGAGAAATGGTGTTGAGGGGTTTAGGGAGGGTTAGGGCTGAGTGTTCCGTGACTTCCGTGCCGCCCTCAGAAGTAGGTTAGCGCGAGTCGGAACTGATTACGTACTTGGAGGTTTGGGGGACTTAGTAACTGGTTATTTTAGGGACTTATAAGTACCATAACCCCAATTAGGGTCCGTTTTAGGGTACTTATAAGTCTACTTACTACCTACTGCCTACTTACTAAGTTCCCCGACCCTCCAAGTACTCCTGATCCTCATTCCCTAAGGCTCCATGTACCCATATAGTATATACTTAGGCCTGAAAGTGCCTTTATATAGGGACCCCTTTAAGGCTTAAGTAACTACTATAAAGGTACATGGAGCCTTTGGGATTACAAATGTCGTGGCGCCTGCGGACTCGACGCTTTGCCTTGACGCTTCTGATGGTGGGTTGCACCCACGAGCTGAGTTTTTTCTCTCCCCTGATGCTGAAATCTGAGTCGCCGACACCTGCCGGACCTTCAGATAGCCACCAACTTCTAGAAGTGCCTACGCACAGTCGCTCCTGGAATCCCAGCATGGATGCCGCCAGTGGCTTGCGGAAATCGCTCCAGGCCTACTTCAGGCCGCAGGACATTGGCACAAGAGAGATGAAAGCCACCTTCAAAAGCGCTCAGGATGCTTTGCAAAGGTATCACAGGAAGCATCGCTTCGTGCCCACGAGAGCATCCTTCCACCGCTGGGGCGTTCCGGGCTTGTTTCATGCCTTCGTGCTGTTGGAAGGTGACAAGCAGCGCAAGTGGTGGCACTTCTGGAAGAGACAGGACCTGTCCATGACAGTGCTCATCGACTTTGGTGCATTTGGCGTTCGCGTAATGTCAAACTCGCCCGAAGAGCTCGATTCCTTCTACAAGGCACAGATGGTGAACAAAGATGCAGTTCCAGACATCGTGCGCTGGCTGAAGCAGCGCCGGCTGGCAAAAATGGTGGACGTCAACGGGCCGGATGCAATCCCCAGCATCGTCAAATGGTTACAGCTGAAGGTGAAGAAAGAGCAGAAGTATCACGTGGTCAAGTACAACTGCCATCACTTTGCGCATGAGCTCATGAGCCGCCTCACATAAGTTGTTCCCTCAGGGTCATCCGTCGCCTGTTTCAATTGTAGACTTCAGCATCCAGTGGTCCGTCGAGTTCAAAAAAAGCCTGGCTCAGCGGCTGTAGTAGTAGCTTTCGATTTAGGGTTTACGTCTCTGATGGTTGACGTCATCGTCTACGCCTGTAAGTATTGCAGCCATGCAGATGTTGTCAGCAAACCTAAACCTTGTCACATGTTGACATGCTCGCGACAGGCGCAGCACGGCGAGTTCAACGGCCTGGCGCCATAGCGATGCCGGCATCTCTCCCAAGCGGTCGCTGCACTCTATGTTTGTGAGCATAATAACAAGAAGAACAAGAGCTGTAGTATCATTACGTGCAACTTCCCAAACTACTATCCTACATAACTACTATATTTCCTATACCCAGATCCCCGATAATTAGGTCCTTTGGACCCTCAAAGGCCCCTTGCACAACCCTTGTTTAGAACCCGTATACAGAGCCCCCTTTAGAGCTTTGTACGGCTATGTACAACTTGTATCTGGGCCTTTGAACCCTTGCGGTCTTTGGATTCTCCGTTCCCAGCGACCTGAGTTCCAAAGCTTTAGGGTTCACCTAAACCCTAAACCCCACAAGGGTTGGTTCAGGGCTTGGGGGGAACCCTTTGCCTCGATTTGGAGATTGATGTATGGGGTTTTCATGATGGTTCAGTGTTTACGTTTTTATAGCGAGAACCCAGAAGTATAAATTTTCCCAGAGGATCATTGAACGGCATAGATGAGCTGCGGCAGGTTTTGTCGACATTGCTGGATGATGCAGAGGCAACGCGCAACAGGGCTCTGGCTAGACTTTTCCTCTGTTGGTCCCATTTTCGGGTATAGGGTTCAGCTTGTATCTCCAGCCTCGGATCCCTGCAAGCTAAGTACCATCTGCTATATGGGAGTTTCCGAAAAAAGGGGACCTTAAAATATTACCCTAAATAGTAAGATGGTTACTATAAGGACCCCAAAATCAGGAACTCGGAAACTCCTATGTGAGCCTGAGCTCCATGCTCAAGACTTGCAGGACTAAACCCCTGCACCCTTAGCCCTTCCTGTAGCCGAAAAAACCTACCTGTTTAGGGTTCCTTGTTATGGTGTATATAGTATAGTTCCTTAAAAAAGGTAGGTTTTTGGGCCACAGGTTCATAAATCCCTACAAAACGGTGGAGTGTAGAGACCTTGAGCACAAAAGGTTAGCCTACTTCCCAGATTCGACTCACGCAAACCCTCCCAAACCCAAGTTTTGGCAAACCCTACACGCTAAATCTAAACAAAGGCTACAGACCCTAAGGTGTTACACCAAGTTTCAATAAGAAAACAAGCCCTAAACCCTACTATAAGCTTACGCAAGCCATAAACCCCAGGCCCTACCCTAAGGCCCCATAGTAGCTCCTTGTTGGGATTACTTCACATATAGAATTCTATAAATATGAAAAAAGGAGCTACTAAGGGATCCTATGGGTAGACTTGATCTCCGCCAGGCCAAAGCCAAGGGAAAGCTGCGGGAAGCCGCTTTTCCCGCCTCCGAGGAGCGTGTCCGGCAGTGATTTTGTCTTAGGGGTACTTACTTGGAGGGTCGGAGGACTTAGTAACTGGTAAATTTAGGGACTTATAAGTACCATAACCCCAATTAGGGTCCCTTTTAGGGTACTTATAAGTCTACTTACTACCTACTTACTAAGTCCCCCCGACCCTCCAAGTAGAGCTAGTTTTTATTTTTTGGGATCTATAGGGGGGTTCCTTAAAGGGCTCTATGAGGGGATCATAAGGGGATCTACAAGGGAGGGTCGGTATGGGAGTTATAGTAAGTAGACTTATAAGCACCCTAAAAGGGACCGTAATTGGGGTTATGATTATGGTACTTATAAGTCCCTAAAATATCCAGTTACTAAGTCCCCCGACCCTCCAAGCAGAGACTCCAATATCCCTTATATACAGAGTACACCGTAAATCATAGTAGGAATCCTACCAGAAGTTAAGGTATATTCTTTAATCAACGGATCTTGGAGTCTCTGGGCAGTGATCTTGTCTTGGTAGGCTTTTAAGATCCTTTCAGGGTTTGGGGTTTAGGTTGACTTGGTAGGCCTTAGGGACATTTTAGATTTTCTTTCCCCTGCGGGCTCAAAGGCATCGAAGTTACGACCAACTGTTCAGAGGCTTTGAGGGGCCGACCTGGTTCTTATCATTGTTGTTTTTTTTTAGGGTTCAGTTTCAAACTGCCTGTTAGCGTTCAGGGTTTGCTTTGGCCTAGCTTTCAAGTGCCCTAAGGGTCCTAACACTCTGGGTAACCTCCAAATTGAGGGTTTCTGAGACCCCAAACAGACCCAAGGACTCTCCCTCGCACATTCCGGACCCCCTTAAGGAAATACCTGGACCCTTAGGGAAAGGGAAGTTTGACACCACCTTGACCTGTACGTCCGCAAGTCTGACCCCAAACCCTGGACCACTAGTCCTAAACCCTAAAACCCTAAACCCTCTCTGGTCATCACACATTAAAAAAAACCTTAAACCCTAAACCCGAAACCCTAAACCCGAAACTAAATCCTAAACCCTAAACCCGAAACCCTAACCCTAGAACCCTAAAACCCTAAACCCTAAACCGTAAACCCACTAGCTGCCATCCTTTATAGGACTCTAGGTCTGAGTCACGTGGCCCATCAATCAATCCTTTAGGTTTGAGAAGTGGGAGTTTCCGAAACTAGGGGTACCTTATTTTGGGGTGCTTATAGTAAGGATCCTATTATTTAGGGTACTAGATTAGGGTCCCCTGTACCCTAAGGCTCAAAATGGCCCAAAAGCCTTATATAGCATGGTCTTTCCTTAATATATGAGTCCTTAGAGCCTTAGGGTTAGGTTTGAGAAGTGTTGCCATGGATCCTGCAATCCTGTAGGAAGTCATTGGTTTTGATAGTCTCGCGCATGGCTTGAGCAAAGTTATCTTCGACTGGCCGCTTTGACATCCTGGCCTATCGATCCTTTCCTCGCTGACATCCTGGCCTATCGATCCTCTGGTGGGAATACTCAAGCGCATGAAGCCGGAATGGGATGCTCTGGATGCTGGAAAGCACAACAGAAAGTTCTTTACAATCTCCATCCCATTACCACCTCAGGATTTGTATGGGCTCTATAACGAGTCTTGGGTAGGGTCCGGCTACGTCAACGAGCACATCAACAAGATGTGCTCGGCCGTATGGAGCAGGGGCAGCTTGGTTACTGAAAGTGCCGGCCTAGCAGACAGTCCCAGCAAAGTGCCTTGCATGGATGGCCCGAGTGTGACCGCCGAAAATCTGAGGCTGGGAGGGCTGGGACCGAGTGTGGGAGCAACAGAAAAGGCGGACGGTGCAGCTGCCCTGGATGCTGCTTTGAACTCCCGCGGCTGGATCGGCAAAGGCTCGGTCGCGTCTGATTACTACTCCGACCCAGAAACATGATGCTTGGACATCCGCTTTTGGAGCCCTTGGATCTCTTTGGGGTCTCAGCTTTCCTACATTTTGAAGTTCCCTAAAGTGTTAGGACCCTCAAAAAACCAGAGGCCTTACAGGAATTCCTTTTGGAACGGAACCCGCCACCCTAAATCCGCAACTGAAATCAAAACCCTAAATCTAAACAGAAGGGACCCCTTGACCTCAAACACCCTACTTGCAGGGTCGGCGGACTTAGTAAGTAGGCAATACGTAGAGTTATAAGTACCCTAATGGGATCCTCATTGGGGTTATGGTACTTATAACTCTCTAAAATAACTACTTAGTAAGTCCCCCGACCCTCTAAGTAAACCCTTAGCCTCAAACTCGTAAACCCCCGACTTTGACCACTCAACTGTTGAAATTTTAGACCGAAAGTTTGGGATATTTCGAAATTTCCCCTATTTCTGTTTATAAACAACATCGAGCCCCTGTCATGAATGATTTTGGGGACTGCTGAGATCGACACCTAATTGACCTTAAACCCTAAACCCTAAATCCCTCAACTCCAAATCGCTAACCTCTAAAAACCTACACCCCTAGGCCCTAAGCCCCCAGCCCTAAAATACCATTAAACCCTCTCTCTCTTTAGGAGGCTCCGGAACGTCCTAGGGAGAGTCCTTGGGTTTCTTTGGGGTCTCAGAAACCCTCAGTTTTAAGGTTCCCCAATGTGCTAGGACCCTTGGGTAAAGACCCTAAAACCCAGACCCTAAGCCCCTAAACTCTAAGCCCTAAACTAAAGCCCCTATGACCCCTAGACCCCTAAACCCCAAAATTTGACCCTGAACCCTTAAAGCCCCCCCCAAAGCCCAGACCCAAAAGACTTGACGTCCTGGAAGACCCAGACCCCCCAAAAAAATTCCAAAAAGTAGATCCCTTAATGGGGGTTCCTATAAAGTACCCTTAGTAGCATAGGGCCCCAAATTAGGGATCTACTTTCTAGATCCTCCCGGGATTCTGGGGAGGCATCATCCCAGCTGGCGAAGCTCCGCGAGGAGGAGCGGAAGCTTCTGGAGGCTGAGGAACCCTGGGGTTTAGGGTTTAGGGTTTAGGGTTTAGGGTTTAGGGTTTAGGGTTTAGGGTTTAGGGTTTAGGGTTTCGGGGTCTGGGCGTCTGGGGTTAAGGGTGCAGGATTTTGGGTCTTAGGGTTTTAGGGTTCTGGGCTTTTGGTTAGGGCCTTAGGGTTTTAGGGTCTAGGCTTCGGTGTATTTAAAGTTTTGGGTTTTAGAGTTTGGGGCTTTTGGGGTTAAGGGTGTAGGGTTTTAGGGTTTCATGAGAGTTCTAGGCTTCGGAGTACTTATATAGAGTTTTTGGGTTTTAGGGTTTGGGGTTTAGGGTCTAATGGTGCAGGGTGTCAGGGTGTAGGGTTTTAGAATTTAGGCTTAAGGGTTTAAGGTCTACGGGTGTAAAGTGTTAGGGCTCGAGGTTGAGGATGGCTTACCCTAAGGGTCCTAACAAGTTGGTGAACCTCAAAATGGGGGGTTTCCGAAAATAGGGACCCTAATATTGTACCCCAAATAGGAGGATCCTTACATAAAAGCCACAAAATAAGGTACCCCCAATTTTCGGAAACTCCCAAATAAAGAAAATAAAGAGACCCAAGGACTCTCCCTAGTACATTCCGGACCCTCCTAAAGAGATGCTGGGACCCTTAGGGTAGGGTTGCAGGATTTAGGGTTTAGGGCGGAGAGGGGCCTTCGACGTTTCCCCAACGGGTCCTAGGTAACACCCTAGGGATCTAAGGACTCATATGTTAAGGCTTTTGGGCTGTTTTGATCCCTAGGGATAATTCCCAACATAGAACCCCGACATTCCACTATCTAGGTACTTTGCACCCTTTAGAATTGTTGTTTCCGGGGCTCCTTTACTGTAAGTAGGGGCTTGGGATTTAGGGTTTTCAGGGTTCCTTGAAAGGGGGGTTTAGGGTTTTGGGTTTGTGGTTTAAGTTTCCGGCCAGCTTACACCAATAAGGATTCCATTCAGCTCTGTATGGGGTTCTATATATATATATATGTATGTATGTATATATATATATATACACAAGGGTTCTAGAAAGGACCCTTTTAGGATTTGGAGCCCTGCACAGGAAAGCCGCCTGGCCTAAAACCAAACCCTAAACCCCCAAACTTAAATCCTATACCCCAACCCTAGGTCCTCAGAACCGAAGCTCATACCCTACCCCTATTTAAGGATACCCTTACTTGGAGAGTCGGGGGACTTAGTAAGTAGTAAGTAGGTAGCAAGTAGACTTATAAGTACCCTAAAAGGGATTCTAATTCGGGTTAATTATGGTAATTATAAGTCTCTAAAATAACTACTAATCCCCCGACCCCCCAAGTAGGGAACCTTAGGACCTTAGATCCTAAGAACCCGCACCCTGCAAGGCGGATGTCAGCGGCGAAAGCGCCAACGATGCGAAGATCGCGGAGCTAGCGGCCGGCTTTGAGGGAGCTTTAGGGTTTATAGGAGGGAGTTAAGGGTTTAAGGAAGCTTAGAGTTTCGGAGGGAGTAGTGCTTAAGGCGAGGGTTTGAGGGAGTTCGGGGTTTAGGAGGGTTCAGGGTTTAAGGGAGTTTGGGATTTAGGGGAGGTTTAGGGTTTAGGAGGGTTTAGGGTTTAAGGGAGTTTGGGGTTTAGGGGAGGTTTAGGGTTTAAGTAAGTTTGGGGTTTAAGGGAGTTTGGGGTTTAGGGGAGGTTTAGGGTTTAAGTAAGTTTGGGGTTTAAGGGAGTTTGGGGCTTAAGGGAGTTCAGGGTTTAAGGGAGGTTCGGGTTTAGGATGGTTTAGGGTTTAAGGGAGTTTAGGGCTCAGGAGGGTTCAGGGTTTGAGGGAGGTTTAGGGTTTAGGAGTGTTTGCTGTTTAGGGATTTAGCTTGTAGGTTTGCGAGTTAAGGGTTTAGCGGGGTTTAGGGTTTAGCGGCTTTCACAGTCTAGGGGTTTAGGGTTCAGTGTAGGAGGGTTTAGGGTTGAGGGTTTCAGGTTCAGGGCTCAGGAGGGGGAGATTTAGGGATTTTTGTGTTTAAGTTTCAGGTTGGCTGAGGGTGAGGGTTTGGGGCTTGGGGGGTTTAGGGCTTCTTCGGCTTTTGGGGATGTGGGGTTCAAGGGTTAGGGTTTTACTTGGGTGCCGTCAAAATTATGGTCCCTTTTTTGGGTCCCTGTTTTTACTACAGCACCTATTGTTTAGGGTGCCCACAAACGGACCATCATTTTACCAACCACTCACTGGTTTTCATTACCCGCATTCTTTATTTGCTGTGGATTAAGCTTTTGCCCGAGGGCTTCTTTGGTGTTTGGAGTTGCGGGATTTCGGGTGTATGGTTCAGGGTTTTGGATTCCTGGGGATGCAAAAAGGTTTAGGTTAGGTTTGGGGGGTTTTAGGGGTTTTAGGGGCTTCAGGAGTTTAGGGGGTTAGGGTGTAGGGTTCACTCCAAGAGTCCTAACACTCTGGGGAACCCTCCAAACTGAGGGTTTCTCAGACCCCAAAGAGACCCAAGGACTCTTCCTAGGACATTCCGGACCCTCCTAAGGAGATACTTGCTTAGGGTTTAGTCGCAGACTGCCGCGGGAACTTTTGAATGTTTGTGCGTCCGACAAAAATTGCCACACAGATGAACTCGTCTTACATCATAACGGATACCTGCTAGCGTTGAGGGTTTAGGGTTTACGAGCTACATCAGCGTGTGGAGACCCCAAGTTCTGCTGCTCTGCCCCTCTACTACTTGGAGGGTCAGGGGACTTGGTAACCAAGAGGGTCCATATGTGCTACTATTATGGTATTAGGCCCCTAAAGCCGTAATGAGGATGGCTTCCAGTGGCCTGCTTCCAGAATGTTGGGGTATAAGGACTCTCTGGGTAAGTAGTTATTCTAGCGAGTTATAAGTACCACAACTCCAATTAAGATCCCACTTAGGGCACAATTGACTCGACTTCTTGCCTACAAACTAAGTCCTCCGATGCTCCAAGTAACCCTAAGGGTCCAAGTACCTTATAATCATATACTCTCCTAAATATTGAGCTACATACACAGCTATCCTAAACCCAGTATCTTGGGTCGTTTGGACCTTAAAACCCCAATATAATCCCAATAACAACCCCTTATAGAACCTTCTAGTATGCTCAAGGGCACCGGGCACCTGAGCTCCACTGCCCATTGCAGCTGTCCAGGCTTCTGGGCGCACAGAGTCCTGGGCCTTGGGGACCACTATTGCAGAACTTGCAAGCGGTATTCGCATGTTCTCGACTCTGGGCGAGATGCTGCATGTTGAAGGTCAGGAACTCAGCCGTCAGCGTCCGAAATGTCTGCATGGCATTCAGGTGGCATTCACCACAGTGATCGGATGCTGAATCCAGCCTCTTCCATCGTTGAAAGACTTGGCTCCATCGCTCATCTGCACTGGAATCCAAGCAGCACATGTCGCGACTCTCTATTTACACAGAGAGAGCGCTCATGGTCTTGAAGGCGTACACCTCGTCCAAGCTGGCTGCAGCTCGAGAGCTTCGTGCGTGCCGCGTCCTTGCAGTTACCCATAGGCCCTCCCTATAGTAGTTTTTTTTAGGCTTCATGTTTAGAATCCTATAAGGTACTCCCCAAAAAGAACTACTTTGGGGCCCATGGGTGTCTGCGACCGTCCCCAGATCCATCGCTTGGATCTCTGGGCGCGAGCTGAAGCTGGCAATAAGAGTTGGTCAAACAAAAATTGTGGAGCTACGGTTGATGATATAAATCCTGCATTATCTTAAGGACCCTAAGCTATGGGAATTATGGTATATTCCTTAAAATGGGTAATGCAGGATTTATATCATCAACAGTACAATGAACCTAAACCTTAAACTGCACTATAAACCCTAAACCAACCCTCCAAATAACCTAAGACCATGTGCAGATCTTGCACTTGGAAGGGGAAGCTACGGCAGCTGGAGAAGTCACGTCGTGAGCTTTTCGTCTGGGCCTTGGCGGCCTTGCCTTACTATAGTGGCTTGAATAATTACCAATATTATGGTGGGGGCTCCTTATTATAATTATAGTATAATGGGCCCCGGAACCCTATTCTACTTATTAAGGCCCCTATATTACTCAAAAAGGAGTTCTAAGTAGCTACCTTTACGCATACTGTAAGCGCTCCTCTAAGGGGTACTTTATAAGAGGTTTTTCAGGGAGCTATGATGGGGCCCTAAGTACCTATATGGTACAATGTAGAGGTTCCAGATTAGGAGCAGTTGGTTGATGATGAAATTCCGAACTAGTAGGGTTCTCACCTTTGTGATGCAAACTACACCAAGCCCCAAACCCACAACCCTCAATGAAGTGCACCTCATTTGTGAACCTAGCTTTAAAAACCTTGCAAGGCATTCTGAACAGAGCAGGAAGCTCTCCCAACCCTAAACCCTAAAATGCTCCCGCTGCTTGGAGGGTCGGGGGACTTACTACGTAGTTAGTTTAGAGAGTTATAGGTACCATAACCCCAATTAGGGTCCCTTCTAGGGTACTTATAACTCTACTTAGTACCTACTTACTAAGTCCCATACCTCCCCTCCCTTGTAGATCCCCTCATAATCCCCCTATAGATCCCTTTAAGGAGCTATTTAAGGATCCTTACTAAGTCCCCCGACCCTCCAAGTAGAACTCCCACGAGAAGGCCTCGGCCCCCGAGATGTTTCGGCTGCCGGCTCTAGGCTTGAGGTGTATCCCTAAGGGACCAAGTACCTGCTGATCATATACTGTATGAAATAATAACCTGCATAACTATGTCCCTAACCCTAAGGCTCAAAATGGCTCAAAAGCCTTATATAATATGGTCTTTTAGGCCCAAAAGCCTTAGAATATGAGTCCTTAGGGCCCTAGGGTAAGGGACCAAGTACCTACTGATCATATACTATATTAAACAATAACCTACATAACTACTAGCCTAAACTTGCATACCTGATTATTGGTTCCTTTGGACCCTTGCCCTAAGGCTCAAAATGGCTCAAAAGCCTTGTATAATAATTATGGTTTTTTAGGCCCAAAAGCCTTAGGATATGAGTCCTTGGAGCCTTAGGGTAAGGGACCAAGTACCTACTGATCATATACTATATTAAACAATAACCTACATAACTACTATCCTAAACCCACGTACCTGATTAGTGGTTCCTTTGGACCCTTGGAGTATGGGGTTTAGGGTTTGGTTTGAGCACCCTTGTACTCTCAGCCCCACCTCCGCAAGCAGGGGCTCCCTCTGTTGATGGAGTCCTTTGTGCCCACTTGGAGGGTCGGGGGACTTAGTAAGTAGGTATTAAGTAGAGTTATAAGTACCCTAAAAGGGACCTTAATTGAGGTTATGGTACTTATAACTCTCTCAAATAACTAGTTAGTAAGTCCCCCGACCCTCCAAGCACGGTGCAGGGTTTGGGGGGTTTAGAGTTGACTGTCAAGTTTCCAAAAGCGATTCAGTGCACAGTGCTTAGACAGCTTTAGGTTTTGACACACGGGGCTCTTAGTGGATAGGCTATAGGTGCCTCAATTAGGGGCTCTATGTAACCATAAGTATAGCTAACAGGTATCCTTGTTTAATAACTCTAAGCCCCTAGTCCCCGCCCCCCCCCCCCCCCCACCCCCCATCCCAAGCAACACTATACGTTCACACATTTTGACCCTGAGCCCCACAGCGTCTACTGGTAAGCTTCTCGCCAAGGCTGAAAATTTGTGTTTTGACTCACAACAGTTGCTTAGGTCGTTGGGCTCACCCGCTTTGTCAAAGGCATCCCAGACAGTTTGTCATCAATTGTCGGAATACATGGAGGTTGGGATTCAACCTCAAGTAACCCAAAACCTGTAAACTTAAAATCAGGAATTCACTGATGCCTCCCCATGCGCCTAAACCATAACCCTAATCTTGCCATATCATCACCCCATGAATCTGTTGTACACCTCCATAGCCCTCGCTTAGAGCATCAGTCAAAATTTCATGAACCCCGTTCGAAGCATCCATGGTTCGTGTTGCAACTTGCTAGAGCCCACTCTTCAGGGCTTAGGTTTCAGGGTACTGGATTAATTGTGCTATTGGTTTCGGTGGGGCCAGCCAGCATCGTTCACGACCATCACATCCCAAAATCACAGAAAGTGCCAGGAATCATGAAGAAGTTAAACCTAAGCCTAAATCCTAAAACCTAAACCCTAAACCTTAAACCTCAGTCCCTCCAACGAGAAGCACAAGGCCATGGGGATGTCTCCCCCGGTCCGATTCTTCATGGAAACCGCTCCTTGGCTACGATTCGGAGGGGGGTTCTGGGTTTAGGGGGATGTCCTTGAGCCTAAAACCCTGAGACTTAAATCGCTAAGCCACGTTGAACCCCAAAACGACAAGAACCCTAAATCTTCACACCCTACTTAGCCTGCACACCTAAAACACTTCATACCCTGTATTAACTTCAAGGTGTTGAGGCTTTTGGTGTGTGTCGGGCCAGTACCCGTTCGGTAGTTACAGGATGATGGGGGTTCGCAACCTAGGAATAAAGCTATGAGAACTATACTGACAACATTAATTAGGATACTCATATCCTTACTTACCCAGAGCGTCCAAGTACCCAAATAGCAGGGATTTAAAATTTAGGTTCCAAAATCCATACTCTGAATGGTTTTTGGACCTTGAAACCCTTCTATTTCGGTACTTGGACCCTTAGGGTTACTAAGACCCATGATCCTTTCAGTAGTAGAGCCTCGTGTCCCAAATACTGAACGCTGAATGGCCTCTGGCTGGCGCCTAAGCCTTGCAATCTGGGCATTTGGACTTGCAGGGTCGCGTAAGGAGCAGCTCAGGGCCTTTAAGGGGCAGTTGTAAAGATTATGGTCCCTTTTTGGGTACCCCAAATAATAGATGCCCTGTTATATTAGGATTCAACGTGCTGCATTTCGGCCTCAGGCAGCATTTCGGACGATTTTTGACGCAAAGCCATAATTAGTATCCGGGCCCTTTCCAAGATCCGGCGTCTAATTAGAGGTCGGCAGAAACCGCATCGCGGTTTACGGTTCAGGGTTAGGGGCTATCGTCCTCGCCATGTGCTGTGAGAGCCGGCAAGTAGTACCCGCATGCCCTTTTCACGGTCGGAGGGTGCGCGAAAGTTATATACCCTAAACTCCCTAAACCCTCAACGTGATACCCCAATGGCTATGCTTGTGTTTTTAGCGGTTCCCCCTCCTCCGTCCTGCGAAATCTTATGAATCCCGAACCTTATCCCAATAATTACCCTAATCCCACAAGCCTACATGCTGATTGTGTTTTAAAGGGTTCCCCTCCCTCGTTTCTTAGGGGTACTTAGAAAATAGTTTTTCATTTTTGGGTATTATAATCCCTAAGAGCCAGCCAAAAATATAGTTTTTGCCAGGGTTCTAAGTTCAGTATAGGTATTGCAAGGTCTTATCGGAGAATGGCCTCTCGCACGCGCTCGTCGCAGAGCTTGGCCAGTGGCCTCAAAACCCGATGCATTTTGCATTCGCAGCTTACGGGGACTAGGGTTTAAGGTTTTAGGGTAATTATGTTGTTACCCAAAGGATCCACAGGACATTGTGATTGAACATTTGAGTTCAGGATAGTAGTATACCAAAACCTGTTATCATGATTAGCATTCGGATTTTATAGTCTTCTGGTATGTACTATATTGTCACTGCTAAGATAATCCTCTCGTCGTTCTTTTCATATTCTATTTGATTTTCGGTGAGTTTCAAAAAAAAGGGGGGACCCTTGTTATAGCACCCTAAATTTTAGGATCCCTATTACAAGGACCCCAACTATAACGTACCCCTAATTTTTGGAAACTCCAAACTCTAAACCCTTTATAGAACTCCTATAGATCCCTTTAAGGGAACCCTTATGGATCCTTTAAAGGAGCCCTTATAGATTTCTTTCGAGATGCCGTATGAGGAGCTCTAGGATTCGAGGGCCGTCGGGCTTTTTGGGCTGAGGGGGTTCCGGTTTAGGGTTTAGGATTTAGGGGTTTAGGGGTTAGGGTTTAGGGTTTAGGGGTAACCTTACTTGGAGGGTCGGGTGACTTAGTAATGCTCCTTAAAGGGATTCTTTAAAGGGATCTATAAGGGGACTATCAGGAGAGGGTCGGGGGATTAAGTAAGTAGGTAGCATGTAGAGTTATAAGTACCCGAAAAGGGATCCTAATTGGGGTCATGGTAATTCTAACTCTATAGAATAGCTACTTAGTAAGTCCCCCGACTCTCCAAGTAGGGACCCAGAAAGCACATAAGCATAAGCATTTTATGGGGATATCCCTACCTTATTGGGATTCATTATAAGGGGATTTATATGGGATGTGCTTTTTTGGGGGCCCTAGCAGTTACTCATGGTGGCAACACGAAGATCAGTCTTTTCTGGCACTCCGTGTGCCGGGCGGCTTAGACCATCCAAGGGATCGCATTTGCCTCTGCTTTCGACCACTGCCGTACTTCGAGCACGAGCTCGCCTTTAAGTACGATGAGTCTCTCCTGTGGTCGCTGTCCCCGATGTCGAGACCCTCATCTTCGTCATAGGTGGGCAACACTTCGCATTTTTGTGGCTACTTCAGCCCAATAATGAATAGAAAGTTACAACTTTAATCTTATCCCAACCATGAAATAGCCATTGGGTTTATCTCACTTGCATAGTGCCTCTGCTAAAACCTTCCGGAAGCTTCCGGCCAGCTAGAGCTGCAGGATTCTCTCCGCCCTGTACCCGTATGAAGTCCCCTAATCCTCCAAGTAGGGCTGAGGTTTATCCCGATTCCAAAGCATAGAAAGCGTGCCTTGACCCGGCAGGTGGCTAGGAATTCTAAATATAGGGGCCTAAATAATTACCTATACTCTTGTGGAGATTCCTTATTATAAGTACAGATTAAGATACCCCCCCCAAAGCCCCGTTCTAATTACCACTAGTTCCTCCGCTACTTCGTGTGGCCGGTTCAGACTGTGGCCTCCACTCGTGACGTCTTCAGCACTGAAAATTAGGATGCCCAGTACTACCCTTATTCCCTTTTTGCAGTCCTCTAGGTTCCCGATAAAGTTACCCAATACCAAAAAGGGAGCCCTTTCTATTCCTAGGTTACTGGGCATCCTAGAAGCCCCTACACACTACAGCACTAAGCCCTCAAGGAACCCCAAGCCCTGATCTAATCTTCTAAGATCCCCACATCATAGAACAAGTATAGGTAACCCTTCTTGCCTTATCGTAAACCCTTACAGAGGCTCATGAAGAAAAAGCCTTCAAAGTCGTAAGCTAAAGAACCGGCTCTCCAGAAGGTTTAGACAACAAACTCTCACCCCCCCCCCTTACCCCGCGGCACATTTGAGAGGCACCCTCAGCCCTCCAGACCCCTTGACCGTCAAAGCAGCCAAAGAGACCCAAGGACTTTATCTAGGACCCTCCTAAAGAGATACCTGGACCCTTAGGGTAAACCCTAAAACCCTAAACCCCAAAACAAAAAAACACAACTCTAAACTCTAAAGCCCTAAACCCTGAACCCCTAAGCCCTAAACCCCTAAGCCCCGAAACCCCAAACCGTAAACTCCTAAAACCCTACACCCCTACATACACCCTAAACCCTGAACCCTCAAAGAGACGATGAAAACAAAACTAAACCAGATCCTTCTTTTAACCAGGCCATACCAGGCCTAAAATTGTGGATTCTGGTATACCCCAATCTTATGGTTTTTGTTTAGGTCCTTTTTTGGGTCCCTACTACTCTACGGGTCCAGGTATCTCCTTAGGAGGGTCCCAGAGATAGGACCCTTACTTGGAGGGTCGGGGGACTTAGTAAGTAGGTAGTAGGTAGACTTATAAGTACCCTAAAGCGGAGCCTAATCGGGGTTATGGTACTTATTATAAGTCCCTAAAATAACCAGTTACTAAGTCCCCCGACCCTCCAAGTAAGGGTAGTACCCATAACCAGCTTTTTTCATCAGGCCAGGGCCTCCAAACCCCTAAAATGATACCTTTTTGTAGTACCCTTAAAGGAACCCTTATAGATCCCTTAAAGGAGCCCTTAAAGGAACCCCATAACCAGCTTTTTGTTACCCAGGCCAGGGCCTCCAGACCTGGCGAGCCCCGCGCCTGGCGCCTCTGATGGCGCAGCGGAGGGAGCTGCTGGAAACCAGGCGAAGCGCTTTGGGGAGGGAGGGGGTTGGGGGCGCCTTTTGGGGAGTTTAGGGGGTTAGAGGTTTAAGGGCTCTGAAGTTTTGAGGTGGTTTCGGGTTTTGGGGTTTAGGGTTTATGGTTTGGGGGTTTTGGGGCTTAGGGGTTTAGGGTTTAGAGGTTTAGGGGTTTAGGGTTTAGGGGCCTCAAGGAATCGATAAGGGTTTCTCTCTACGGGGTATCCATAAGCTTTATACAAGGGTTCGTGCTATAAAGGGGGGGCTTTTGGGGCTTAGGGGGTTTAGGGTTTCAGGGTCTAGGGTTTAGGGGGTAGGGTTTTTGGGTTTAGGGTTTAGGGGTTCAGGATTTCGGGGTTCAGGTTTTAGGGTTTAGGGGGTACCTTAAGGGTCCTACAGTGAAAGCCCCGTATAAGAACCCCGTTCGGCGAGAGTAGCCTACCCTAAGGTTCTTAATCTCCATTACATGTGATTTTGCCGGTCGAGCAGCTAGGGTAGGCTCAGGTTCTTAACCACGTTCTTATCCGCGATTGATACCTTGACTGAGGGCTCTGAGGGAATTTACTTTCGGATTCTAAATTTCCTTGTGGGGGGGCGGTGGGCCATGGGGGTCTGGAAAATTTAGTTTTCAATTCTAAATTTCCACGGCTCGTCGAAAGGACTCGGGGCGGAGGGCATGGCCAGGGGCCTCAGAAAAAGGGAGAGGGGAGGGTGAGAGCCTCCAGAAAAAATATTGTTGGATTCTAAATTTCCTGGTGCCGGGGGTGTGGCTTGGGCCAAGGACCACAGGGCCGTACCCAAGTAGTAGGGTTTTAGGCCCCAAAATCCATGCTGTGAATGGTTTTTCGACCTTGAGTTCCTTTTTGGGATTACCTTATGGGATTCTAATATGAGCCCCCAAAAGGCAACTACTACGGGGCCTATGGGTATGCTCTGTGTCAACCTTGAAGATGACGTGTACCCCTAAAAGGGTGTAAGGTTCAACTACGATCTCGGCAGATACGGTTGATGATATAAAACCTGCATTACCTTAAGGACCCTAATCTATGGGAATTATGGTATACCCTTATTATGGGTAATGCAGGATTTATGTCATCAACAGTAGGGATTTACCGTACAGGATGCCCAGTAGTACCCTTATTCCCTTTTTGTAGTCCTAGGTTCCTTATAGAGAGTTACCTAATACCCAAAAAGGAGCTCTTTTATTCCCAGGTTAACTGGGCATCCTTGTTTCGGGCCTCTACTTTAAAGGGTCCTTTGATCCTTAAGGCAGATGTGATTTCTGACCCTTGAATCCGAAACCCCGGACTGCCCTGCCCCTAAGCGTCCAAGAACCTAAGTATCATATACTCTCCCAAATACGAACCTATATAACTACTGTTGATGATAAAAATCCTGCATTACCAAAACGACCCTAAACTATGGGAATTATGGTATTTTCCTGAGTATGGGTAATGCAGGATTTATATCATCAACCGTACGACTACTATCCTAAAACCCAGTACCTTAGAATTGGATTTTTTTCGAACCCCTGGGGTGTTTCTCAAGGCTCCAGCTACACCAGGATATGCGCGGGCAGATGGAGGTCGGATCGGAGTGTGTTTTGGGATATAACCCGAAGGGTCCAAGTACCGAATTATCATATACTGTCCAAACAGTGACCTACATGACCACTATCCTAAACCCAAGTACCTAATTAATTCTTGTGTCCTTTGGACACCTTGGGGTAATGTAGCAGCCTGAATAAACTAGCTACATTATCCCTCAGGGCCTTAGGGTTCGTAATTTATAAATATCAAAGCCCCTATAGTGGGGTTTGGGGGGGTCAGGGTTTGGTTTAGGATTTACGGTTTAAGTAAGGTTTAGGGTTTGCCGGGTGGGTCGCTTTTGCTGAAGGGATCCAGGAATAACTTAGTGAGCAGGCGTTAGGATACACTTTCCTCCCTAGTACATCCGGTAGTAGGATGTCGGTTTAGGAACCTAGAAATGTTGGTTAGGGTGTTAGGCAAAATATGTCAGCGCAATTTTGGTTGGTATGACGGCATGATGCTACCAAACAGGTCAGCGAGTCTAGTGTTGTTCAGCAATCTTTTTACTCAAGGGAAGGGAGAAAGGGCTTGAGGGCTTCCCAAGTATTCGAAAGTTTTGAGGGTTTTACACGCGCAGCAGCCCCAAACCAAAGACCTTAAACCCCGTTTGGCGAATCGAAGTTAACTATTGGGTCCTTTGGACCCCTTAGGGTACGATGGAAATTCTGGGGGGGTTTTGTCTCTACGACTCGAAGCTTCGTGCTTCTGCGGTGCAAGAAAGCAGGGCAAGTACGGAATGTAGGGCTCGAAGGCTTTCACTCCACAGAAACTCTTATGCAGAGTTTGAGTGGGATACTGTCGGCAAGTAGCAGAATAGCAACCTAATAATTAGACCAAAAGACACTCAAAAGCACGGGCCCAACAACCCCAGCACTATGAAAGCCTCTTTGGTCTTTGAACTTTAAACCCTTTCAGGGTTCATTTCGTCCTTAAGGAAGAAGGTCTCCCCGCCATGGCGCGCAAAGAGGCGATCGTTGTCTTCAACGGCTGCTTCTGCCCAGTTCATGCAGGCCATATATCCTAGGCTTTAGGGTTTATTTAAAATGCAAGTCTGGACTTTTCTCTCCCTGGTTACTTCAAAGCCCTATAGTAATCTCCTTACTGTAGGGGGCCCTATAGCCCTAAAACCCTGAACCCCATACCGTAAAACCCCTAGGACCTAGAGTAGGCCCTTATTCCCTTTTTTAGGGTTCAGCCCCTTTTACACCAAAAAGGGCACCCTTTTTATTCCTAGGTTACTCTTGGGTCTAGACCCCAAACCCCAAACCCTGGTTAGTTCAAAGCCCAGGCCATATCCAGGCACTGGAAGATTGCAAGCGGAAGATTGAATCTCGCGGCGAGTAACCGCGGCATCAATTACCTGCCACTCTTTGGGCTATGCCGTATACTTCTTTTGTCATAGTTGGGTGACAACTTGCATTTTCATTGGTAATTAAGTCAAGAAGGAATGGACATGATTTTTTTTGATACTACCCCAACCCTGGACCAAATAAAGGCCCATAAACTACATAAACTACTATTTTGTGGGGTGTGGGGCTACAGGTACTCCGTGACGGCAGGATACTTTGCAGTTGCACCGGACCATTATGTCCAACAGAAAGTCAAGAAGATGGAACCCTGGATGACTGCAGCTGCACGCACTGAGCTTTGCAAGGCTGTGGCCAAGGATCGTGGATGGCTTATTTCTGCCGCCGAATTCGAGGGCTGGAAGAGGTGTGGGAAAGCTACCGGGCTCGGGATTCCTAAACCCTAAAGCCTAAAACCCTAAACCCACAAGATGTGTTGTGCTCGTTCTGCAGCCGGGAGTGCGTTTTGCGAGTAGGAATCCGGCGTTCCGGTAGGGCACTAAAGATCGCTGGCTATCCCTGAGACTGCAAGTAGACAAATCTTAGGGGCAAATAGACATCTTTGGTTATTATAATCCCACAGAGACACTTGCTTTTAGGGTTTAGGAGTGTATACTTTCGAGTTAAGGCTATGGTGGCGAATCACCACAGCCCAGACACCGAAGTCTTCGGCGTGCGTTCCGAAGCTAAGCAGGGCGGCATCACTACGAAGGGTGATGGAGAGACTGCTGACGTGAGCTCCACCAGTATCCGCGCAGAGCTGGCGAAGCATGGGAGCACTGCAGCGACTATTGATGATCTAGTCAGGAGAAGACTTCTCGGCAAAGAGGTGGGGGAGTGTCTGAAGCGATACTGCAAGACTTCATCAGCATCTACTGCTGCAGATGGGTCCACGAGACAGGGGGATGATGGCAAGCAAGAGAAGGGCTACCCCTCCGATGCCTATGCAGACGCACAGTACCGACAGATTCGTGCCATCTACGACGAGAGGAGGATCATCGTGTACCAAGCCTACAACGATGCAATTGCTGATGCAGCTGTTAAGGGCAACTCATTCAAGGCTCCCATGGAAGCTGGTCTTTGGAAACCGACTCGCATGACATGGATAAAGCCTAGTGCAGTTTGGATGGCCTATCGCTGTGGCTGGACGACCATGCAGCTGGGTTCTTGTTCAGGAATTTTAACTGGATCTATAGACGGCTTTCTTATTACAGGGAACTCCAGAAAGTTGGAATATGGTTTCAGGGTAGGATACCTTATAATTTACCATAGAAGGGTTTAGGATAATCATATTCCAACTTTCTGGCTTTTACTTTATGGTAACTTAAATTAAACCCTCGAACAAGAACCCAGGAAGGACAAAAACCAGGCGAGAGTCCTGGCTTTGCATCTTTCTCGTGCCTTGGAGAACAAATGATCCTGAACAGTACCGGCCAGACATGCTTATACTCTGAATTCCTATAAGCGTGCCCTCAAAGGGTTCCTTTGAACCCTTAGCAGATTCTTGACAGTAACCTTGAAACTAATCCCAAGGTGATATAAACCAAGGTTGTAAACCATAACCTTTGGCTCCCAAAAACCACACTCTGCATGCTTTTTGGTTCCTGAAACCCTACTATTTGGATACTTGGACCATTCAGGTAACTTCATCGGTTTTGGGCCGTTATTTTACTTACTTTTTGGGGGGCGTATGCCCTAAGCCCGGAATCGAGACCCTAAACCCTAAACCCTGGGGGGGCGTGTGCCCTAAACCCGAACCCCACCCAAGGTGAGGGTTTCGAAGACCTGCTCATGGATGCACATTTGTCCCATTCCTCCGTCGATCAGTCGAAGTGCCTTGACAGCTCTGTGGTGGTTCAGTGGGATCCTGAACGTCACTCAGCTGCTATGGTTCAATGTTTTGATTTAGGGTGGGGTGTTCGTTTTAATTTAGGCGTGAAGGATGTTCTTACCACTGCCATGGCTTATAATAGACGTAGATATCAACCTATGTCATAAGACATGTATTAGTACATCAGTGCCTGTGCAGCAGCCCAGCCAGGCGAGATGGATACAGAAGGCGCCGGAAAGCAGGTGTCCAAGGGTAAAAGGAGGGACCCTTAATAAGGACCCCTAGGTAATATACCCTTAATATAGCCATCATATACCCATTATATAGCCCATTACAGGGTAGGGGTCCCCATTATTAAGGGTCCTTCCTTTTCCCCTTTGAAGGTGTACACGAGACCGCTGAGAAACGTCCGCTCCATTCAGATTGGCCTGCGAGGTGCAGCTGTGCAGAAGCTTCTTGATCCAACCCTGGTACTCAAGATCACCGACGAGACCGAACGGTTTAAGAGACCAGGTTTAAGATTAGCGAGTATTGTACTTTTTGTCGTTGTTTGCTGCTCTTATGGGTTCCGGTCATGCTTGACATATCACAGAGTAAAGGGTCATAGTTGCTTTCTTCCTGTTTGGCACTTGAATAGATGACAAAGCCCAACCCCGAGCCTTACCAGACCAAGGAAAGCAGCAGCCGCACTCGAGACAGGAAACTTTGTAATAGTTGGGTAACATTTTGCATTTTTATGGGTACTTAAAATCAATAAGGAATAAAAATGTACATTTTTCATCGTTTCCCAGCCATGAGACAGGAAACGCTGAGGAGGCTTGCGCTGCGTTATGGCCAAGTCAGCGAGAAAGTCTGCTCCCTGTGCCCGGGCCGATCTTGAAGTGTAAACATTAAACATCCTTTTCGTGGGAGCTTCCTTTTATGTACTCTCATATAGAATTTACAGGGACCCTGCAAAAAAGTAGGTTTTGGTAGCTCAAGGTGTTTAGTATAAGGCTTAGGGTTATGATGCTCATTTGTGCCAGCGGAAGACATTCCCCAAAATCCAGTAATGAAGGATTATATAATGAAGATCAGGAATAAGGGATGTCATCCTACTCCACGGCAACCATGAGGGCGAAATCAGGGATGTCATCCTACCCCCCAGGAACAGTGAGGGCGAAATCAGGGTACATTTCATCTTCACAGCATGTCGTATTTCCTTGAAAAAGGGTGGACGTGCGTGTATGGTCGTCCGTGTCTCTATGGAATCATAGCTGTAGTTACTGTAGTTTTCCCAACCCACCGACTGTCCGCTATTTCGAGAGGGGACTTCCTGCGCTGATTCTACCCGGCCACTCCACGTTGCGTATTCCTGTTAAACCAGTTGAAACACCGCCCGAAGTTCGCCCTCCTGTCTGAAAATGGGGCAAATGGCTGCCCTGATTTTGGCCCTGATCTGAAAATGGGAGCAAATGGCTGCCCTGATTTTGCCCTGATTCCTGTGCCCTCATTTTCCTGGGGAAAATGAGGGAAAAATCAGGGCAGAATCAGGGCAGGCCCGTTCCAGGAATGAGGGCAAAATCAGGGCAGCGGTTTGGCGGCCCTTTGGGAATCAGGGAAAAATGAGGGCAGCCGCCGTTCTCGTAGTCAGGGAAACATGAGGTCCGCTGTTTCCAGGCTTGGTGTCATGTAGAATCTCAGGCGGTTCGGGCTGTGGCAAGTTCATCTGAATTAATATTGGTCCTCAGTTACGTTCAGGTCCACGGACGGGCGTTATTGCCACTCCTACTTCTAGCACTACTCAGCTCTTGTGAATTGTGATTACTCCATTTTTGCAGGGTCATGATTGAGCATAAGCAAACACACAGCTCCTGAGAGTCCTGCGTTCACACTGCTGTCGTGCACTCGACGTCCGAGTGAACCGAAGTGAAAAATGCAGGCGCCAACGCTCTCATTGTCAGCCCTGATTCTGCCCGGGCATGCCCTGATTCTGGTATATTTTGGTTAGCATGAAATGATCCTTATATAAGTTTAGGGTTAATGATGAAACCTAGAGGGTCCATATCACATAAATACATATATTCATATATGTGGATATACATGTTACATATACATACTACCTTCATAGACTTAAAAATCCCAAAGAACCGTCCTTGTTGTAGTTCTGGGGAGATAAATTCGTTGTCAGTACTTGCTGAACGGCCTTCAAGAACAACTCAGGTGTCGCCACAGTTGATGTCGGTGCTCGGAATGTATGAGCAGCCGGAAGACACGTGAAATCTCGCCAGAAGGTCCAGAGAGTTTTGCAGCCTGTACAGTTCAAGGCGCACCATAAGCCTGGCTCCCTGTACTTGCTGAAACAGTGGGGCAGCGGCAGGGGTGCAAGCATCTCTCTAAACCCTAAGGATCCCAGTGCCTATAATCATCATATACTCTCCCCCACATCAGCCTACATTTCTATTCAGAACCCACGTACCTAGTTGATTGGTGCTTTGGACCCTCAGGGTAATTCCTTCACAACGTAGCACTCGCAACCTCGGAGGGCGAGCTGTCAGATGCCTCCGACTTGTACAGAGCGAGCTCCGATCCGCATCACTGCCTGCAGAATCGACAAACCGTTATTGCGTTCTACCTTCGTATCTCAATGAAGTTTTTGGCTCAATTATCGGAGAGCTATGCTGAGGAGCCCTACGGAAAATTGTAATGGCAAATTCTCAGGCACTCTTATTGGGGCTTGGGTAGCGTTTGGAGCACCATAGAGGGTGTGAGGGTTTAGGGTTTCGGGTTTATAGGGGTTTAGGGTTGAGGGTCTAGGGTTTAGGGGTTTGGGGGTTTAGGGGTTTAGGGCTCGGGGGTTACTGGGCTCGGAGTACCATACTTTCATCCTTTTCTGCGACCTGTCACTCGAAGGGAACCATTATGAACTCAACGCCAATCCTTTTTTTCTCGCTGGTTACTTCAAAGCTCAGTCTAGGGTATACAGCAGTAATGGCGTCGGTACTATGGGTACTTTAGGGGGTGCCTTGAAGCTCTAAAACCCTGAAATCTCAAACCCTAAACCCCTAAACCCTGAAACCCTAAACCTTAAAACCCTGCATGACCCCAACGGTGGAAATCCGAAGAGCCTCAACCTCGAGACCGAAGGCATAACGCAGGGGCCCTCCTTAAAATAGCTAAAATAGAATCGGCTTGTTTAAAAAGAAGCATAGGTTAAAGAACATGCCATTGCAGAATACAGGGGCCTTCCTTAGTTACTTATAATGGGCCCCAGTATAGTCCCTATGTACTCCTTTAGGGGTTTAGGGTTTAGAGTTTAGGGTTTATTTAGGGTTGAGGGTTTACTAGGATGCCCGGTAGTACCCTTATTCCCTTTTGGTAGTCCTAGGTTCCTTATACAGTTACCAAAAACCAAAAAAGGGCAAAAAGGGAGCCCTTTTTACTCCTAGGTTACTGGCCATCCTAGTAGTACACGGGCTTTCCTGATTATCGTTATAGTATAATGGGCCCCAAAACTCTAGTTATTAAGGCCACAGAGGGTCCATATACACTGCTATTAGGGTTTAGGGCTTTGGGTTTAGGGCTTAGGGCTTTGGGTTTAGGGCTTCGGGTTTGGGTTTTAGGGCCTGGGGTTTAGGGTTTAGGGTCCATACATGGCATTGGGTCCCCGAAATCATAACAGGGATGGTCTTCTGGGACCTAGACCTAGTTCCATAATGGTAGTGTATATGGACCCTTTGGGATTCATTTTACCCTCAATTCCTAGGTAGATCCTAAACCCTCGCGCGCGTAAAGCCACATCTCTGTTCCCTAGGTTCGATAAGATCGTGAGCAAAGCGGTTTAAGAGGGTCGGGCAAGGGTTTAAGATTGACATAAAGAACCAATTCAGGTTGCTTAGTACTTAGGTTATGAAAGTAGACTGACGAGGTTTAGGGCTCAGGGTTTTTCTCATTGCTGACTCTCCTTATAGAGCGGGTCGATATCGGCTGTAAAGTTAGGAGACCTTAACGGCTGTAAGATTGCACAGCTGCCCTTCAATTTCATGGGGCGATCTGTTTTTGGTGTCGGCATAGTATGGGGCTTGTCCCGCAAGTCGTGATACTCCTGTATATCATGGCCCCCATTTAGTGATAGTATAGTAAAGTATATGTGGCGTGTATCTGTAGTACAATATGCAACCCTTGGCCCGTGTTCGAGTTACTCAAGAACTCTACAATCCAAGGGTAAAAGGAGGGACCCTTAATAAGGACCCCTAGGTATATACCCTTAATATGGCTATTATATACCTAGTGTATAGCCCACTATAGGGCAGGGGTCGGGGTCCCCATTAAGGGTCCTGCTTTTCTCCCTTTGATCCTATATCCCCCTCCCTCCACAGCTCGGACCTGCCGTAGGGGGCTAAATTAGGTACTGCCCCCATACAGTAATAGTCTATAACAAGGCTACTATTAAGGTCCTGATATATCTATAGTATGAATATTATTCAACTATTAGTGAGTGGGGGGCCGTACCCAAGGGCTACACTCAGTCGATTGGGGATTCAATCCTGTTTTACTGGGTTCTTGTTGAGGGCTTTAATCTAAGTGACCAGAATAGTTATCTATAGCAAATAATGTGGTTCCTTGTTATGGTAATTTAGATTACACCCTTTAACAAGAAACCACTTCAAAACGTTTTAGAACAAGAGGTACCTGGGCAATGCACGACTTGCGCCTGCTCAGGGACCCCACCAGCGAGAAATGCAGAGCGTTCTGCAGCGGCTGCAGCAGACAGAGCAGGCTTCGACAGAGATACTGGGTTGAGGGTTGAGGGCTTGGGTTTTACGAGGTTTAGGGTGTATGGGTTAGGATTAAGGGTGTAGGGTTTACGGAACCGTCATAAACGCTATCAGCCCAATAACCCCTTTGAGCCCTAAGCAGCAAGGCACATATGAGCCCTCCTCCCTGGTTGGATTTAGGGTACCAGTACTGGAAGCAGGAGAGTCCTCATGGCTCTAGGCGAAACGGTTTTGTTGAAAGGCCTTTTGATGAAGTGAAGGTTCAGGGTTTAGGGTGGTTCAGACTTTGGGGTTCGTTTGGGATTAGACTATTTTTCATTTGGTTTTTGTAGCATGGGAAGAGTGTGGAAGGGAAGGGATTGATGTTGGAGGAGCTTCTGCGGCAAACGAGGTCGTGGCGTGACTACACGTATGCAGCCAGACATCATCCATCGTGCAGATGTCTAAGAGTTTAAATTCAGAAAGGAGGCCCCTAAACCCTAAACCCTGAACCCTACACCCGAGGGGTTCATATAAACCTCCTGGCTCCGCAGGCTCTGAACCCCCAACCTGAAAACAGCTGCAAAGATGAACGTTGAGGCGTCATCTTCGGGTCCCGAACGTTGGGGTCAACCCTAAACCTTCCAAACTCCGGATCCCTAATTGGTAATGTGATGTACGGCATATTCCGTAGTTGAGAGATTTTGGAAGGTTTGGGACATCTGATCCATGGGTTTGGGGTTACCGTAACCCCCAAAAACCCTGCCTGTTTAAAGGACTGATAAGGATATCATGGTGTGGAGTCCCAAACAGGTAGGTGCTTGGGGTTTAGGTGTACAGCTTTCCGGTACCAGAGGTTTTCGGAAAGAAAGCCTTCGCGTAGGGGTCCATGCTACCGGCATTTTTAGGACTAGATGGCCTGAAAAAATGTGCTTCTTAGTCTTATAGTCAGAAACTATGGATCTTAAGGTTTTAGGTTGCAGACATATGGGGCTACAAGTCCCAACTTCAACCCCAAATCGTAGACCCTGGCCCCAGGCCCTCAACCGCCCCCAATCCGGTTTCAATTTCACAGCTCCAAAGTCCCAGACTTCCAACTCCGAAATGCCAAGCCCTGAGTTCAAGTAATTCTGAAGCATCGCACATGTAGGTCCTTGTATATAATGGTCTACCATACTGCAGGTATACAGGGCTCACATGTGTCCAACGCTTACTGCATGAAGTGCTGCTATGCATCATCCAGAAGCCGCTGAAACTCTATGTGCATGTAGAATGCAGGCATAAAGCCGTGCTGAAATCCTGATATATTTTCAGTCATGGAGAAGTTTAAAGCTACAAACATCTACAAACTGACCTACAGTCATTTGCAAACTGAGCTAAACCCCTCGGAGCCCTAAACCTCTACATCCTTCAACTCCAAATACTGGGACAGTCGGGGGACTTACTAAGTAGTTGTTTGAGAGAGTTATAAGTAGGTTCCTTCAAGGAGCCCTTGAAGGATCCCTTGAAGGAGCCTTACTCAGTCCCCGACCCTCCAAGTAGACCCTAAACTCTAAACCCTAAACCTGCCTAAAGCCCTAAACCCTAAGCCACCCTCCAGTCGAAGTCCCCCGACACACCAAAGTCCAGGCTCTTGAGCAGCTAAACATAACTTTGGACACCTTCTGGGAAGAGGCGAAAGAGTCTGAGGGTTTAGGGTTTGGGGTTTAAGTTAGCGGTTTAGGGTTTATAATGGGGATTTTAGGGTTTGTGGCTTTGGGGTTTAGGGTTGAGGGTTGGGGTTTGAGGTTTCGAGTTTTACGCTTTGGGGTCCAGGGCTTAATTAAGAGTTTACCCTAAGGATCCAAGCACCTATATCATCATCATCATATACTCTCCCAAATATTAACCTACATAATTACTATTCCTAAACCCAAGTACCTGATTATTGGGTCCTTTGCGTTGGCGTTGGGGGTCGAATGGTCGGGGGGTCTAGTTAGGCTTCGAGGTTTGGGGTTTAGGGGTTTTCGGGATCAGGGCAGAGCTTCGGTGGGGTGTGGGTTAGGGTTTAGGAAGTTTAGTGGTTTATGGCGTTTAGGGGGTTTAGGGTTTAGGGGGTTTAGGGTTTAGGGGGCTTAGGGTTTAGTGGTTTAGGGTGTGGGGACAGGGGTCGGACTTACAACGCTGCTGTGCCGAGAAAGATCATAAGCACTCAGAGGATCTCATCAGCACTAAAGCAGTCAGCAGTTTTCTAGATATCAAGACTTGTGCTTTGCTCTGACGACAGGCTGCCTGGAGGTTTTCGAATCTAATGCTGAGAGCATGGCGGCGACGATCAGGATGGATTTATAGCCGTTCCTGGTATAGAGTTGAGGATTTTCTGGGCCTAGGGTAATATTTTAGGATTTCGGGGCGACGGGGCAGCTTCTTGTTTCCTGAAAGTCCATCAAACTATCTGCTGGGCCTCGATGCTTTGCGGTTTTTGCATCCGCATCAACCAGATTTCCGCGCGCGTTTCGGATCAGAAGATCACCAGTACTTTGTTGACGGAAATCAAAGCAACGGATCCGCGACGGGAATGATTCATTTATTCTGCAAAGGCTTCGATGCTGACGCAGTAAATCCTTGCCATGGAGAGAGGTGCACAATGGCCGCGTGCCGGGTATCTTCGTGATGATGCCAGCTTCCGAAGCCTTACGAGGTTATGCACAGATAGCAGATATCAGAGGTAGTAAAAAAGACGATAACCCGGTGAGCTCCAAAGTAACGCCGCGTGGGTCTTAAGGGAGCTTGCAAAAGGGCATGTGCTCGGTCTGAGAGAAGGGTCCTGGCATTTGGGGAGTTGTGCTAAGCGCCCATGATGTCAGGATGCTGCTTCACCCTTAACTAACCAACCAACCAACCTAGCCTAATCGGAGAACATTAAGGCCTTAAGGTTGCAAAGATAACAGGCACGGCTTGAAGCTGCAGGCTGCTACCTACCTTAACGCTCCTAGTTTTACCTGTAGTCCTATCGGATCATACCCGACCCCTTTTGGGGAGTACCTACTTTCCTACATAACAGATCCTAGCCCATGCCTAGGCACCTTAATTTGGGGCTTACCCTAAGGGTCCTAACACTTTATGGGAACCTCAAAATCTAGGATATCTGAGACCCCAAAGAGACCCAAGGGCTCTCCTTGAAAAAAACCGGACCCTCCTAAGGAGATACTTGGACCCTTAGGGTAGGGTGTGACACTTTAGGTAGCAAAGCAGAGTTTGGAGTTAGGGGATTAATTCTGTTTAACTCCGCATGTGGCTCTACGTACCAATATTTCAGGGGCTGTTTTTTCAGAATTCAGCGGATCGCAAAACCTAACATTGGGTTGGGAGTGGGGCTTCAGATAGACTACAAAACCTGACAAACCCTGTTCCTCAGATGCCGCAACACTGAAAATCAACTACATCCTAAACTCTAGCTTAATCCTTACCCGGCATTTTCAGAAGATTGTACACCTCTATACTGCGGAGTAGTGAGTAGGATTCTCATTCATCAATAACCCTTGGCTACGGGACCTCATTGCTTGAAACCTCCATGTCTTGAAGAATCGAATCTGGAAGGTAGCCGCCATCAGCGATCTGTCCAATGAGATGCAAGGCCACGGCCTTGCCCCGAACCCTAAACCCCAAACATCTCCGCAAACCCCAAAGCCCTAAACCCCTAAAGCCTTCAACCCTAAACATGCCTATAAACGCTAAACCCCTAAAACCCTAAAGCCTCAACCCTAAACATGCCTATAAACCCTAAACCCCTAAAGCCCTAGACCCTGAACCGAGTGGCTCAGGGTTCGACTTGGGAGTTCTGAGGGTATAGGGCTGAGCGATTCTTGGGTTCAGCTACCCTAAACCCTGAATCCTAAACCCTGAACCCTGACTCCTGAACCTTGAATCCTAGACCTTAAGCCCAGAACCCTAAACCCTGAGCCTTAAACCCTAAACCCTGAAGCCTAAACCCTAAGATATGTGCTCTGCAGGTTTAGGGAGTAGAGGCCTCTAGGGCTTTCGTTGTCGGCCTCGAGCGGGCTTCAGGGTTCAAGGTTTCAGAAAGCTCTACTTGGAGGGTCGGGGGACTTAGTCTAGGACCCAGAGTAGGCCCTTATTCCCTTTTTAAGGGTCTCGGTTCCCTTATAACCCCCTTTAAACCAAAAAGGGCACCCTTTTTCTTCCTAGGTTACTCTTGGGTCTAGTAGTAAGTAGGTAATAAGTAGAGTTATAAGTACCCCTAAAAGGGAGCCTAATTGAAGTCCCCCGACCCTCCAAGTACACCTCTACACCTTGGGGTTTCGAGGTGTTTCAGGGTTTAGTGTATAAGGATTGTGGGGTCATTTAGGGTTGCGGGTTCAGGGTTGAACGGGTTTTAGGGGATTTTTGAGTTTACCTTCACCCCAAATAACCTACTTTTCACGGACAGATATACAGAAATCATAATAAGGAGCCCTACACAGGTAGGTTCCATGGGGTCCAAGTAGGGTATCGGGATTATGGGGTCATTTAGGGTTTCGGGTTCAGGGTTGAGGGGGTTTTGGGGGGTTTTGGGATGTAGAGCTCTACGCCTCTGCGCGGGCATCATGGAGCGAAGTTCCATCTTCGAAGCACCCTAAACCCTAGATCCTAAACCTCTAAGCCTAAACTCTAAGTCAGCTTTGACCCTAAGCCCTATAAACCCTAAACCCACGAAACTTCTCGTTGAGAGTCAGGATCCCGCGTTCGTGCAAAGTTGCCTTTCCAAGACGGATGTTCATGGTTTTGGGGGGTTTAATTTAGGAGCCTTCATAATTACCAATACTATTTTGAGGGTTCCTCATTAGAGCTCTAGTATAATGGATCCCAAAACCCTATTCTAATTTTTACGACATGGATACTATGGAACTCTACTATTGATCCCTTATTATAGACCCCTTTAAGGAACCCTTTAAAGGGAACCCTAGTCTAATTACGAAGGCCCCTGTTTTAGGGTTTCGGGCGGATAATGAGTCTGAGGCCTTTTCCGCAGGGGGCGACTTAGAATTTGGGGGGTTTCATAACATGGAGGCTCTCCTTGAATTAAGGAGCATACCTTAAATTATGGTAGGATTCCTAATATGATGTAAGGTATATTCCTTAACTAAACTCAGAGGGTCCAAGTACCCAAATAGTAGGGTTTCAGGCCCCCAAATCCATACTCTGCATGGTTTTTGGACCTTGAAACCCTACTATTTGGGTACTTCGACCCTTAGGGTAACATGGAGGCTTGAAGAATTCGGAATACCAATCCCTCTTTCTATACTGAGCACCAAAACCGCACTGTAGTTGCTGAGGACCCTGTACTATCGTAGCATGTGGAAATTTCCGAAAATAGGGGACCCGAATATGGTACCCTAAATAGTAGGATCCCAATTATAAGGACACCAAAATAAGGTGCCCCTATTTTCGAAATTCTAAACCCTAAACCTTATATAGAACTCCTATAGATCCCTGTAAAGGAGCCCTTATACATCCCTTTAATGCTAAGGGTCCAGGTATCTCCGTAGGAGGCTCCGGAATGTCCTAGGGAGAGTCCTTGGATCTCTTTGGGGTTTCAAAAACCCTCAATTTTGAGGTTCCCCAATTTGTTAGGACCCTTAAACCCTAAACCCTAAACCCTATACCCTAAACCCTAAACCCTAAACCCTAAAAGAAACCCCTCAATTTCGAGGTTCCCCAATTTGTTAGGACCCTTAGGGAAAGGAGCCCTAAGGTACCTACCCCTTTGGAATATCTGAGAGCCGCTTAGGTCTTGGCATGCGGGGCCCCACGGACGTTCCGAGCCCCGCGACGCTGAAGCACCTGTTCGGCGAGTGGGTCCGACGTCCCGGAAGTCAGGGTTTAGGGTTTAAAGGGGAGTTTCCGAAAATTAGGGGTACCTTATTTTGGTGTCCTTATAACAAGGATCCTACTATTTAGGGTGCTATATTAGGGTCCCTTATATTGGCGGAAACTGCCATATTGGTTTCGGGTTTAGGGATGTTTAGGGATCCGGGTTTAGGGTGAGCTTTAGGTGAAGTTCCAGAAGTCAGGCATAAGTGTGGGTTTAGAGCTTACAGGGTTTATGGACTATTTTCGGAAACTCCCACAAACTCACATCTTGCACGATCCTCCCGGGCAAACCCTGCCCAGCCCGGGCCGGAGCCGCTTGTGACGGTTTCGAAGCGCAGAGCCACGACACGAAACTGAGTCGGGTTTGGGGTGTCCTATATTATAGGGGCTTCAATAATTAGAATAGGCTTTTGGGGCCCATTATACTATAAATACAATACGGAACCCCCAGAATGGGCTTGGTATCATTACTTAGGCCCCTAAGTTAGGGTTTTAAGGCGAAGGGTTCGAGGGAGTGCAGGCCCAGATGTCAGGGCTTGCGGTGCTTTTCTTGGTTTAGGATATTGCGTTCCTATAAGACTGCCCACCTAGGCTCCAAGAGTTTTACACATCTTAAATCCTAAACCTGAGCCCAAGCCCTGAACTATAAACCCCCCCAAAGTTAAACCAGCCCTAGAGCCAAACCTCCTGGTGTCCTGAAAAAAAATCCGCTATTGTATAGGTCCTGTATTACAAACCTTACTATGGAAGTATATGGGGACCCGACCAAAACATGGTAGGGTTCGGGTACCCAGAGAGCCCAATACCGCTTAATTAAGGAATATGGCTTAAATTATATAGGGCTTCATATTATGATTTAAGCTATATTCCTTAATTAAGAGGTATTGGGCTCTCTGGGTAGGTTGAGCTACATCCCAGAACCCCCCAAGCCTGGACGCCAAACCCAGGACCCTCATGCTCTTCTTCTGAAGGTAGGGTTTAGGGTTTAGGGTTCTCATGCTCTTCTTCTGAAGGTTTCATGCGGGATAAGGCCAACTGCTAGGTTCCCCACTAGTACCCTTGTGTCCTTGTATTTTGGGGTTTCCTTATCGAAACCCAATACCAAGAAAACAGGCACCTTCATATTTTAAAGGGTTTCCTGGGGCACTCAGACTGTAGACAATAATATACAGGAGAGCGTCCATTGAGTTTGACTTGACGAGCACTGTCCTAATTTACCTAAGACTTGTTTATGCTTTTTGGTAGCGGGCCCAACAGGTTCAAGGCAACCCTCAATCACAATCCCTGTAAGCCAAAATCCTTTCTTAAACTCCGGTTATTCAAAACCCTGTAGAGTCCAACGTTTGAGATTCAAAGTTCAGGGTTTTCGGGTTTAGGGTCAAGGGGATTAAAAGTGTGTTGCTGAGGGTTCCTTCAAGGCCTGGCACTTGAATTGCCCGGTGCAGCTTCTCTTCGGCTCGCCGTTGCAGTGTGCCGGTCCAAGTGCCGGGTCGTGAGGGCTTCACTAAACAACGCTTTTGACGAAGGACGTTGCATAAACCCTGAGCCCTCCACCCCTAAACCCCAAACCATCCTAAACCCAAAGGGCTGTCTAGATCTAGACAATACTTGTAGGTGCTTTATAAAAGCATCCACGTAAGTCCAAGGGCTCGTGTTTAGGGATTTAGGGCTTCAGGTCAACGGGTGGTTTGGGCTCCTTTGGTTTTGGGTATGCGCGGGAGCGTAGACTTCAGCAAGAAGGGGAGTTTGACGTCATGTAAGGATCCTAGCCTGGCACCAACTTAGTGTACTTATAAACAAGGCTTAATCTTTGGTAATTATTATCCCGAAGAAACAGCTCAAATTCTAATGTTTGCTTGGGGTCTAAGTTCAGTGAGGGGTTTGTGAAGGAACCATGTCCGTTTGGGCTTATTAGGAATACGACACATTCCCAGAGGGTCCATAAATACTACCATTATGGAAGTAGGTCCCAAAAGACCATCCCCATCATGGCTTTGGATACCTAGTTCCATAATTGCAGTACAAACGGACCCTCTGGGACCCTAAGGGTCCAAGTACCCAAATAGTAGGGGGTTGGGTACTGTCCCCACTCAGTAACAGTTGGATAATATTCCTGCAATAGATATATTCGGACCTTAATAGTAGCCCCATAAGTATGGGGGCAGTACCCAAATCAAAGGAGCCATGGCATGGGACGGGGTCGAGCATTGCAGGTGCATGACATCCAGCCCTACCAGAAGCCACAAAACCATGGCAACGCGTACATAAGTTCTAACACTAAACCTCTAAACTCTATATATTATACCGTAAACCCTAATAATGAACCCCTAAATCCTAAACCAAAAGCCCCAAAACCTGTAAACCCTAAACCCTAAACCTGTTTCAAGCACAGAACTGTTCCTCCTAGTAGGGTTTAGTAGTAGAGTTTAGAGGTTCTGGCTGAACACCCCTAAACCCTCAACAAGCTTAGCACTCGCCCCCAAGCATCCGGCCTGAGACTACAACGACAAGCCGGAAACAGATTGCAGAACCCAGGGATCAGGGTTGAGTAGGGCATTAGGGGTTTAGGGTTTAGAGTTTAGGGGTTAGGATTTAGGGTTTAGGGTTTAAGGGTTTAGGAGTTATTGTTTAGGGATTTAGGAGTTAGAGTTTAGGGTTTAGGGGTTTAGGGTTTAGGGGTTTAGGGGTCAGAGTTTAGGGGTTTAGGGTTTCGGTTCAGGAGCTACGGTTTAGGAAGTATAGGTGTAGGGCTTAGGGCTTATATACTGGATCTTGCGCTGTCAGCCCTTCGCCCCTGCCCCAGACTTCCAAAGCCCAAATAGGAGCTACGGTTGATGATGCAAATCCTGCATGACCTTAGGGACCCTAAATTATGGGAATTATGGTATATTCCTTATTATGGGTAATGCAGGATTTATATCATCAACAGTACCACTCCTCAGGCCTACAACTACTTTTAGCCCATACCCAGCAAGCTCATGCACAAGAGGAGCCAACTTGAATCCTAAGCCACAACCAAGCAAAATGCACGTAACTAAGGACTTGAGCCACAGCGAGAAGGAACTGAAACACAACTGAGGACATGGAACCAATCTCAGCTCCTGCCTACCAGGAAACCCCTGATACAGGGGCCGTAATACTTACCTATACTGTTTTGCGGGGGACTCCGACAATAACTATAGTATAATATAATTGAAACGCTTCGCGCCGCCCGCCTCGGCCCGGCTGCCATCCGAATGATACTGCACTGTACCCGGAATCTCTTAATGCAGGAATATAGGAATATAGGGTTCTTTGACAGGGGTCTCAAAGGGCTCCAAATCATACGAAGGGTCTTATAACCATTTAAGGTATATTTCTTAGTTACAGTTAATGGCAGGGAGTGAGCATAATGAATCGGGAAAGCGGTGGGAAGAGGAAACAGGGAGAGGGAGGGGGGCGGGGGGGGGGAAGGGGTGGGAGGGGCGGGGGTGGCGCGGAAGGCGGGGGGCGAGGGGGGCGGGGGGGGGGGGGGGGGGGGGGGGGGGGGGGGGGGGGGGGGGGGGGGGGGGGGGGGGGGGGGGGGGGGGGGGGGGGGGGGGGGGGGGGGGGGCGACTAGTCCCTACCACAACCGGAACCCCGATACCGCAACCAGAAGCCCGATACCGCAACTGGGCCTGGACTTTGCGCAGAACCCGGAACCACCATATCACAACCAGCCAACAAGCTTACATTTTGCATGGTTTCCAATCTGATGGTGAGCCATGGTGAACCTTTAAGGAAACACAATCATTTTTAGAAACAAGTCAGTTGCAGTAGGTACCGTTCTTCGCCTAGATGCTACGATCTACTAAATTATCATCACGAACAACTAAAGACTAATACCAACTGCTAACTTTTAGAGGTTTGATGTGAAGCAGTAGCGAACAGGCAAAAAACATTTTGACATATCCCCAGAAGCTTTAAACCTTTTAAAGTTAGCAGCTTACTACCGCGATTGCTTCAAACCTGCAAAACCCGGAAGTTTAACAGCTTCAATCCTCAAAAACGCAACAGTGTACTACCCCAGAAGTTTTAAACCAGTAAAACCGAAAGCTTACTAGATCTTCACTGTCATCGACATGGGCGAAGGATGATCCGTCCTATCATGCTTTAGCCCTTTCAAATGAAAGACTGTCATCGACATGGACAACAGGAAGGGCGAAGGATGACCCGTCCTATCATGCTTTAGCCCTTTCAAATGAAAGACTGTCATCGACGTGGACAACAGGAAGGGCGAAGGATGATCCGTCCTATCATGCTTTAGCCCTATCAAATGAAAGACTGTCATGGACATGGGCAACAGGAAGGGCGAAGGATGATCCATCCTATCATGCTTTAGCCCTTTCAAATGAAAGACTGTCATCGACATGGACAACAGGAAGGGCGAAGGATGATCCGTCCTAATTATCATGCTTTAGCCCTTTCAAATGAAAGACTGTCATCGACATGGACAACAGGAAGGGCGAAGGATGATCAGTCCTATCATGCTTTAGCCCTTTCAAATGAAAGACTCTCATCGACATGGACAGCAGGAAGGGCGAAGGATGATCCGTCCTATCATGCTTTAGCCCTCTCAAATGAAAGGAACTGGTGGCTATGACAAGGAACAGCTGCCTAAGACCAAAAACGAAAAGACACAGCTCTTGTTAGTGTTGGTGATGGTGACAGTGGCTGTGGCTGTGTGGAGGCGGCGGTTTTGGTGGTCTCGGCGTTGTTTGTGGTGTTGCTGGTGTTTGGTCCGTCGGCCCCTCAACCTAGTAGGGAACACTGGGGGAAACCACACCAACCCGACACGGGTCCTACGTCAGAAGGGGTGCCCTGAAGCCCTGAAGTCCGAAAAGGACTGGGGGCAGTAAGGAACAACAAGTCTAAAGGAGTACAGGCCAGGCAAACCAACTGGTCTCGAAGCAGCTACAGTATAGTTTAAGAGCGTAAAATTTCTACAGAATGCCTTGCGAAACCCGGTAAGAACCATAGAACTTGCAAGGATGCCCCCCAAAAAACTCCTCCCTTAACCCTACTTGGAGGATCATGGAACATAGTAACTAAGGTTACAATTAAAGTAACTCTAGTTTATATTACTCATACTCCCGATTAGGGTACGTACAGCCCTACTTACTAAGTTCCATGATCCTCCAAGCAAAATGAACAAAAAAGAACTGTCCAGTTGTAATAGGGACCTTTTTTCAGTATATAGCTGCTCAGTTGTAGTAGGGTCCAGTTCGTGGTTGTAGTATGGGGCTTCTGGTTGTGGTATCGGGGTTCCGGTTGTAGTAGGGACTATTTCCGGGGGGGGGGGCGGGGGGAGCGGGGAAGGTGGGCAGGGAAGTGGGCGGAGGAAGAAAACGAAAACTTGGGTGGAACTGCCTACAGAGAGCCAAAATCCGTTGGAAAAGGCGAGAATTCACTGGCGGACCTTGGGCCTACTAGACACGTTTCCATTTTTAAGGGGGGGTGGGGGAAAGGCGGGGCACTTTGGGGGGGGTCACTGCGAAGGGGATTAGAGGTGGGGAATAGAGGGAATCCGAATAGGAACCTCTGACCGCTTCGGCCGGGGCCGAGGCGAATATAACACCAAAACCCTATTCTAAATATTGAGACCCTTACACTCCAGTATCCTTATAGTATCCCTTATAGACCTCTTTAAAGGAAAGACCTACTCTAATCATTATGAGGCCCCTACATAACAGTAAACCCCATAAAGTTGGAAACCGGATTAAGGCCGAAATAGTGCTGGGATTCCCTATATATTACTCTTGAGGATGGAGGCTCATGGGTTTCCAACTTTTGGGCTTCTGCTGTACTCTAATTATTATGAGGCCCCTACATTAATCCCTCCAAAGCCGGCAAGGCGCTGGACCTTTCCTTGTCGAAGTGCTGAAGGAGCTCTGCGGGAATGCCACCGAGGGTTTGGGGTTTGGGGGTTTAGGATCTAGGACTTGTATAGGGTTTAGGATTTACGGTTTAGAATTTAGGCGACAGCGCCATCGCAGGAAGGTGCCGAACCACCGGCGCCAGCTTTGCCATTGCCACATCCGCCAGGGGACCTAACTCGGAGCCCTCAAAAGGTGGGATGAAGGTAGGTGGGATATTCCCAAATAAGAGTCCTTACACCGACTAATGAGCAGGTGGACAACGGCTTGGGACCTCGTAACTCGAAGCAGCAACCTCTTGGGGTCGTCCGGGTTCAGGGTGAAGGATTTAAGCAGTAGAGAAGAGCAGAATAGGGTAGAGTAGAGTGAGTCAAAGTGAGTAGATTGAGTAGATCAAAATGGCGCAGAGTGGAATTGCGCAGAGTCGAGTAGAGTAGAGTAGAAAGTAGGGGTTTGCTAGGAAAGAGATAGCCCTAAGGGTCCAAGTAATTACCCAAATAGTATAGGGTTTCAAGGTTCTAAAACCATTCAGAGTATGGATTTTGGGACCTAAATCCTTACTAATTCTTTGGGTACTTGGACCCTCTGGATAGAGAACTTGGAGGATCGGGGACTTAGTAACTGGTTGTTTTAGGGACTTATATGTACCATAACCCCAATTAGGGTCCTTTTTAGGGTGCTTATAAGTCTACTTACTACCTACTTACTAAGTCCCCCGACCCTCCAAGAAGGAATATTATTTCCAGGCCCGTCCAGGGCTCATGGTGCGGGGCTACATGGGTGGTTGTCAAAATTAGGGTCCCTTCTGGGGTACCCTAAATACTTAAATACTATACCAGGGGAAAAGGAGGGACCCTTAATGGGGACCCCTACCCTGTCATGGGCTATATAATAGGTATATAATAGCTATATTAAGGGTATATACCTAGGGGTCCTTGTGAAGGGTCCGTCCTTTTACCCTTGGATATTAGGTGCCGTATTATTATAGGAACCCCAAAAGGGACCCTAATTTTGACAACCCACATGGCGAAGCACATGTCTCATCTATATCTCGGAAGGCAGTTTAGGGCAGTTTAGGGTTTAGGGTTTAGTTCACATCTAAAGTCCATGAGTTGTCAAAGAAACATGGAGCGGAGCTGGACGTCGGCGAGAAGAAGTTCTAACTACCTTTAACAAAGCTGAAATATAAGACCTTCGGCGATGATGCCAAAACTCTAAATTGTGATCTCCAAACCTTATCCTAATGGATCACAACTCTAAGCCCCTGGGTTCAACCGAATCAACCCGACAGCGTGACCCTAAAGTCCAAGTCGACTAATTACCAAGGCATTATAAGCCTCTTGAAGGCTGACCCCCAATTAAACCCTGAACCCTCCGTGAACGCAGGAGCTTGGCGCGGAACAAGGTCGAGAGCTCTTCGTCATCTCCGTGATCGGAATTCAATCATCTGCAACGCCCTCAAACAATCGGGTTCAGGGTTTTGGTTTAGGGCAGTTTAGGGTTTTTGACAAACGACAGCTGAATTTGGCAGTCTGAATGCTTGTAATTATCGAGGTTCACGGCAGTCATCTCTGTACAGGTGTTTGCTTGGTTGATTTTATGATGTGCAGAGATTCAAAGCCGAGTAAGGAAACGCTAAAGCCTGAACCGTGAACAGCCATCCGGTGAGTCTACGACGGTGTTGCTTGGGAGTTGGCTTCTCTCCAACCTCTCACGTCCCAAACACTGCCACATGGGACTTTGCCAGTGAGGCTGCAAGTACCTGAATTAGGGTTACAAGTATCTATAAGACAACTACCTGATGTATAACCCAGCGTCATCTACTTTGCCCAAGTTCAACCTACAAAGGAAAACTATTGGTCATACTTGGGGTATCGATGGAGACCCTGCACCCCGAGCTGCAAAGCCACACATCCCAAAACCCGGACACAAACAACAACGCAAGGACAACACAACACACAACTAGGGGTGAGTTTCGGGTTTGAGGTTTTCAGGTTATAAGGTTTGGCGAGGTTGGGGGTTGCTCAGCTTAGAGTTAGATTGGGTTCTGAGTTCAGGCTTAGCCCCGGCTGCTTGATTGGTGGACACGACATTGAAAATTGAAAAGCGCCCTTCCGTCCTGAAATTCCGACTCCCCCCAAGCCGTGACCCAGAGAACCACGTAACCTAATTCATCGGTGACAACAAGGCCAAGAGCACGCTGATGAACTTTCTCTTTGGCTGTGGCTTCGCGACATCTGCTGGGCGATGTACACGAGGTGTGGAACTTGGAGATTACCCGAAGGGAACAACTGTAGGGCCCTGCGACACCGACGACCACCATAAGATCCAAATCTAGTCCGATGCCTGTGATGCAACATGATGCAGCTAATCACAAGTTTTGGGTGCAAACGAAAACGGAGTCCTGTTTTTAAAGAGAGCGTAGGTTGACTGTTCAGGGTCTATAGGGGTAGGTAGAGGTATTTGCCCCAACTTGATATCTTGCATCAACATCTTATCACTATGTCGGGACTGTATGTTAAAGCTCCATGTTGTTTAGTCTTGGCATACCTACGCTTGTATCCCGGCAGCTCAGCCAAATTCGGAGCAGAAGACAATTAGACTGCCAACATGCAGCGGAAACAGCAACACAGTCAGGCGATCACATTTCTGCTGCTGCTGCTGATGTTCTTATGAAGATTTGTCGTGCGAAGCCGTGTGCAACCCACCCTTCGGTACTGTTGAGAGAAGCGTTGTGGTCCCTGATGGTGGTTATCCAGGGATGATTCAACAGAGGATTCTCCGGACCGTACAGCGAAAAAGGGGGCCGTGGGATTAGATCCTTAATCTCAAACCAGAAAGGCAAAGCCCTGCCAGGACTTTACTGCAGCCTCATGGAATGCGAGGAGCGGACGAAGCACCGGCATGCTTTCGAACAGAGGTTTGCATAGGGATTCGTTCGGACTGATGGTCTGGCCTTTATATATATATATATATATATGTATGTATGTATGTATGTATGTATGTATGTATGTATGTATGTATGTATGTATGTATGTATGTATGTATGTATGTATATATGTGTATATATATATATATTATGAATTCTTAGACACCAAACCTTCAAGTATTCACTTTATAACCTAAACTTAAACCTTAAACCTAGACCGTATTCCCTGAAGCCCATCTGTCAAACACCCGTTCTATGATCAGAATACTGAAAACCTCATAACTTCAATAACGCGGTATTGAGCTGTCTGGGGAATCGCATATACTGCAGATTTCAGTATAAGTCGACTGCTTGAAGGTACCGTGGGACTGGAGATTTGTCATGGGCATGAGTGCAATACTCTTGGTGCCGGATCATACTTAGAGGATTCGGGGACCTCGCAAGTAGTTTGTCAGTGTCAGCAAGCTTATCTAACTTGTAGTATAGGATGATCACAGGTAGCGAATTCAGAACACTGGTAACATCCTGCTTACTAAGTCCCGCGCTCTTGCAAGCGCCCTACATCCTACCTTACCTCGGAATTGTGTGTTCGATCCTCTAAGGTGTCAAGGAGAGCCTTTGAAGGAGCTTGGAGAAGTAGTAATGCCATTCAATAGGGTGTCTGTTCTACTGTAGTCATACTGCTGATGGACAAAATCCTGCATGACCTTAAGGACCCTAAACTATGGAACTGTGGTATATTCCTTGTAACGGGTAATGCAGGGTTTTTGCCTGTCAACAGTAAGAGCCCCGTCTTAGGCTTGCAGAGCTTGCTTGAGGCCGCAGGATCCGATTCCTGAGCATTTGGGGCTTGTCGAGGTTCAGGCTCAAGCACAGGCTTTAAAGGGCCGTATCTAGGGCCGGGTTGCTATAAGGGCTCTATAAGGGTAGTGTAGGTATAGGGGCCTTCATAATTAAAATGGGTTTCGGGATAACACAAAAAGGACATCCCATGATGCACCGAAGCCCAATAAACTCTAAACCCTCAAAAATTGCGTCCCTAAGCCGCCTAAACCCTAAACCCTAAAACCCTAAACCCGATAACCCTAAAAACCCGAAATATCCCCGAAACCCTAAACCCTAAAACCAAAAAAAACTAAACCCTAAAGCATAGAAACACTAAACCCTCAACCCTAAACCCTAAACCCTAAAGCCACTTAAAAAAAAAAAAAAAAACCTAAAGCCAGGCTCCTCATCTTGGACACGGAGGGCCTGATGAGTCTGGAGGTGCCAACTAGGATGCCCAGTAGTACGGTTTAGGGATCTATAAGGGTTCCTTAAAGGGATCAAAAAGGGTTCTATAAAGGGTTTAGGGATACCGAAAATTAGGGTCACTAGGATGCCAGTAGTACCCTTATTCCCTTTTTGTAGTCCTTAGTTCCTTATAAAAGTTACCCAATACCAAAAAGAGAGGCCTTTTTATTCTTAGGTTACTGGGTATCCTAGCCCAAAATTCGCAGGTTTCTGCTGCCAGCAGTCGCTGGAGAAGTGATCCTTCAGGGTTCCTTTAATTGATCCTTAGGGGTTCCTTTAAGGGATCCTTAAGGGAAGTGATGGTACAAAGTCCACCACACTCCCAACAGTTTTAGGGTTTAGGGTTTATAGGGTTTAGGGTTTAGGGTTTATAAGGGTTTAGGGTTGAGAGCATCATCGTCATCATCATCTTTATCAGCACTGCCATGAGGGCAATGAAATTTCCTGCTCGAAATCATCACCATGACCAACGGCGACCATTGCCCCCAGGAGCTTGGCCGATACTGTATGTACTAGAACCCCTGCGAGCCCCCTAGACCCCTACTTGGAGGGTCGGGGGACTTACTAAGTATTTATTTTGAAGAGTTATAAGTACCATGACCGTGACCCTCCGAGTAAGCCAATGCCAGCTGGCGACTCACGTCCTCCCAATCTTCGGCAAAAGCCCAAAGAAAAAGCCCACTACCCCGTAATTGGGTTTGGGGCTTAGGGTTTAGGGCTTTGGGGATTATAGATGGTTTAGGCTTATATAGGGTTTAGGGCTTGGGTGTAGGGTTTAGGGGCTTGGGTGTAGAGCAGGTTCTTTATTGCCAAGGCCCCGTATAACTTGAGGTACAGGCATCCTTGGTAGTGTTCTCTGGAATCCGGGAAGCAGTCAAGTCTTCGCCACTCTGAAACCCTAAACCCTAGACAAGGCAGGGAACACCGAGCTAAATCCCGCACTCTACATTACACTTTTCTGCCTAGAGGAACTTGGCGTTAGGGGGACCAGAAACTGCCAAACGCTTTGTCTGAGGAGGGTTCAATCAAAGGGTTGTTCAAGGGTCTGTGGGGTTTCATGAGGGTGATCCCTGAGGGTCCTAGCACTTTGGGGAACCTCAAAATGCCGGATTTCTGAGACCCCTTCAAGACCCAAGGACTCTCCCTAGGAGACTCCGGACCCTCCTAAGCAGATACCTGGACCCTTACTTGGAGGGTCGGAGGACTTACTAAGTAGTTATTTTAGAGAGTTATAAGTACCATAACCCCAATTAGGGTCCCTGTTAGGGTGCTTATAGCCCTACTTATTACCTACTTACTAAGTCCCCCGACCCTCCAAGTAGGGATAAGGGGCTCTTAGAAGGAAGATGCTGGGAGAGCAGCCCATCCTACGGTTTCATGTCAAGGGGCTTTGAGCCGCAACAAATCGCAGTACGGTTGATAATACAAATCCTGCATTGCCCATAATAAGGAATATACCAGGATTCCCATACAGAATTCCTATAGTTTAGGGTCATTAAGGTAATGCAGGATTTATATCATCAACCGTAATACTCCCATGTGCACACGCTTTGTTCCGAAACAGCCCGAACAGTTTTAACCAGAAGGACGCAATTCAGAAACATGTAAGCCCCCCGTACGCCACACTGTAGCGCCTAGAACACTTATCAATCCTTAGACTTCGAGCCCTAAGGAAAGATATGCCCCAGACATAGGTCCGGAGACTCCAACGACCATTTTGGTCCTTTTAGGGAGCAAGAACAACTACCCCAACTCCGAATGGTGCATGGGTCGTCTACGGCGCATGGGGTGCACCTGAAAACCATCATCTGACGGGGCATGCTCTGCCACAGGTGGCTACCGGCCATTGTTGTCGTGTATAAACGAGAAAGTCGAGCTCAACCCTTCGGCGGGAGACACTTGCATGGCTGCCATCAGTTTGGACCCGCAACACTGGCACTGCCCGAAGCGCAGTGAGGCGTCCGGACCTTTCGTCGTCTGGGTATCAGTCCTAAATCTGCTGCGCTCACAGGATAGTTCGGCATTGGCGCTCTATCCGACTTTGGCAGCCCGGCTGCAGCGGCTCAGGAGCAAGGCACGAAAATATGGCCTCAACAGCAAGTGGTGAGGCCGGCCGGCGCGAAAGATCCCGCACACCGCCACCTAGCCTTCAGGCCACGTGGCGGTGGTGCTGGAAACTCACCATTCAAGATGGTGGGGAGGAAATCTGGTGGTGGAAATGGTGGAAGCAATGAAAGGTGAGCTGACGTGTGTTTCTTTTTTCTCTTGCATGCCTGATGGTGTGCAACAGACTGCTAAGAGCACGACCCAGCTTCCTTTGTCGAGCTGCGAAACTGTATCCATTAAGTGTCTACTGTCGGCGCCAGGACCAGTACGCCCTGAGCCTTGGGACGTATATTGGCGAATTGGAGCTACGGTTGATGGTATAAATCCTGCATTACCTTAAGGACCCTAAACTATGGGGATTATGGGATATTCCTTATTTTGGGTCACGCAGGATTTATATCATCAACCGTAGGACTGGACCCCTAGAGCCTCGCAGCGCCCCTACAAAGAAACTTGCAGTGCTAATAGGGCTTCAATCAGGGTTTTTGGGGGTTTAGGGTTTATAGGGGTTAGGGTTTATGGTTTAGGGGTTTAGGGTTTGGGGTTTAGGGGTTTAGGGTTTATGGTTTAGGGGTTTAGGGTTTAGGGCCAATAGAGCCAGAAATGCAACACCCTGAATCCTATATAGCTGTAAACACTGAGCCAAGCTCAAACCTGAAACGCCTTGAGAATCCTAAGCCTCCAAAATCCCACACACACCCTAAACCCTAAACACTGTATAATCCCTAAACCTTCTCGGCCCGAAGCCCTTCAGCGGTTTGGGGTTTCGGGGTTCCGGGATCCGTAATTACCCTAACCCTAAGGGTCCAAGCACATGATAACCATATACTCTCCCAAGCATAACTACTACATATCCTAAGCCCAAGTACCCGATCGGGTCCTTGGGACCTTAGAACCCCAATAAAGCCCTAAGAATACCCCACTCTACACCCTTATAGAACCTTCTAAGAACCCTAACTATTGGATCCTTTGGACCCTTGAAGACAGCCTTGCACCAAAAGCCCTGCAAACCCTAAGCAGGCGGATTGCCCTAAAACCCTAAACCCCATGACGCCCCCAAGCCCTAAGCACTCAATAATTACCTATACGTACTATTTTGGGGGCTCCTAATGATAATTATAGTAAACCCTACTCTAATTATTAAGGCTCCTATGTTACCCCCAAAATAGTATATGTAAAAATTTAGGCTCCTATAACCCTAAAGCCTAAACCCTAAACCCTACTCTAGTAAGCAGGCCGAAGGCGGGGGCATCTTCGATGCCCAACTGGCCTTGATGGCCATGGCATGCTCACACCTGGCCCGGCCCCTGGCTGGGTTTAGGAGGGTTTAAAGGGAACTCCAGAAAGTTGGAATATGATTATCCTAAACCCTTTATGGGTTGGTAAATTATAGGGTATCCTACCCTGAAACCATATTCCAACTTTCTGGAGTTCCCTTTAGGAGGGTTTAGAGGTTTAGGTAGGGTTTAGGGGTTGGGGGCTTAGGGTTTGCACTGCGTGTGTGTTTTTTCTGTTTTAGGGTTGAAGGTTTAGGGTTTAGATCTGGGGTTTAGGGCCTCTGGTTTTAGCCGGTGGGGGGAGGGGGGTCTTTCTTGTTTTAGAGTTTAGGGGTTTGGGGTTAGTGTCTAGGGAGTTTTTTGTTGTTAAGTTTTCGGGTTTGGAGAATTTGGGGTGGGGCGCACCCCCTGCGGTCGTTCCTGAAGAAAGAGTTGGGTTCTGGGTGTCGAGGTCAGTATTGATTTCTGAGTAATTGTTGTTCGTGGATGTCTAGAGGTAGTGATGTAGTAATCTTGAGCCAAGAAAGGACGTCAAAGCCGAAAGGCTTGTAAGTAAACACAAGCTAAACACCAAAACAAATCAATACCAATCAACCTGTTCATGAACTACCTAGAGCCCCCAACTACCTTCTGACATGTCCTAAATCCCCACTATAGAGGACCATGGGGGCTGTAGTCAAGGGCACTTCAAGGGTACTGGCTAAACTAAACCCTAAAGCCCCTAAATCCAAAACCCCTTAACCCCTTGAACCCTGAAACCCCCAGGCCCCCCTTAAAGGGAGTCAAAAGCCGCAGTTATGTGCGAACCCACAGTGAGCCCTTACTCTTTTTTAGGGTTCAGGTTCCCTTGTATATAACTCCCTTGACACCAAAAAGGGCACTCATTTTATTCCTAGGTTACTCTTAGGTCGAATCCCTAGGCCCTGAACCCTAAACCCTAAACCGTATCTGAGGTGATCATCAACCACAAAGGTGAGCTGTCCCGGCAACTGCAAGACCTACTGGAGGTGGGGGCATCCTTCCAGGGTGGTTTAGTGTTAAGCGCTTTAGGGTTTAGGTTTTAGGGCTTACCTGGACCCTAAGAAACCAACCTTTTTTGGGCTCCTTAATGTGATTTCCTTATACACGTCCTTGAAAATGTAGGTTATTTGGGGTTAAGGTAGGGTTTAGGGGTTTGGGGTTTAGGGGTCTAGGGGTCTACTTGGAGGGTCCGGGGGACTGAGCCAGGCTCCTGAAAGGGAGCCTGGAAGGGCTCAAGGGAGGGTCGGGGTACTTAGTCAGTAGGTAAGAAGTAGAGTTATAGGTACCCTAAGCGGGTTTACAGGGTTTATAGGGTTTATAGGGCTTATAGGGCTTACAGGGTTTAGGGTTTAGGGCTCAGGGCGGGCAACCCTGAACAGAGTCAGAGTGCTTACGGTGTCCCGTGGCCCTGTAAGTAAACTTTCGACCCGCAGAATGGAACCGTTACTTGGAGGCTCGGGGGACTTACTAAGTAGGTCTTTTTATGGATCCTTAAAGGGGGTTCCTTAAGGGGCTCCTTAAAGGGGGTTTAAGGTTTAGGGGTTACTTGGAGGTTCGGGGGACTTACTAAGTAGTTATTTTAGAGAGTTATAAGTACCATAACCCCAATTAGGCTCCCTTTTAAGGTACTTATAACTCTACGTCTTACCTACTTACTAAGTCCCCCGACCCTCCAAGTACGACATCCCCCATAGGACAGTGCTGGGACCATGGGGGGGAGGGTCGGGCAAGCTGGGGTGCAACCATATAAACCCCGCTATGACTAACTATTGAAAGGCTTGCTGCAAGTAGCATACCCGTACGGTTTCGGGCCAGGGATTGGGCTAGGGCATTTAAGGTTTCTGGCTTATCGAGAGATAAAACAGCACGAAGTGCAGCATCGTGTTTGTCGTCATGTCGTGACATCGCTGTTGCCGGTGGGCTGAACATTTTGTTGTTCTCCAAGGTAAAACGAGGGACCCTTAATAAGGACCCCTAGGTATATACCCTTAATATAGCTATTATATACGCATGATATAGCCCATTATAGGGTAGGGGTCCCCATTAAGGGTCCCTCGTTTTCCCCTTTGATGTTCTGCTTCAGGCTGTTTTTGCTGGTAGCCGAGATCTTCTTCCTTTGCAGATCCCTCGAGCCCCTGTGTCAGTATCGTGACCCTTGGCATAGACGGGGACAACCCTAAACCCTAAACCCCAAACCCTAAAAACCCTAAACCCCAAACCCTAAACCCTAAACCCCAAACTCCAAAGCCTAAACCCCAAATCCTGAACCCCAAGCCCTAAAAACCCTAAGCCCTACACCGATCAGGCCTGCATGCGTGGATTGTCAAGCCAAGCCCGACAAACCCAAGAAGCAACTGCGGGTTTGACCGGGAAAGTGTTCATCTTTAGGATGCTCAGTATAGGCCTTCCTTAGTATAGTTACATTATAATGGGACCCAGTATAGTCCCTATGTAATCCTTTAGGGGTTTAGGGTTTAGAGTTTAGGTTTATTTAGGGTTGAGGGTATACTAGGATGCCCCTATATTACTAGGTAGAGATTTTGGAGAGTTATAAGTACCATAACCCCAATTAGGGTCCCTTTAAGTGTACTTATAACCCTACTTATTACCTAATTACTTACTAAGTCCCCCGACCCTCCAAGTAGTGCCCTTATTCCCTTTTTTGTAGTCCTAGGTTCCTTATAAAGTTACCCTCTACGAAAGAGGGAGCCCTTTTGATTCCTAGGTCACTGGGCATCCTAGATCTGTGACCCCTGAGCCAAAAGCAACAACAGCTCGGCACCCCAAGTGCAAACCCCAAATCCTCAACCTTGGGGAAATGGAGCCCGAAAAGCAAAGCCGTTGCTGGCAGGTCTGTCTCTTTGCCATGCAGCATCTCAAGGCAACCGGTTTAGGGGTTAGGGTTGTGGCTTGGGATTTACGGGTTGGGTGCGGGTTGCAAGGTTCAGCCGTGCTTCACAATTAGAAGAGGGTCCTGAGGCAGATCGCACTAGATTGTAAAAGGGTTTAGGGTTTAGGGTTCAAGTTCTAGTCTACTTGCTAGACACCATAATAAGTATAAGGGAAGATTGTTTCCAGTTATCCAGACCTCTATGGTGTTGACCCGGGCTTGCAGCTTTTGGGTAACGGGTATGACGGTTTGGGTGTACGACAGCTCCTTTCCTGCCGGGAAGAAAAACCCGCAGCTAGGCAACAAATCGATGAACATGTTTCGGATTCCTCTCCAGCATATGCTCACTATACTTGGAGGGTCGGCGGACTTAGTAAGTAGATAAATAAGTAGAGTTATAAGTACTGTACCCTAAAAGGGACCCTAATTGGGGTTACGGTACTTATAACTCTCTAAAATAGCTACTTAGTAAGTCCCCCGACCCTCCAAGTATAGCTCACTCACATAAACTCCCTGATCCTCTGAGTAGGGCCTCGGTTTTATTGGCTCAGGGCTCAGATGGGGCTTAAGGTTTCGTTGCAGTGGGGACGAGAGTACACATCATTATAATCAGTCCTTAGAGGATCATAGGATTTAGTAGGAAAGGATATGATGATATGAGTGCTTAGAATACTGTGATGGCTGATGATAGCTGATTATACATATAGTTACCTTGCTTATCATGATCCTCTATGTATCAGTTTAAACAAGTTCTTAGACCGACCATCTGAAACAGCCCCTTGCCCTTCACGCACCCGGGCAGCCGAAATATGCTACCATGAGAGCCCAATGCCGCTGAAGTGAAGCAACATGGCATGCGGCCTGAACCCCAACCCCTGATCGACAAAGAACGCCTAGACCCTAAGCTCTAAACTCTATATCCCCTTCAGAAGCCCTTCAAGAAACCCGTGTAGGAATCCTTGACAGGAACCCGAAGCCCTTTATCCCCGGCGAGGTTTGCCGAATCCAGCCGAAGCTTCTCTTCGTTCTCCGCGACCAGCATGACAGGCGCGGAACTCAGGCCCTGAAATCTCGAATATACCTTAAATGATGATACGGTTGATGATTGATGATATAAATCCTGTATTACCTTAAGGACCTTAAGGACTATGGGAATTATGGGATATTCTTTACTATGGGTAATGCAGGATTTATATCATCAACCGTATTACGAAACCCTAAACCCTGAAACCCAAACCCTGAACCCTGGTGAAGGCCCCTATGATTTAAGGTAGGGCGCATGGAGCTCGCTGACTCAAGGGCTCTCCCTAGGAGATACCGGACCCTCCTAAGGTTATACCTGGACCCTTAGGGTAAGACCCCCAAAGCCCCGAAACCCCAAATCATCAAGCATAGTCGAGCTGCTGTTCTGCAGCTGTTTGTTTGAGCGTCCGCCACGAAGACAGGGTCCGGTTGAGGGTTTAAGTTTAATGTAGGAACCTGATTAAGAAACCTTGGGCCTTTAATCGGGTTCCTTGTATGTGAATCCTACTATTTTGGGGTTATGGGCCCAGGGTTTCTTAATCAGGTTCCTACATTAGGGCCAATCAGGTTTAGGGTGCAGGGTTTAGTAATTTAGGGGCAAAGGTTCAGGCTTACGGGGTTTATAGGTTCAGGGTTTAAGGTGCAGGGTGTGGCTTTTACTTGGGGATCTTGCAATGGTGCGAAGGGGATTTCTCTCCCCGCTTGGAGTGGGTCTCCTGAATTCTCATTTTTTCGGGTTTATGGTTCTATCCAGACCTCCAGCTTAACCCATTAGCAGTTGAGCGATAGCCATAGATGCGGTTCCCTGGTTTGCTGAGAAGTGTGTGGTCAACCTTTCCGGGAGGCCTTGAAAATTGAAAGTCATCATGCAGCTCGATTTTGGGCCGAGGGCGAACTGCTCTTCCACGGAGGTAGGCGCTTAGCACGAGCACCTACTACTTGGAGGGTCGGGGGACTTACTGAGTAGTTATTTGGAGAGTTACAAGTACCATAACCCCAATTAGGGTCCCTTTTAAGGTACTTATAACTCTACTTCTTACCTAGTTACTAAGTCCCCCGACCCTCGAAGTAGGGCACAGGACCAATTAATTCTGGCCGTGCCTAAGGACCGGCCCTACAGTTGCATGGTAAGTCCAAGGGTAAAAGGAGGGACCCTTAATAAGGACCCCTAGGTTACCATTAATATAGCTATTGTATACCCATGATATAGCCCATTAAAGGGTAGGGGTCCCCATTAAGGGTCCCTCCTTTTCCCCTTTGAGTAAGTCTAGGATATAGCACTTCAAGTTTCTATAGGGCGCATGTAGGCTCATGTGGGTGGTTGTCAAAATTAGGGCCCCCTTTCGGGTCCTTATGATAATACGGCACCTAATATTTAGGGTACCCAGAAGGGGACCATAATTTTGAAAACCACCCATGTGGAGTTTAGGGTTCATCGGCTGCATTTAGAGTTAAGGTCCTGGGGTGTGAACTGTATGAGTGTTTTGTTTTTATGGGAACCTCCCGGCCGATGTATTTAGAGTCGGACTCCAAAGAATATCCGGCACTGTTCCTTCGGATTCCTTGATAGACTTATAGTAGATAGAATGTCCCCGATACCCTGAAATCCCCCGTCTAATTCCTAAGGCCCGTAAATGACCCTAAACCCTTAACCCTACCTTAATAACCTGGACCTAGAAGACCCTGCTGGTACTTTTCTGTAGGTTCTTCTTGTGAGCCCTAATAAGGATTTTGTAGGGACACCCCACCAACAAGGTAGGTTTTGTTAGGTTCAGGTAAACCCTTTAAACCGAAAACTCTAGACCCTAAACCCTATGCATCTTAAACTCTTAACCCCGAACCCTATACATGATAAACCCGCCCTAAACCCTATACACCCTAAACCCCAAACCAATGATAAACTCCCTGGCGCTTAGTAGGGAATGGGGGAATGGATCCCTATCGTAGTCCCTATAATCCCCAATATTAGTCCCCATAACCCATTCCCCCATTCGCTACTAAGAACCACAGTAAGCCCAAATAGAGGCGAATATGCCTTAAATTATAGTAGGATCCCTTATATGATTTAAGGTATGTTCCCTTAGTTAAGGGATATTGGAGACCCCTCAACCCTAAACCTTATAGATCTCGCCGGCAGCTGGCTTAGGTCCCATGGAGTCCACGGCGATGCCCTGCGACTTATGCGCAAACACCTTTCGGAGGTCCGGCTCCCAGAGACTCCAATATCCTTTTAAAGGGATCTATAAGGGGTTCCTATAAGGGATCTATAGGGTTTTGGACATACCTTAAATCATATAAGGGATCCTACTATAATTTTAGTGTGTTTTCCTTAATTCAGGGATTAGGGGTTTTAGAGTTTAGGGGTTCAGGGTTTGAGGTCTGAGGGTGTAGGGTTTACCGTTTTGGGGGTTTAGGGTTTAGGGTTCTTTTGGGTTTACAGCTTAGGGGTCAGAGTTTTTGGGTATAGGGCTTGTGTATAGTAGGGTCTAGGGCTTCCAAGTTTCGGGCTGCGCGGGTTTAGGACTTCAGGGCTCAGGGTTTAGGATTTATTGCTGTCTCCCAAATACTAGCCTACTTGGAGGGTCGGGGGACTTAGTAAGTAGGTAAGAGGTAGAGTTATAAGTACCTTAAAAGGGAGCCTAATTGGGGTTATGGTACTTATAACTCTCTAAAATAACTACTTAGTAAGTCCCCCGACCCTCCAAGTACCGAGCTACTATCCGAGACCCAGCCATCTGATGATTTAGGTTTAGGTGGGTTGGACCTTTGAAATCCAACAAAACCCTCATAAAGACCCCTGATGGAGCCCTCATGTAATCAGAACCCTTATAGTTTATCCTGATCCTCATAGGAACCCCCAACTCCTATGACTATTCGGCCCGAAAGGAAGCCTCTATAGGTACACAAAACCTCCACCCTCGACGCCCCTAAGTCGCTTCAGGAGCCCCCGAAAAGGACCAAAAGATCCCTTAACCACCACCCGTAATACCCCTGTGGAACCTGTTGCGAGACGAAGCCCGCAACCCTAAACTCTTAAACCCCGAAGCCCAACTCTAAACCCTAAATGCCTAAACCCCACACCTTAAACCCTAAACCCCTACATCCTAAACTCCTAATAAAACCCTAAACCAAACTCCAAAACCCTAAACTTCGAAACTCCTAGACCCTAAACCCTAAATCCATGAACTTCGAAATTCCTAAACCCTCAACCCGAAACCCATAAACTTCGCAACTCCTAAACCCTAAACCTCTAAACCCTGAACCCTAAACTTCGAAACGCCTATACCTCAACCCCACGTAACCTACCTTTTTAAGGACTTATATAAAGAAATCATATTAAGGAACCCTAAAAAGGTAGGTTCCTTAGGGTCCAGGTACCCTAAACCTTTCTTCTGAAGACGACTGGAGGCTTCCAGTCACCTGCAGCTCCGCCTCGAACCCAGAGCACACATTCACTCAGAAAGGCTTGGGTTGAGGGTTTAGGGCTTTAGGGTTTAGGGCTTTAGGGTTTAGGGCTTTAGGGTTAGGGGTTTAGGGTTTAGGGCTTTAGGGTTTAGGGTTTAGGGTTTAAGGTATAGGGTATAGGGTTTATGGTTAAGGGTTTAGGGATAGGGTTTAGGGTTTAGGGTTTTCAAGGGATCTGTAAAGGTACCTTCAAGGGACCTGTAAGTTAGGATTATTTTTTGTTTTTTATTTGGGGTGGGCTTGGGGTATAGATAATTTGAGTTTAGGATTTAAGGTTTAGAGTTCAGGGTTTGTGGGTTTAGGGCTACAGGCTTTTGGCTTTAGTGCAGTTTAGGGTTAAGGGCTTTTGGATGTTTTATGTAGGGTTTCTGGGTGTAGGTTGTAGGGTTTGGGGTGATAAAGACAGAGGCCTTGCTCTTTTAGGGGACCAGCATGTATTACCTGGATTGCAGTTTACGGTGATGGGTTGCGGCAGGGCTCGAGGGCATTCTCAAACTCCAGCCCGTGGTCTAAACCCCAGTCCTTCAATCCTAATCCGGACCTCGTGAGTACCACATTTTGTTGAATTGTTCACTGAGGTTGGCCTCCCAAAACCCTGTAATTAAAAGCGTTTAGAACCTTACAAACCTTAAGACCAAATTGTAAAGCCGATCTTCACACCCCGTCAAGACCCGTTTGAATGCCGTGCAAATCCCGCCAAGTTCGGTTGAACTTACGCATCCTGCATTCCAAGACCAACCTAAAACTGGAGCATGACAAATCCGTATCTTAAAGCTTTTCAAACCCTAGGTCCTTATGCTGAACCCTCAACGCTAAAGGCTAAACACTGCACCCTAAGCACTACAACCCTAAACGCTACAACCGTAAACTTTAAACACTTCGATCCGGAACTCTGAACACTACAGTCAACCCTTAAACCCTGAACCTTGAAACGCCTAAGCCCTAAACCCCTAAACCCCATAAACCTTTAAACCCCTGAACCCGAACCCTAAACCCCCACAATCCCCTAAACCCTAAACCCTTTAACCCCTAAGCCTTCAACCCCTAAACCCTGGCTTCCCCAAACCCCGGTTGAAGTTGAGGTCTCGACGAACTGATCTCTCTGGATCCCGGCAGCAGCGTCCTTGGCTCCCTTCTTTGAAAGATATGAAAATGCTTAAAGGATCATGGGACTTAGTATCATAGGGACCCTTAGGGGGGTAGGGGGCCTTTATGCTCATCATAAGGACCTTACAAGGCCTGTTTAAGGAAGCATAGTCCCCCTTACCCCCCTAAGGGTCCCTATGATAGTAAGTAGGATAGTTCGCAGTGTAAGTAGTTAAAAGTATTTTAGTATAGTTGCTGGATTTATAATCCATTTACTAAATTGTAATCCTGGGCGAAGTTGCTTGCATTCTAGGACTGGTCACAGGCGATGTCTAACATATGTCTGCCCTGTGTTGCGCTAAAGCCGACACCCTAATGGCGTCATGTTGGGTTTCACAGGATCCATACTCATTGAGGACTGTATACGAAACTAGATCCTTCTTCCTGAAGTAAAGAGCCCTTAGGGTCCATGTGCCCTGAAGAGTTCCCTCAAGGGTTGCAATACGGGTTCTGTAAGCGTGTTAGGGTTTATCTGTTTAAGGGTTCATGTGTCCAAACAGTGTATAATTCGCCCGAAAGTGCCCACATGATATACTATGGGCCATAGAGTATATAGGTACTACTCTCAGGCCAAGGTTGGGCGCATGGACCTTTAGGGCAAGTGCAACTCGGTTGTTTGGGCACGTTCAGGTTCGTGCTTCACGTCTATCATCGATGAGTATTTGAGAGTGGGGCTTCCCACTCAAGGTTTATACAGGTGTGGTTACCCCAAGACTTATGGTAGCTGTATTCAGAATTTAGAGCTCTTGGAGTTTGGTGTTCGTGCTGGCTTTCAGCTACTTCAAGGTCTGCGGTCAGTTGGTGAAGCCTCCGCCTGAAAAACTTAATTTAAACTGGAAAGTGCCAATAATTGACCTCAAAGTAAACCCTAAACCCTAAACCCTAAAAAAGGGCCAGTAATCGACCTCAAAGCGCCAGGTAAACGACCCGAAATCCGACGCCTACAGCCTGATGTGCAGCACATACTAAATCGGAGCGCTTGCCACTACACCAACTCGAGACACCGATCCCCGGCCTACGCCCTTTAAAGCGTGAGGTGTTTTTCTGCTGCCCTCCGCCTTCGCAAGCGATTTGGAGCAACATACGGGCCGAGAGGCGCCTGCTTTGATTCCTAGGACTACGGTTTTATGTTTAGGGCGTTCAGGGTTTTGCATTTTGGCTTTTGTAGTTTCAGGATTTAAAGCATGGCTTTGTGGCTTTTGTGTTTAGGGCTTAGGGCTTTAGTGTGGGCTCGCCTTTAAGGATTAGGGCCTCTGGTTTACCAGTGGCTCAAGGGTTAGGACAAATAGTAAGGGGTCGTAACGGACTACAGTGTACCCTAGGGGTACTAACAAATTGGGGAACCTCAAACTTGAGGGTTTTTCAGACCCCACAGAGACCCAAGGACTCTCCCTGGGACATTCCGGACCCTCCTAAGGAGATACCTGACTCTTAGGGTAAACCCTAAAAGCCTAAAACCAAAAAACCCAAAACCCTAACACCCTAAACCCTAACCCCTAAAACCCTAAACCCTATACCCTAACCCTTCGGGTAGTGTTTGGGCTGCAGGTCGGGCTTTTCACGGCTTAAACTTATCTTGGGGGCACTTAGAAATAATTCTTAATCTTTCCCCAAGGGTCCAAAGGACCCAATAATCAGGTACTTCGGTCGAGGATAGTAGTTATGTAGGTTACGATGTGGGGGAGTATATGATTATTAGCTACTTGGACCCTTAGGGTTTGGTTAGTATAATCCCCAAGAAACAGCCAAAACTTAATTTTTGGCAGGGGTCTAAGTTCAGTGCACTTTTCGCAGGCTTGCGCCTGCAGCTTAGGATTTCTTTGTTGTGCCCGGAACAGCGCCGCAAATCGACTGTTGGCAGATTGTTGACGGTTGTTGTTTCGGTTCCTGCTTTTGCTCCCCTAACCCCTAAACTCCTCAACCATAAACCCTAACCCCCATGGCAGTCCTAAACCCTAAAAGGTCGGCTAAATGCCAAACTTGGATGGTCGGGGGACTTACCAATTGTCTATTCCATGGGCTTATAATTACCAGAACCCCAATTAGGATCCTTTTCTAGGGTACTTATAGCTCTACTTAGTATACCCCTACTTAGTAATTACCTACTTACTAAGTCCCCGGACCCTCCAAGAACAATCTCGTCATTGATTTCTGTCATTCTCTTGATCAGCTACATGCTGCCAAACTGCCCTGCGCTTCGTTTCTGCCTCGACGCCACGTGGAAGTGGGAACGAGGAGAAAAGGCTCACAGCGCGTGACCCTTGACTCGGTTTAACACCTGTGCGACCAGAGCTGGGCGCTCGGCTGGAAGGAGATGGCTCAACTGCAGCAAGGGCAGCTGGATGATCGCGCAGTGTGGCTGCATGCTACCGGTGCCCCACTTGCGCAAATCTGCAGGCAGAGAGTCCTGGTGCATGTGCGTGGGAATGATTCGTCAGCACGATTCACTCTCTGGTGCCTCGTGGGTTTCTGTGGCAAAAGCAGCGTGGGGCTGCGGGCACCTTTGAGCCAGAAACCCTAAACTTTAAACCCTGTGTACATAAGTAACCTTGCGCTTGATTCGTATACATATATAGAATAGGTGTATATGTTTAAATGTACAATGTACATGTATTCACACATATATGTAAATATGTGTGTGTGTGTGTACATGTGTGTATGTGTGTATGTGTGTGTATGAATAGTAATTATATATATATATATATATATGCATATGCATATACATACACTATACACACACGCACGTTGACTTATAGACCCATTTAAAGCTCCATAGGAGTGTCTTTACACGAGCATTTAGAACAAATTTCGGGTAGTGTGGCCCTTCTCTGTATATGTGACAATACATGAACATACTGTTGATGGTATAAATCCTGCATGACCCATAATAAGGCATATACCATAATTCCCATAGTTTAGGGTCCTTAAGGTAGTGCAGGATTTCTATATCATAACCCTAAACCCTAATCCCTATAGATCCCTTATAGCACCCCTATAGATCCCTTTAAAGGAACCCTAGGGATTTATATCATCAACCATATTACAGACGGGCGCAGGTGCGATGGTCCACAGGGCTGTTTGCCGAAGAGGCTTTCCGGCTCCGGCGCAAGATCTTCCGTGAGGTTCGTTCCCCAGCGGCCTTTGTTTCTGGAGTACTCTGGTGAAGGGGGCTTTGAAAGGGGCCTTTAAGGTGGACCTGCCCTAAGGGTCCAGGTATCTCCTTAGTCCGGGATGTCCTAGGGAGAATCCTTGGGTTTTTTGGGGGTCTCAGAAACCCTCAAGTTTGAGGTTCCCCAAATTTGTTAGGACCGTTTGGGTGTACCTGAAAAGAGCCCATCATGTAACAAACGTCTCTACCCTTTCCTGCCTGGTTACTTCATATCCGAGGACTTCGGAGTTGGAATCCTGAGAGTTGCGTTTAGAGGATTTGGAGGGTTTGGCTTCAGGGTCGTATGGGTTTGGAGGTTTGTTTCCCTAGCGGTCCTAACAAATTGGGGAACCTCAAAATTGAGGGTTTCTGGGACCCCAAAGAGACCCAAGGACTCTCCCTAGGAGATTCCGGACCCTCCTAAGGAGATCCCTGGACCCTTAGAGTTGTTAGGGGGCCATCTACCAACGATGGTGTATTCCTTAGTTGCGGCTTTGGGCACTCTGGGAAGAGACGCTTCTAGCTACAGTTGAGCGTGGTTTCCAAGCCCTACAGCCTTGAAGCCTTGAGACAAACTAATAAGTGAAATGCTGCAGGGCTACAGCCTTAAACCTGCGGAGTGTAATTTAGTACGTCACCTTCCCTAAAGCCTGAAACCCAGCAGCCTCCCACACTTCAGCAAAAGAAAAAAACTAAACCTTAAACCCCTTAACCCTGACCCTCCCCACAATTAAGCAAAAGACAACCCTAATCCTTACACACACTACAGTAGAAGCCAGAAAGTTGGAATATCATTATCGTAACCCCTTTAAGGTAAATTATAGGGGATCCTACCATTAGTCCATATTCCAACTTTCTGGAGTTCCCTTTAAACCCAAAGCCGTAGACCTATTCTCCAGACTAACAGTCCCAAAGGGTCCCAGGTGCTGTCATGGGGAATACTTCCCGAAATCATAATAGTAACTCCTCATAAAATAGTAACCCTACCGTCTACCATATAGGTACTTAGTACTCTGAACCCTTAACTCTCATAGTTCCCAAAAAGGAACCCCTTATGGTACCCTTAAAGGTAGGTACTTCGGTTGATGAGAAAAATCCTGCATTACCTGAATGACCCTAAAACTATGGGAATTCTGATATATTCCGAATTATGGGTAATGCAGGATTTATATCATCAACAGTATTATAGAACCCCATAGTGCCCTGAAAGGGGACCCTTGCTTCTACAGAAGCCCTTAAACCCTAAACCCTAAACCCCCAAACGAAACCCCTGAGGGGCTCCCCGGGCTTCCCTTACTTGGTTTAACCAGTTATATAATAAGGATCCTATAAGGTAACCCCAAAAAGGAACTACAATGGAGACTATAGGTAGGTACTTTGGACCCTTTGGGAGTCTCCCCAACCCGCTGCGGGGATTCCGAGGCGGATTCGCTACTCAGCTCGACGGCCCGCACCGCTTCTTCGGAACAGGCGCGTGAATGCCATGGGGAGTTCAAAGTTTCGGGTTTAGGGCTTTAGCCTTTGGAGTTTAGGGTTTAGGGTTTTCGGGTTTAGGTTTTGGGAATTTAGGGTTAGGGTTTAAAGTTTCGGGTGTTGGGCTTACTTGTGGATCCAAAAACCTAGCGCTTTAAGGCTTAAACCCTCCAATGAAGGGGTCATAACCCACCATTTTGTACGGTTTGGGGTCACAGGTAGGGTTTAGGGCTTGGGTTCAGGGTTTAGGGTTCAGGGATCAGGGCTCAGAGTGTCCAAGGGTAAAGGAGGGACCCTTAATAGGGACCCCCAGGTATATACCCTTAATATAGCCATTATATAATACCCATTATACAGCCCTAAACCCTAAACCACCCTAAACCCTGAACCCTAAATTTAAACCCTAAAAGCCCTAAACCCTAAACCCTAAGCCCATTGTAAGGTAGGGGTCCCCATTAAGGGTCCCTCCTTTTTCCCCTTTGAGAGTGTAGGGTTTAGGGTACAATTGCTCTTCATGTTTCGATCTGGGGTTCTTGTGAAGGACATGTGGACTTGCCACACAGGGACGGCAGCATTTGATCGATGATATATATATATATATATACACATACATACATACATACATACATACATACATACACAATGTATAGTTATATATACATATATACATATACATATGTTTATACATATGACATATGACCCTTTTGGTCAAGCAAGTTCATTCAATCCTTGCAGTCTTTGGGGGGGCGGTGTTTCGCGGTTCAGCGGGTTTGGGGCTCGATGTTGAGAGTTTGTAAAAGGGGCCTGAACACTTGCCGCGACATGAATAAACTACAATGTGCTGCGAAACCGTAGTCGAGTTTCGAAGGTCTCCGCACTGGAGCCCGAGAAAACCCCAGAGCCCCTCTTGCAAGTTTAAGACCCTACTTGGAGGGTCGGGGGACTCAGTAAGTAGGCAATAAGCAGCATTACCAAGTACCCTAAAAGGGACCCTAATTGGGGTTATGCTACTTGTAACTTAAGTACGGCCCCCACTCAGTAATGGTTGAATAATATTCATAATATAGATATAGTAGGACTTTAATAGTAGCCTTTTATAGACTCTTACTGTATGGGGGCCGTACCTAACTTGTAACTCTCTAAAATAACTACTTAGTAAGTCTCCCGACCCTCCAAGTACAGGAGCCCTTTCTTCTAATTCGCAAGGCCTTGCAACCCGAAAGCCTAAGCCCTATGTTAGGGTTTAGGGTTTAGGGTGGTATGGTGTCTGCCGCAGGTTGCACATGTTTTTGCTTTGTATCATGCATCCCAAAGGTTTGTGGCAACTTGGGGCCCCGTGGCAGAGACGCTATTTCCGCGCTGACATCTGAGATCCGTTGCACGATGTCTACCACACTCGCGATGAGGCAGTGTAGCCGAGAATTGGCAACCACCTGTTGTCGTTCAAGCTCTTCCTCATCTGCCTCGGTTTTACTGGCAGCGCCAATCAGTGGGGCAGCTACATGGAGGCTGTCGTGATCTACATGGAGCAGCAAGGATAGGACGCGACGTGGAGATAGTTCTGTTCATGCTTACACCGCTAAAGTTCGCGGCCAGGCTGCGTCTTCCAGTGACAGTCCGATCGTGGGAAGATCTCTACGAGGTCCTGCATGGCCGCTTGTGAGATGGACCAACAAGGCCGTAGCAGGCCTTGAATGACGGGCGCTAATTTACTTGCCAGGATTGTCTCTCGTGTGCAGTGTACAAGGAACTATCGTCGAAGACAGCACGGATGTCTTTGGGGTTGGGGTTTAAGGCTTCGGGTTGGGCTTTGTGGGTTTAGGGCTCAGGGGTTGGGTTTTAGAGGTTTAGGGCTTGGGTTTGGGGCCTAGGGCTTAGGGGTTGGGTTTTTGGCTGTTTAAGGTTTGGGTCTTTGCGTTGCGTGTTTGTGGCAAATACCACATGCAACAAGGGCTCGGATTTCAACGAGTTGCTTTGTTGGTAGAACACCTGCAAGATCCCCATAAGAGAACCACCCCTGTGATAGGAACCCTTATAGATCCTTTCAAGGAGCCTTAAAACGGGACCACCTACTGTAGTGGGATTGCCTTATAGAATTTTAAATATGAATCCCAAGAAGGAACTACTGTGGGGCCTATGGGTAATCCTTAGACCCTAAACCCTGTTTAAATCCTAAACCCTATACCCTAAACCTAAACCTTAAACCCTAAACCCCGTTTATATCCTAAACCCTAAACCCTATACCCTAAACCTAAGCCCATATTGTTACTTCTAAACCGTAAACACAATTCTACTTTAAAACTGCTCGATCCGGAGCTGCTGAACCGTATACCCTAAACCCTAAACCCTAAACCCTTATCCAACATCCTTATACAGGCAGCTCCTGAGTTTTCCACACTTCCGGACTGGTGCTTCAGCTGCAAGAAGACTGGCCGTAAACCCTTTCGGGCCTTGAGGGTTTAGGGTTGAGGGTTTAGGGATCACAAAACCTTAAACCCTAAATCCTAAAACCGGAAATCTGAAACCTAAGCTGTTCTTGTTTAAGGAAGGTATTTTGTCGAAGTGCTATGGGGCAGCAGTATAAGAATAGTTTTCCTCAAAGCCCTAGTCTGCTGATGACGGCCCCTGCACTAGCCCCCGGGAGGTTCAAGTAAGACAGGCCTGGCAACTTCAACAACAGCTACCCGGGCATGTCGAGCTGTTCATAGACACTGTGCAACATTGAACGGTGCTTGCTGCAAGATTCCCGAAAAGACCATCTCGCTACTGTTGGCAAACCGGCGGAACGAATCCAATGCAATCAAGGACGCCTGGCACCACTTCTTCCCCCAAACTGGTACAATGCATCCCGAGTTTCGAGGTGTGAATCACAGATTTGCGAAGCCTAAACCCCAGACAGCCCACTACCCCGTAGTGCAGGAATGCTGCGTTTTGTTATTTCATTGTGTTTTGCGAGGTTTTCGTGGGATTCAGTTACCCCCATATGGCGCTAAATAAGCTAAATAAGGAGTATACCCAGATCAGACGGTTTCAGGCCCTAGATATTTTAAGGCATATTCCCTAATTGGGTCTCTGGGACCCGACCTGAGGCTAGACTACTTGGAGGGTCGGGGGACTTAGGAAGTAGGTACTAAGTAGAGTAAAAAGCACCCTAGAGGGCTCTTAATTCGGGTGATGGTATTTATTAGAAGGGGGCCCCACCCTGTAATAGTGACTATAAGGTTTATATTAGGGCCATATTATATTCATATTACACCACTATTACAGGGTGTGCTTTTTTTAAGGTATGTATAACTAAATCACCGACTCTCCAAGAAAGGCATAGCCAGAAATTCAAGGGTTGGCCATCATAGAAACCACCCCTAAACCCTAAACTCTTAAACCCTATACCCTAAACCTCAAACCCTAAACCTGAGGTTTAGGGTTTAGGGTTTAGGGTTTAGGCAGGCTGATTCCCATACCCCCCCCTCTCAAAAAAATCCCAAAGCCCTAAACCCTCTAAGGCCCTTAGACCGCCCGAAACCCTAAATCATCCTAAGTCTAAGCCATCCGAAACAGCCTTGTCCTTGTTCATGGTTCCCCCAAAAGAATAAACAGACCGGCTAGTAGACCTTCTTAAATCATTCCTACTAAGGGATATAGGTATAGGGCTCTGTCTATTATTTCTAAAAGGACAAGGGTGTCCGAAACCCTGAAACTCAAACCATCCTATACCAGGATGTTCAGTGGTGCACTTTGTTACTTTCAGGTTTCTGGGTTCCTATTATATAATAAGAAGCCTAAGCAAGTATATACTTTTTCCCAGTGGGTCACTGAACAGCCTTGTATATAAACCCTAACCCTGAGGGTCCCCTAACACTTTGAGGAACCTCAAAATGCAGGATCCCTGAAGCCCCAACGAGACCCAAGGGCTCTTTCTGGGAGATTCCGAATCCTAAGGAGATACCTGGACCCTTAGGGTCGACCCTATATTATTATTACTATGATTATATTTATTACAATTCCCTAAGGGTCCAGGTATCTCCTTACGAGGGTCCGGAATGTCCTAGGGAGAGTCCTTGGGTCTCTTTGGGGTCTCAGAAACCCTCAATTCTGAGGTTCCCCAATTTGTTAGGACCCTTAGGGTTATGAATAACATTGTGACTATTATTACTATTATTACTATTGTTATTATTATTATTATTACTATTATTACTATTGTTATTACCTAAACCTACCCGAACGCCTACCTAAACCCTCAGCCGGATCTTACACACCCGAGGTGTCTTCACGCGATGTCAGTGTGGCGGGTGCTCGATCGCTACGGCGGGGAGCCCGAGCTTCGCGTGTATAGGGCAGGCCAAGAGAAGCTACTAGGGTTTAGGGTTTAGGGGTTTAGGGTTTAGGGTAGAGGGGCCATATACAATACAACTATGGAATGAGGTCTTCAAATCCATAATAGGGATGGTCTTTTGGTACCGAATTAATTGCGTAATGGTAGTGTGTGTGGACCCTCTGCGCAATCTAGGGTTTTAGGGTCTGTAGGGTTTGGGGTTCAGGGTTCAGGGTTCAGATGTTCAGGGTTTGGGGTTCAAGGTTGAGCGTTCGGGGTTATGGGTCCATGCAGAGTTTAGGGTTCGGGGTTGAGGATCTAGGGTGTAGGGGACAGTCTTTAGTAAACATACCACCTTAAGCCCTGAACCGTGGGATCCTAACATTCCAAGCCCCAAACCCTAAATACTAGGATCCTAGAAAAACTTATAACCCTGGTTCTTACGCACCTAAGCCAATTAAACTCGATGGAATTCGATTTAGAGTGACTTCCCTAAGGGTCCTAACAAATTGGGGAACCTCAAAATCGAGGGTTTCTGAGACCCCAAAGAGACCCAAGGACTCTCCCTAGGACATTCCGGACCCTCCTAAGGAGATACCTGGACCCTTGGGTACGCACCTAAGCCTGTTGAACTCTATGGAGTTCGATTTAGAGTGACTTACGGGTCTGGCATCCGGGGTATGCCAGAAGCCAAAGAGCAATAGTCTTTGTATAAACCCTACTATAAGGTTAGATGGCCCATGGGAGAGATTTTAATGCTTTGGCTTTATAATGATTATATATATATATATATATAAATATTTATATTTATTTCAGAAAGATCGAACTGTTTTGGGCCCGGTTGTTGAAGAAAAGAGTACGTAGAAGTCTAGGGACCCTACGCCCCTAAATCCAAAACGCCAAAAATCCTAAACTCTTAGGTCCGCTTAGGGTTTAGGGTTTAGAAGGGGCCCCCACCCCGTAATAGTGACTATAAGGATCATATTAGGGCCCTATTGTATTCCTATTATACTATTATACCGCTATTACAGGGTGGGTGGGGGCCCTTCTAAGGTTTAGGGTTTAGAGTCCCCAGCCCAGGCCTATATACGACCTGGGATGGATTGGACAAAAAAAATCCCAATTGGTATTGGCCTTGAACTAAAGCAGATAACTGTAGAGACAATTTTGTAGTTTAGGATTTAGGGGGTCGAATACTCCTGATTTAAGATGTTTCGGCTGCTAAGGGTTTAGGGTACGGTATCTTCTTTTTGCAGGGCTTTATGGTTTTTCGCTCTTGAGGACCCCTAAACCCTACACCCCAAACCCTAAACCCCTAAACCCCTGAACTCTAAACCCTACACCCCTAAACCCTAACCCCTAAACCCTTAAGCCTTGGACCCTACACCCTACACCCGCACTTGAGGACCCAACCTGCTCCACTACAAGACCATCCAGGAGATCGAGCTGCAGCGTGAGATAGAGGACGGTCGCTTCTGTGGATTCTTTAACACCGGTCTGCCCCTGGGTCCAAGTTTAGGGTTTAGGGTTAGGGCTTAGGCTACTTAGGGTTTAGGGGTTAGGGTGTATGGGGTTTATAGGGTTTAGGGTTTATAGGGCTGCTAGGATACTCTGGGCGGTGAAGGATGGAGGGGTTTAGTTAGTTTGGCTTTATGTGGTTTCGGGTTTCGAAGGGTAAAAGGAGGGACCCTTGATAAGGACCCCTAGGTAGATACCCTGAATATAGCTATTATATACCCATTATATAGCCCATTATAGGGTAGGGGTCCCCATTGAGGGTCCCTCCTTTTCTAAACCTTAAACCCTAAACCCTTTGTGGGTTGTCCCTACGCCAGATCACTGGTTCCGAGTCTTCTCTGGCTGTGAACTTCCCTAAGGGTCCGGAATGTCCTAGGGAGAGTCCTTGGGTCTCTTTGGGGTCTCAGGAACCCTACATTTTGAGGTTCCCCAAAGTGTTAGGACCCTTACGGTAGAGTCTTCTGTGGCTGTGGAATTGGGTTTCTGCTGTGTACACCTGGCTTAATGATGGCCTTGACTGTGTAGTTTCCTGAGATCCGGAAAGGTATGTTGTAGGGTCAGCAAGCATTTGCATGAGGCCTGCAGTGTCCAGGGCTTAGACGTTTTGGGTGTGGCGTGGCGCCACGGCGTAGGCGTACATGATCATGGGAGGCGATTTCTTCAAGCACTTGCTCTGTTTGGATGCATGTTACAATTTCAAACCTTAGAGCCAAATTCCATAAACCATGTTTTCTTAAATTCTGACCCGGGTGACAGGTCGCCACACCCTTGGCTCAAAAGTCCTAAGTCTAGAGTTCGAAGGTTTGAGGATTGGAGTAACTAGGCTATATGTGGATCTTCATGCAGGGGAAGCCGCAAGCAGGGGTAAGGAAGATAACAGCATCAGCTACAGTCGACTTGCTATGTCTCCTAAGTCGCTAAGTGTCCCTTTAGCCTGCGCCCTTTTGGATAAACTCTTAAAGCACAGGGAACCCAAGAGCCCACGAAGCTGAATCCCTCCTAACCCCCAGTCCCCTGCAGCGCCTGTCCCTGAGCCACTACTCTCCAATCTCTAAACGTGAGTTTCCGAGAAGTAGGGGGTACCTTATTTGTGGGGTCCTCATAGTAAGGATCCTACCATTTAGGGTACTATATTCGGGTCCCCTACTTTCGGAAACTCCCAAACCCTCAACCCTAACATGTAGGCCCTAAACCCTGAACCCTTAAACCCTGCTCCTCTTTTGTGAGATCCGGCCCCTGTTTCAATGCCTCCGATTAACTATTGTGGTTGTTTTGAAATGAGGTAGTTTAAATAGTGGGGTGCTCTTTGTGTGTGTGGTCGGGTCCAAAGGCTCCTCAACTTCTGGGGTTTCGGACGCTAGTGCAGACGGAAAAGAGCCCGTAAAAACACAAAAAACAAAAACCCTTAAACCCTAATACCACGGGCATTCAGGAGACAGCGAAGCAGATCTCTTCCCAGCTGGTTCGCAGCAAGGGCGGGCTGTCGGAACAGTGCCAGGCACTGCTTTTGGGGAAGACAGCGGGTTCGGGGATTTCCCCTTTCAGGGCTCTTTTAAAGGGATCTAAAAGGGTTCTTTAAATGGTTTAGGGTTTAGAGTTTCCGAGAAAATTAGGGATACTTTAGCGGGGGGTCCCTATTGCAAGGATCCTACGGGTACTATATTAGGCCTACTTCGGGATCACCTGGGGATGCAAAAAGGTTTAGGCTTTGGGGGCTTTTGGGGGCTTTTAGGGGTTTTAGGGGTTTATAGGTTTAGGGCATAAGGGTCCTAACAGATTGAGGAACCTTAAAATGTAAGATTCCTCAAGCCCCGACGAGACCCAAGGGCTCTCCCTAGGACATTCCGGACCCTCCTGAGGAGATACCTGGACCCTTAGGGTAGGGATGATTAAGCGTTCTAAGGGTAAGGGTGGTGGCTGTGCTATTCATGTTTTAGGGTTCAGGGAAGAAGAGCTGTGCATAAGTCTTGGAGGGTTTTAGGGTTCGGCATGATAATTCGTTAATTAGCTTAATATGGGAGTTTCCGAAAATTAAGGGTACCAAACTTTGGGGTCCTTACAACAAAGATCCTACTACTCAGGATACGATATTAGGGTCCCCTGTTTTCGGAAACTCCCATATGTGGTTCAGGATTGATTGGGCCTCTAGGGCTTTTAGGGTTCGGGGATTACTTGGTGCCATGCCTTACTTGGAGGGTCGGGGGACTTAGTAACTAGGTAATAAGTAGAGCTATAAGTACCTGAATTAAAAGGGACCCTAATTGGGGCTATGGTACTTATAACTCTCCCAAATAACTACTTAGTGAGTCCCCCGACCCTCCAAGTATTCACAGCCTACTGTCAGCAGTTCGACGAAAACCAGCACCAACTGAACACTCGGCTTTTGACTGCCGCTGGGGGACGTGCATGCCATCATTGTTTGGGTTCTTATCCCTTCGCTCAATCTCATTTGTGGCCGGCCCAGGTACAGAGTTTTCGCAGCATGTGAAAAGAGTGGGATGGTCATGGGACCGACGCAAGAAACATGCTAGTAGAGTAGGTAACCTTTAAAATTTTCTGATTTTGTAATCACGTGTTTAATCCCAAAGGTTAATCTTGAGCTTCCCTGGAATACTAGACAAGCCAAGACTCATCGCAAGAAGAAAGCAACAGAGAGCGGGCGCGTTTTCTTCATTGACCTTTTGGGCTGTGTTGGTCGTCTCAGTGCTGGAACCCACCTATACTCTCCATTGTAGTTTCTTTTTTTAGTTATCCAATTTTGTGGTTAGGACCCTATAATAGAGTTTTTCGTTAACCAGACAAAGGAACTACAATGGAGACTACAGGCAACTTTGACACGGAGATTGCAATTTGCGTCGACAGGGCGCCAACCCAATTTCAATCTCGATTCAAAGGACATGCTGCAACCCCAAAATGGGGGATGCCTCCCCAAATCCTGATAGGAATATATGGAAACACTACTACACTCTACTGTATAGGTACCTTGCACCCTCGGGGAATGGAATCAGGAAAGTTGCCAGCGCATTTGCTTGGAGTCTAATCACGCTGCCGAAGCATTGGGGGTTCGGAGAGCTGAGCATGTAGGGTAAAAGCCAGAAAGTTGGAATATGATTATCCTGAACCCTTCTATGGTAAATTATAGGGTATCCTACCCTGAAACCATATTCAAACTTTCTGGAGTTCCCTGTAGATTGTTTTAGTCACGCATTGTCTGTTCGGGAGCGTGCTGGGCTTAGTGCTTGCTTCACGGGTCGTGTTACGGTAATGGGACACCAACCATAAGAGATTCCTGCCGAGAAGAGCACTAAGGTCTTGGACAACGGTTCGTGGTTTAGCGAAAAGACACGCAAAGCGATTCGCAATGCAGGATTTAGGGGACCAGGGCTGGTCAGTACCTGTATGTTAATGTTACACATAGAGGTCTAGTTACCCTTTGTTGAGGTATTCTCGCTTTATCTGTATATGGAAGCCGGAACATGCAGGGGTTATAGCCTTTGCTGCTTAAATCCATCCCCCGATCCCGCCTGCAGGGATCTGAGTCTGTTTGTCCCGGAACATGAATAACACTCACAACCCAAATTCAATCTCTCAAAGGGTCCAAGGTACATATATAGTAGAATGTAGGGTTTCCATACTAGGAACAGCTATTATGATTTGGGGAAGTATTCCCCATAACAGTACTAAGGACCCTTTGGGTCTGTAAATCCAGCGCCCCAGAGATGAGCATTCGGGAAGCACTGACCTCGAACCGTCAGAAGAAACGCAGCAAAGTGTAGCATAACGGTTTAGGGTTTTTGGGTTTTAGGGTTTCGAAGTCAGTATCAATGAATCAAGAAGAGGCTCAGAAATGCTGAACTTTCACGCCCCGAAATGCAACCTACCAGTTGAGTGTTTGATGTTCAAGGCTTTGGTGTGTGTGTGTATATATATATATATATATATATATGTAATGCAAGCGCAGCCTCCACTAGTAAACATTCAGGTGCCAATGTAGATTCAGGATTTTGTATGTTTAAGAAGGGCTCATCATCTTAAGACTCTGAAAGGCTAGGCTTATCTTCTAGGATGCCCAGTAGCACCCTTATTCCCTTTTTGTAGCCCTAGGTGCCCAATACCAAAAAGGCAGCCCTTTTTATTCCTAGGTTGCTGGGCATCCTAGTCTAAGACATAAAAGTCAGGGCTTATCTAACCCTACGGGTCCAAGTACCTAATAATCATATACTCTCCTAAATATTGAGCTACATAACTACTATCCTAAACCCAAGTGCCTAATGATTGGGTCCTTTGAACCCTAAAACCCCAATATAACCCGAATACCGACCCCTTATAGAACCCTTTTTGGAACCTTCTAGGAACCCTAATTATTGCCCTAAACCCTAAACCCCGAGACATCTACCCCTAACCCTAACTATTGCGTCCTTTGGACCCTTAGAGTAAGACATAAAAGCACGGCGAGGCCCTGTTGGCTTCTTCCACCAAGCGGCTGAGCGACGGCGAGAGCGGCAATCTCGTCGATGGCGAGTTCAGGTTGGGGCTAAGGGTTTACCTTAACCCTGAATAACCTACCCTTTTTTAGGGTTCCCTATTACGGCTTCCTTCTATCAGTCCTTAAAAAGGTAGGTTCTTCAGTGTTAAGGTAGGGTTTTGGATAGTAGAGAGTTCATAACATTGCTGACGGCGTTTATGGTTGTTGTACCAGGGTGTTGATAGGATCTGCTAAACCCTAAACCCTAAACCCTAAACCCTAAACCAGTTTAGGGCTTCTGGACCTGCGGTTTTCAGTTCTCAACACGGCTTCGTAGGGTTTTGCCTGCTGCTGCGGGCTTTGTACCCTTGTCGGCTCTTCATTGAGAGTTCTCTGACCCTATACCCTAAATCGCAAAACCTAAGCCCCAACCCCGAACCCGAAACCCTAAACCCTAAACCCCTAAACCCTGAACCCCAAACCCGAAACGAGTTGTCTAGAATTCTGGGAAGCCGCCGAGTACCGTACCTGCACATTGCTTATATGAGAGTTTCCGAACATCAGGGGTACCTCATTTGGGGGTCCTTATAAGAAGGATCCTACTATTTAGGGTACTATATTAGGGTCCACTATCTTCGGAAGCTCCCATATAGCCTTCCTCCCAAAACTCCATGCAAAGATCCGACCCACCTCCTGAATCGCAGGGTTTAAGATTTGGGGTTTTAGGGTTTCGGGGCATTTAGGGTTTACGGTTTTCTTGGTCTAGGAGCGTAGGGTTTAGGACTGCTATAACGACTTGGAATCATATGCAGGTCGTCCTTGCAAGCCATTCTGGAGAGCTTCGACAAGCTGCTTGGTCCTAACAAGCCCTAAAGGGTTCAAAGGATCTAATCTAATCAGCAATTAAGTACAGGAACCCTGCCATTGCATCCGTACCCCTAAAACCGAAAGCCTAGTCCCAACAAGCCCTGAGCCCTTAACTCTACTTGGAGGGTCGGGGGACTTAGTAAGTAGGTCCGGCAGTAAGTAGAGTTGAAAGTACCCTAAAAGGGATCCTAGTTGGGGTTATGGTTCTTATAACCCTAAAAGCTAGCTACTTAGGCAAGTCCCCCGACCCTCGAAGTACATCCCAAACCCTAAACCCCTAAACCCTAAACCCCTAGACATTTGGAGTTTTAAAGCCCCGAGCCCTCTTAACCCAAGGGGTCTGAGACTCTGGGCGTCTTACACAGAGGCCCGGACAGCCGCTACGTTCCTTAAGGAGGAAATGTACCAAAACCCCTCAACCCTAAACCCCAAAACCTTTTAAACCCATCTGAACCCTCTAAAACCCCAACACCCCTAAAAAGTCCCTGAAACCCCAAAACCCTAAACCCCCTAAACCCATATAAACCCTCTCCTAAAACATCCCAGGAGGGCCAAGGCGGAGCTCGAAAAACATCTCCAAAGTCGCAGGTCGAAGCTACCCGAGGCGCGCTGGGGAGCTTCTTTTTTTTTTGCGCCTTTTTTGTTTTTTTGAGACTTTTCCATGGGATTTTGGGATTTAGGGAACACACTTTAGGGTCTGGGGTTTTAGGGTTTAGGGTTTATAGGGTTTAGGGGTATAGGTTTTTCGGGTTTAGGCTCTTCCTCTCCTCTGGTTTTTGGTGCCCTAAGACTCCAAATTGGCCAAAGGAGGTATTATTTATCGATCTTAGACCCCAAAGTAGGAACTATTTGTATACTCGGAGTCTCAGGGGTGGGTCAATTAAGTGTAAGTTTTCCTCGGTCGGGCTTGAGTCATTGAGGGTTGTTTTTGGGTTTTGATGCGGTATGTATGGTCCTGCAAGTGCCCTCCGACATGCAGATGCACAGAAAGAACCCTAAAAGCCTTACAACCCTATAACCCTGAACCCCTAAACCCTAAATCCTAAACCCCAAACCCTAAACCCCTAAAGGAAAAAAACCTAAACCCCTAAACCCTATACCCCTAAACCCTAAACATTCAGAGGCACAGAAAGAGGAGGCGAGGCGGAAGCTCACGACGCCCATCGAGTACCAGGCAAGCGCATCCCGAATGAGTTGCGAAGCCGAAGTCCCCTGAGTTTACGACTTGAAATGCCTACAAACACTACTCTAGGGGCCGTTTAGGGTTTAGGGCTTCCATAATAACCTATACTATTTTGATGGGACTGGTCATATTTGTAGTATAATGGCTCCCCAAATCCTGCTCGAATCACTAGGGCCCCTATATGATGTTCCGGAAATCCAGACTCTGTGCATCAAATCATACTAAATCCAAATCGAAACCTAGCCCGGAATGTACAAGGCTGATGCTCGGGTGTTCGCAGCAGGTGTTATCCAATTCACGGTGCACTACCTGCCCACTAGCTATGCACGTGACGGTGCCTGAGATTTCCCTTTGTTTGCAGTTGCGTGTGCGTCTACGAGTATATGTGGATACACGCATATGTACGCATCTGTACTCTTGCGTCGCATCTGACATACCCAAAGACTCCAAATTGCCCAAAGTAGGTATTATTTACATGCCCAGAGAGTCCAATCTCCCATACAATTGAAGAACAGACCTTAAGTCATATGAGGGATACGACTATAATAGTTCCCGTAATCCCTAAACCCTAAACCCTAATAACAATGTATATTCCTCAATTTGGGGATCGCGGAGTCTCTGGGTGATGTACTGTACCGTTTTGGTGGTTGGGTTTCTTAGTCTGGGGTCTGATCCCAAGGTATCCGAAAAATCTCTAAGGGCGCATGTACCAGATAGCTTAGTAGATTTTGGCCATATAAAGTAGTCACCATCTCGGTACATATATATTATCTGGTACATGGACCCTGATTTATGAAATAAGCGAAATTGCGCAGACTATCTGTTGGGTCGGGTCTGGGGCCCTCAAAGCTCATTTCCTGAGCATCGACATGTCATTCAGGGCCTTAGTATTATGGTTACTTATTAGCTATTCGTATTACCATTAATAATGTCCTTACTACTACTACTACTACTACTACTACTACTACTACTACTACTACTACTACTACTACTACTACTACTACGACTATCATTATTGTTACTACTATTACTATCATTGGTTTCTTCCTGAATATAGGGGTGTTGGGCACTGTCTGGGTTCCAGTACCTGGGCGCCAGACCCCAAACAGAAGCCAGAGAGTCAGAGAGCCCAATACCCGGGGTACTGCCCCCCACACAGTCGATCTTGGGGTCCTACTGTTGATGATATACATCCTGCATTACCCATAATAAGGAATATACCATAATTCTCATATGCAGGATTTCTATCATCAACCGTGTCAAGGGCGATGTTTGATCAATTGTACTATCCATATTATCCAACTGTTACAGAGTGGGAGTAGTTGTATTAGGGGTTCTATTAAGGGGGCGATGTTTGGTTATATTATCCAACTGTTACAGAGTGGGGGCAGTACCCAAAACATACCTTAATCACTCGTCTAAGGGTCCAAGTACCATTGGACACTTAGGGTTAGCTCATACTTTTGGGACCCTCATAATTGCAACACTACAAGCCAGATTGCGTAACTAAGGGGCTTAGGGTTTTGCGCTTCCGAAGCCATCCAGGGCGAACTCACGCGATACACGTGGTCGCTGTGCTTGGCTGACGCTACGGATCGAGACCAACTGAGGGCGCTGAAGGCTCGTTGTGTTTCGTTAGCTTTGCTTTTGGCCGAATATAGCTATCGATGTTATTCTTTATTTGCTTATTCTCATAGCCTGACTATGTAGGCCATAATTAAGTCTATAATCCCTACTCTAATCTTTCAGGCCGCAACATTAATACTGCTGGTCAGATTTGACTTACTTATACTAAAGGCTCCTGGCGCGTTAGTTTGATTGTGCCTGGTCTAGTTTCCAGAGTATAGGGCTACAGATTTACAGCGCAATTCACGCCTTGAAGGCTTGTGTTTGTTTTACGGAGTTGGGGTTTAAGAGGTTTAGGGTTCAGTGTTTTGCCAGAACAAAGCATCAACCATCAATACTTCAAAGAGCACGGCTGCTGTATGCTGTGTATTTGGTAGGTCTTCCCACCACAGTCGAATCTATGGCAAAGGCTTGTTCCAGTCAGATGCACAACACCCGAAGAACGATTATGACTGAACAGCTGTGGTGACTTACCAGTTCAAAACTAGCTTGAGGCCCTACCTTAACCCTGAAGAACCTACCTTTTTAGGGCTCCTTATTATAGTTTCCTTATATAAGTCCTTTAAAAAGGTAGGATCCTCAGGGTTAAGGTAAGACCCTAGGAGTCCTTCTCCTTTCCCTTGTGCCACACTGGGGCCTTCCGAGCAGAGCACACAGTCTAACAGTCTAAAGCACTAAGGCACAGCCTTGTCCTTTTTCATGGTTCCACCAAAAGAATAAACAGACCGGCCAGTACACCTTCTTGAATTATTCCTACTAAGGGATATAGGTATAGGGCTCTGTCTATTATTTCTAAAAGGACAAGGGTGCACTAAGGCACATGTGCCTGATGGATCCTTCTCCATGCCTTGTCGCTGTCATCCGAAGCTTCGTAACGAACGCTCCGACTAATTTAGGATATTTAGGTGCATTTGTTAGTGTTTATGGTTTACTGAGCTTAGGGTTTATTTAAACCCTATAGGATGATTCGGTGCATTTTTTAGTGTTTACGGTTTACATAGGGAGTTTAGGGTTTAGGGTCTTCGAATTCGTGGTTGGCAGGACCTAGAATTGCGTAGCGGATGCCAGAGCTATACTGGGAGAGTCAAAGGACATAGTAAGTAGGTATCCTAAGGCTCTAAGGACTCATATTTTCAGGCTTTGGGGCCCAAAGACCATACTATAGAAGGCTTTTCGGCCTTTTTAGCCTTAGGGGTAATAAGTAGAGTTACCAAGTACCCTAGAAGGGATCCAAATTTGGGTTAATTATGGTACTTATAGCTCTATATACAATAACTACTTAATAAGTCCCCCGACCCTCCAAGTGGAGTTATCCTCATCGTATGTCGATTACTGTGGAAGTTGGACTGCTCAGTGGCAAGGCAGCCATCGTGGAAGCCGGCTTGGATGAACTAATCGGGACCCTCAAACGTCGGGCACAGACCGCACTTGACGTCGGAAGAGGACGCCTGCTGGATGCCTCTGGAAGAGTTCTGGATGTACGCAAGTCGATCAAGCATGCCAGGCTGCAGGACCGCGGCTTTCTCACCTTTCATATAAACAGAGTTCAAGTTCAAGCCACTGGCAGTGCTTTTGCAGCCATTCTTGGCGATGGATCGGTCGTGACCTGGGGTGATGAAAGCCATGGCGGTGACAGTAGTGCTGTGCAGGATCAGCTAAAGGATGTGCAGCAGATCCAAGCCATGACGCGCAGCGGCACCATCAACAGCGGGTTTGCTGCCTTTCTTAGCGACGGGTCGGTTGTGACCTGGGGCTATGTCGACAGCAAAGCTGTGCGGACATGTTTGAAGAATGTGCGGCAGATCCAAACCACAAAAGGCATTTTTAGGGGTGCTTGTGCTGCCATTCTTGACGATGGATCCGTCGTGGCTTGGGGTGAAGCCCAGGAGGGTGGTGACTGCAGTGCTGTGCAGGATCAGCTCAAGAATGTGCAGCAGATCCAGGCCTCTTTCTGCGCTTTTGCTGCCGTTCTTGGCGATGGATCCGTCGTGACATGGGGTAATGCTCAGTTTGGTGGTGACAGTGGTGCTGTGCGGGATCAGCTGAAGGATGTGCAGCAGATCCAAGCGTCTTTCTTTGCTTTTGCAGCTATACGTAGCGACGGATCGGTTGTGACTTGGGGTTCTGCAAGAGCTGGTGGCGACAGTAGCGCTGTGCAGGATCAGCTGAAGAATGTGCAGCAGATCCAAGCCTCTGGCGGCGCTTTTGCTGCCATTCTTCTCGACGGCTCTGTCGTGACCTGGGGTGATGCTCAGTTTGGCGGGGACAGTCGTGCTGTGGGGGACAGGCTGACGCACGTGCGGCAGATCCAAGCCACAAAAGGATTTGATATGGGTGCGTTTGCTGGCATTCTTGACGATGGATCCGTCGTGGCCTGGGGTGATGCTCTCCGCGGTGGTGACAGCAGTGCTGTGCAGGAACAGCTGAAGCATGTGCAGCAGATCCAAACCTCGAACTTTGCTTTTGCAGCGATTCGTGGCGACGGATCGGTTGTGACCTGGGGTTCTGCAAGCCATGGTGGCGACAGTAGCACTGTGCAGGATCAGCTGAAGGATGTGCAGCAGATCCAAGCTTCGAGCTTTGCTTTTGCAGCCATCCGTAGCGACGGATCGGTTGTGACCTGGGGTTCTGCAAGCCATGGTGGCAACAGTAGTTCTGTGCAGGATCAGCTCAAGAACGTGCAGCAGATCCAAGCCTCTTTCGGCGCTTTTGCTGCCATTCTTGGCGACGGCTCTGTCGTGACCTGGGGTGATGTTCAGTTTGGTTGTGACAGTAGTGCTGTGCGAGATCAGCTCAAGAATGTGTAGCAGATCCTAGTCCCGTTGCAGTAATTAGATTCGCTGCAGTGCATGATCAGCTGAAGATATCTTTCGACGCTTACCCTAGCAGCCGCCCAAACCGAAAGCAATTTCAAGATTCCGACATTAAACTGGGCTTGAGAGTACCATACTTTAGTACTTTCTCTGGAACTTGCTACTTAACGGGAGCTATTACGAAGTAACAGTCTCTACGTGTTTCTCCTTGTTTACTTCAAAGCCCAGTGAAGTGCCGACGAGTGAACGGGAACAAGTGGGTCCGTGCCCAGCCAGAGTCAGATTTCTTCTGAGGTTTAGGGTTTAATTAGGGTTAAGGGAGTTGGCACCTTTGTTGGAGGCGGGGTGGCAGTATCCAAGTATCCCAGCAGTGCTCTGTCCCCCTGCTAAAAGCCGAACAGTAGGATGATACCCTTAATATTGAGGGGCTACTGGGGGACCAACACAGTAGCCGAGTAGGTAACCTTGAACCTTTTGTGGGCTTATATAATCCTACCATTATTGGAAAGGTTAACCTTGTTTTGGCTAGGGTTCTCAGCCACAAAGTTCAGAGAGCGACCCCCCTCTTACCTTCAGAGGCTGAGCGGTTTCTTTCCAAGGCCCGCCAAACCACGCCGGCATAGACCCCGAACAGTCAATATGCCCAATAGCCAGTACGTGGAGGGTCGGGGGACTTACTGTGTACTTACTTGAAAGTACCATAACCCCAATTAGGATGCCTTTTAGGGTACTTATAACTCTACTTTACTACCTACATACTAAGTCTCCCGACCCTCCCTTGCAGATCCTCTTATCGTCCCCTTATAGATCCCTTTAAAGAGCCCTGTAAGGAACCCCTTTATCCTCCAAGTAGGGTTTTCGGGTTTAGGGTCATTCAACAGCAGTTCTATGAGGATGCTTTCTCGGTAGTCTAGATGGGAGTTTCCGAGAATTAGGGGCACCTTATTTTTGGGGTCCTTATGGTAAGGATCCTACTATTCAGGGTACTATATCAGGGTCCGCCATTTTCGGAAACTCCCAGATAGAGCTTGAACCTTTAACCCGGAAGCCTCCACAAGAAGCCCGAAAGCCACTTTATTCCAGATGCAAGCTATCGATTAACAATGTATACCCTCCTGCACCAAACAAGGCACCCCATTAAAGGTTACTCCCAAGAAGAATTGAACTTGCAAGTTAACCCTTGGATCTAAATTAAACCCTGATCACAATTAGGCTTATCGTGTTGGGTTTAGCGCTACGTCCCATAGTAAACCCCAAAACCCTAAAGCCCTAAACACCCATGACCCTACAGATCGCAAAGCCTAAAAGGGTTTAGAGGTTAAGGTTTATAGGGCTTAGGGTTCAAGGTTTAGCTAACCATTGATATTATGGGAGCTAAGGAGCCAGGGATGGTGATAATCCCTATCAAATAAGGAGCTAAAGAGCCAAGGGAACCCGCAAAACCACTGGTTAGTTAGGGCTTAGAGTTAAAACCCATTATGCAGCCGCAGGTCCATTTCAAGACCACGATCGAACACCTCTGGGAGGTCGGTGATATGTGCAAACTAGCGGAGAGTTTGAGATTTAGGGTTTAAGGGTTAAGGTTTCGGGTCGGGGGTTTAGGGTTAAGGGTTTAGGGTGAGAACTACAGGGGCCTGAATGACTGGAGTTTCTACGGAGTTTTAACACTAAGCCCTTTTCCATCTTTTATGGCCCTATAGTACTCTTCTCACAAAACAAGTCCTTCAAGGGAAATGTAAAGCCAACCAGTCAAAGACTTTAAGTTTGCACCCTTAACGTTTGTAACCCTAGGTTTGGGGTCCCAAATACCCCTGTTAAGGGCCATATTCCATGGTTTAGGGACGCAAACCCAAGGGTACAAACCCTCGGGGTACAAAGGAAACCTCCTTGAACCAGAAGGCCTTCGTCTGTACACTTTGCCGTGATCTTTCAGCCCCTGTGGCCGACAGGTACGCGCGTCGGGCTTTCCGCGTTACTGCCGAAACAGAGGATCCATATATACTTCCACTATGGAATTAGGTCTCCAAAGCCATAACAGGGATGGGATTTTGGGCCCTAATTCCATAATGGTGGTGTGTATGGACCCTCTGGGATAGAATGGACCCTACATTATCCGCAATAGGGAGCATTCCTACACATCATACCATAATCGCTAGCCTAGGGCACTTAACCGATCTTGCTCAGCAAGCCCGGCTGCGTTGGTAGGGCAGATCGGCGAAGCAGCACGACTGTGTGCTATTTTAGGGTTCAGAGTTTGTGGCCCATAGAACTTGGGTCTTGCCCGCCGCATTCTAAACCCCTGACATTCTCACAGCGCCGGACGACAAACCGCCAAAAGCTTAAAGTGAGGCTACTACACGGCCCCAAGCAATTGCCATACTATTTTGGTGTTCCTTCTCATAACTAAAGCATATAATCTACCCCCCATACCTCTATTCTAATTATGAGGGTCCCTATATTACGGCGATTGAGGCTGAAGCTTCACAAAGTATCGCAGTGCCTCAGACGCAGCTGCGTTTACTGTTTCGAGATGGATGTTGATGAGTCTGTGGCTTTGGGGAGGGGTTCAGGGCTTCATAGTGAAGGGCCCCAAAGAAGCCCCAACATAAGCTTGGCGTTCTTCTGGTTGGCTCTTAGGACTTTAACTTTTTGTGTTTGTATACGAATCCCAATAAGGAGGCTAAAAGTTTAACTTTTTGGACGGGGTTCAGAAATCTGCCAAGTAAGTTTTTCGGTGGGGTAGTCGGGCTATTCAGCTTCATCCCCGTACACTGAGACAGAGACGGCTTAATGATAAACCCTAATCTTGGATCATAAATTCCGTAAGCCCTAAACCCTACAAACCCCAAGCCTAACCTAGATTTTAGGGTACGCCTTGATATGCCTCGATCACCGTCACAGTGCCACATACCCTTGCTTGGCGATTTAGGCGCGCTATGGCGCACTCACATCGTGGCGCTCAAGTTTAGGTCATGTAGGGCAGGGATTTACGGTTCCAAGAGATCTAGATTTCTATAAGGGTTTTATATGGGGTTTACAGGCGATATTAAATTAGGGCTCAAACCGACCAAGCAGTTAGGCACTCGTGTTTAGAATAGTGGTGCCTTGTAGGTTACTATGTGGGGGAAAATGAATGCGTACTTGGATGTTGAGGGAGTCGCCTGGGCTATCGCTGTGCCATGACTTGGCTAGAGTGTTTCTATTACTCGGAGTATACAAATTGCACCTACTTTGACGTCCAGAGTCCATAAGCCCCATAAACAGTACTATAGGGGCCTGAATAATTACCTATAGCCTACACTATTGTGGAGTTTCCTTATTATATTTATAGTATAATGGCCCCCAAAACCCTATTCTAATTATTAAGGCCCCTATATTACGCACTCCGTGTTGTTTGGAGACTTAGATTGTTTGTCATTATTGGGGCAGAAGTAGAGTACCTTGAGACTCCAACATCCTTTAATTAAAGAATATGCCTTAAGCCTTAAGCCATTTATAAAGGATCCTACCGATCCTACTAGAATTTAAGGCAAATTCCTCAATTAAAGGATGTTGGAGTCTCTGGGTACTGCGAACTCTCTGACTCGAAACTCTTATCCCTGCAGTAAATACTCGAATGGCGACAGCTTATAGACCAGCCTCAACGACGGTTAAAGCCCTGATACACCCTAAACTTACCCTTAGACCCTAAACCCTAATCCCCTAAACCCTAAACAAAAAACCTACAGTAGAAGCCCAAAAGTTCAATAGTTGGAAACCCCATAGCCTCAACCCTTAAGAGTAATGTAGAACCCAGCACTATTTGGCTTCAATCCGGTTTCCAACTTTATGGGGTTCACTGTAATCCTTAAGCCCTCAACCCGCAACAATCTCTCCTTAAACCCGAAACCCTAATCCCCTAAACCCTAAACCCTAAACAAAGACAAAAAAAGCCTAATCCTTAAGCCCTCAACCCGCAACAATCCGGTTGATGATATAATCCTGCATTACCCTAATGACCCTAAACTATGGGAATTATGATGTCTTCGTTATTAGGGGTAATGCAGGATTTACATCATCAACCGTAGGATGCAGGTCGGTGGGGTAAGCCTTCAACTAAACCCTAAACCCTACACCCTAAGCCCTACACCCTAAACCCTAAGCCCTCAACCTAAAACCCTAAGCCCTAAGCCCACAACCCTAAACCCTAAGCCGTCAACCCTAAACCCTAAACCCTCACCCCTAAGCCCTCAACCCGCAACTCCAGTCTCTCAGGAAGAGCAGGCGAGGCAGATGTTCGAGCGTGAGTGGAAAGCTTTTGAGGAGGATTGCCGAGGTCCGGCTTCAGTTCAAGCGGTTTAGGATTTAAGGGGTTTAGGGTTTAGGTTTAGGGTTTAGGGTTTAGGGGTTCAAGTTACCCAGTTTAGGGTACATAGGGTTTAGGGTTTCAGGTTTAGGGGTTCAACCAGTTTAGGATTTAAGGGTTTAGTATTCCGGGTTCGGGGTTCTGGCTTCTGGTTTAGGATTTAATGGGTTTAAGGTTTTGGGTTAGGGTTTAGGGTTTAAAGGTTTCCGGTTTGAGAGTATCTGGCTTAACTGGTCTAGAGTCTAGGATTTAGGATTTCGGGCTTCTGGGTTCGGGTTATAAAGTTCCTGGTTTAGTGTTAAGGCCCCAAGGGTCCAAGTACCCAATCATCATATACTCTCCAACACCCTATCTACTATTTGCTTAAGAACCCCCAAAAAATAAAGAATATATTCCTTATGGGGGTAATATCGGGATTATTATTTTTATTTTTTGGTGGTTTCTTAAGCAAATAGTAGCTAACCTACATAACTACCATCCCAAAACCGAGTACCTCATTATTGGGTCCTTTGGACCCTTGGGGAGGTTGTCTGGTTCAGGGTTATCGGCTTTTAAAGCATGGAAGCCCGCAGCTTCGCTTTGCTTAAGACCCCCTAAGGGTCCACGTACCTAGGAATCACAAGCTCTCCTAAATATTGAGCTTATAGGGTTTGTGGGGATTTGGGGTTTAGGGATGAGGGTCCTGACCTTGAGGGTCCAAGTACCCAACAAGCATATACTCTCCTAAATATTGAGCTACATATAACTACTATCCTCAACCCAAGTACCTAATGATTGGGTCCGTGGAACCTTAAAACCCGAATATAACCCGAATACCAACCCCTTTTCGAACCCTTATAGAACCTTCTGGGAACCCTAATTATAGCCCTAAACCCTAAACCCCAAGACATCTACCCCTAACCTTAATTATTGGGTCCTTTGGACCCTTAGGGAGATGACTTGGTCAGGGTTGGGTGTTAAGGGGACTGGGTTTTCTTCAAATGGGAGTTTCCAAAAATAGGGGACCCTAATATAGTACCCTAAATAGTATGATCCTTAATATTCGGACCCTAAAATGAGGTACCCTAATTTTCGGAAACTCCCAAATAGTGGCTTGCTAGAAAATGGTTGATGCTATACGGTTTGTGGAAGGATCGCTTTGTAGTGTAGGGTCCTTAAAACTACATCTGCACTTGTGTAACACCCTTTTCTCAGCTCAATTCTTTGTGTTTACTGGGTGTAGGGTTTTGCTTCCCTACCTGCTTAGGTACGGGTTTAGTAAGGGATTTGGAGGATCCTGGCGGTGTCTTTTGGCTTTAGGGTTTGGGTTGCGGGATTGTGGGGTTGGGCATCTACGGACGGTGGCTTGGGTTTGCTGTGGGCTTCTTGAAATTACTTGGGGCGTTCTGTGTTGCTTCCCGTCCGGCGTGTCTTGCCCGTTCCTTCGAGGGTTCTTGGCCTTTTGCTTTTGGGATCCTTCATTGGGGGGGACGTGGGGGGGGTGCAGGGTTCGTTTCCGTCCCTCTTGGTTCTTTGATGGCTGTCCGGTAGAATCCGATGGCTCTCAGGGGTTTACGGTTCAGGGGCCGAGGGGTTTTGGGGCTTCAGGAGGTTAGAGGTTCAGGGGTTTGGGGCTTTCGGGTTTTAGGGTTTAGCGGTTTAGGGTTTAGGTTAGGGCTTAGGGTTTTGGGGCTTTAGGGTGTAGCGGGTTTAGGGCATCTGAGTTCTGGTCTTGCGATCCAAATCGGTTGGCTTGGTGCTGCACCTGCAGCTACCAACCCGCCTTTACCCGCAAACCTGAAGCATTAGACCCAAGACCCCTAACCCTAACCCTCAAACCTCAACACCCAGACCCCGAAACACAGCTAATTCCTGAACCGTAATCCTAAGTGGAAGCTGTAAGAGAACCCAAGACTTTAAGGCTCTTGGAGACTTTGTTACTTTGTTCCTTTTTTGGTTCCGGTCTTCTTTATAGGGGTCTCCGAGAAAAGTAGTTTTTTGCTTACCCTCCAAGGGGAGTAGAGAAGAGGACTCCTTTAATGATCCCGCGACCCTCAACCCTAAACCTGAAGCACAGACACTTTGGAGGTCGCTTTGAGCGAACGGCCCGCTCCAGAAAGCAGCTGTCCGAAGAGGCACCTTTTGTGCACTTAGGGTTTAAGCTCGACGGATCGATAACAGCTTCTTCATGGAATCTGTAAGACTTCTTCAAGGCTAGGGGTTCCTCCATGGTTGTACAGTTAAGAGATCCTTTGAAGGGTTCTATGAGGGTTCGTTTGGGGGTTATGAACATAGGTTCAGGGTTCAGGCTTCCCTCAACCTACCCTCTATAAACCCTAAACCGTAAGACCCCAAGGTTTTAAACCCCCAAACCTCTAAAAATCCCCAGAACTCTAAGACCCTAAACCCCTAAAACCACAAATCCCCAGAACCCTAAACACCCTAAGACCCTGCACCACCAAAGCTCTGACACCCCAAACCACTAAACCTCCAGAACTCCAGAACCCTAAAAACCCTAAGACCCTATATACACCTTTTGTTCAGGGACGCATGGCTCGATCCAGGGCCCCCTAAAGGCAATAAGCCTTGCCCTGGCAATCCTCATAGGATGAGGGTCGGTAGGGTAATCCAAATTATTTAGAGGATCATGGGACTTAGTAACGAGCTAGGGCGTATAAACAAGTTAAGTTTACTTATAACTACTTGTAACCCTAAGTAAGCTACGTGTATCCTTACTCACTAAGTCCTATGATCCTCCAAGTAAGACTCCTTACATAGAGGGATCCTTAATCCCACCTACCTTCATCCCACCTTGCTGGGCCTCCGATTATGATCTCCCAACTACTAAGCTATAAAGCTGCTGTCCTAAACACAAGTACCTATTTGTTGGGTGCATTGGGCATTTTAAGGTATGGACCACATGTGCCTCAACAAGCGAGGGGCTTGTACTCTTATACTATGATCCCTTTTATTGGGTAGTTGTCAAAATTACGGCCCCTTTTTGGATACCCTAAATAATAGGTACCGTATTATATTAGGGACCCAAAGAGGGCTCCTAATTTTGACAACCACCCTTATGACAGTTGAACCTTAAACCGTTTTAGTGTTAGGGCAGTTTCGGAAGTCTGGTTTTGAGGATCCCGCGGTTTAGGGTTTGGGGTTTAGGGCTTATACGGTTTAGGGCTAGGGCTTCTTCAGGGTGTATAGGTTCAACGGGTTTCTAGGGTTTACAAGGATTGGGGCTTAGGGTTAAGGGCCCTGACCCTAAGAGTCCAAGTACCTAATAACCCAGACTAGAGGGTCCAAGTGCCCAAATTGTAGGGTTTTAGGTCACAAAATCGTTCACTTGGACCGTTAGGGTAATCATATACTCTCCTACCTTAGGAACGTTTTCCTCAATATAATTCCGGCGTGGGTCCCAAACCCGGGGTTTAACTTCAAGAACCGGGGTTTAGGATTTAAGGAGATTTCTGTGCTTTGCCCACTACTTGATTTCATGTTTCCGAAAGCTAGAAACCTCTACACTTGCACGCCTACAGGGCTCATAATCAACTTCTTTCGAAGAAAAAGTCGGTAACCGATGATATTGTCACTTCCGCGTTAAAACTACTCTCGTGACTCTGATGCCGTTGAATGCTCGCCCGATGTCTGGCTTTTTCTCGGATCAGCGGCGCTTCGTCTCGATCAAAAGGCCTGAATTGACCCACTCGGAATACGCAGATTGCAAGTAGCGCTCTAACGTTCTTTGCACCGCTAACCTTGGTGCCACGCGGCGGCTCAATCGTGACGGTCGCCCCACCAGATCCTCGCACATTTGTGTCGAAAACACGAGTGGATTGAGACATTCGTATCCACCATTTGCAGCCCTCAACAGGTCGATCGCGAAATGATGGAAAGGATGTAGCTTCGGTTGGAGTGTGAACAGTGTTTTCTCCTGAGCATGCGCTAGCTGAGCACACTGCTCGTACCTGCGTAGGAACTGGCTGGCCAATTGGCCAGCTTCGTTGGATCTCTCCACAGAAAGCCACACGTCTTCAGCATATAAAATTCTGAAAAGCTTGTTGGCAATCCTGACAGCTGAGAGGGCCTTCTCCAGCAGTGGATCTCCTAATGGATTGCATGTCTCAGCCCATTCCAACATATTGGTTGTGACGGTAGCCTTGTACCAACCACCTTTCGGGTAGTCGGTCGATGCAGACCAAAAAATCATATCCTTCGTGATCTTCGATAGCAGAGCAGATCTGCGAGTCGCCTTGCACCAGCTCACATACTTCGCGGAGATTTTCTCCAGCCGCACTTCAACGTTTCCAGACTCTTGGTTGGAAAGCAGAACGATAACGGATCCCATCAAGTGCTTTCCCACACCTAAGTGGAAGGTGTGGAAAATGTCAAATGCGAAGTGATCAGGTAATCTTCCCGGCGAGTGCGGGACACGGGCAGCAGGCGGAAGGCTCTTGAAGGGTGACGAAGCATTGAGCGTGTGTGCCCAAGCTGGGTGTCGTGTACCAATACACTCAAAAGGAATGCGATCGGTACCCGCTTCGCACAAGTGACAAATTGGCTTCGCAACTTGGTTGAGCTTTTTCACGGTGTTGGCAAAGGAGCGGTCTAAATGACCAGACTTAACCAAAAATGGCCAATCTCCCACTGTACGAATCAGTGCCACCCAGTAGCACTTCCCTTGGTCTTCGATGCCGGTATTGATCATGAAAACGGCGTCATCATAGATCTTTTCCAAAAGAGCCTCAAACGATTTGTCGCCGTCCAAATAAAGATGTCGAGGTAAGACTGCTGTAATGAAGCGGGTTGTGTATGAGTGACCTTTCATGTTCAACTTTTGTTTCAGATACGCCTTCTTTACTCCAGCTTTTTTCTGTGACTCCAAACCATAATTCGTGCCACGGCCTAACACACTATGGTAGGAGAGGATCATACATGGGGCGCGGCGGCGGCCACGCCCCTCATCCCCATGCAGCACGATCGCGGCTGTCCGCCCCAAGGACAGACGGTTCTCATCGGCCATCCTGTATACCGGATGATTCGGCTCGATGCGGCGAAACTTGTTCCACCACGATTCCCAAATTTTCTCTGATCTTTGAGCGTCGGGTCTGACCAGGCCAGCCAATATGTGCCAGTTATTGGAACGAAGAAGAAAAGTAACCCAGCTCTGCAGACTCAAGGTTTGCAGCTCCAGAATGGAAACTTTGGAATCTTCAGAATTCGTGGCCACTGAAACCGTTGTGAAAGGAATCGGTAATGATAACTTCAACTTCTTTGCAAAAAGTGTCCGGGTGGCTTGTTCAGAATGATACAGGGAGCACTTTGCTAAAGCCTCGAGGCCTCCACTGCAGCGAGCCTGATCTCGCCCCACGTCCGCGACGACGTTGCGGGCAGTTCTGATGGCCGCCCGACAAGAAGCCTCGGCCACCGATGTTTTTGTTTATATGGTTCAAGAAAGAAACTGCTGAAAGTGCCACACGTCAATACAAGCACACACGGCCGGTTGTGATCATTTTCGCTCGCTTCCCCCGAGTTTTGCTTCAGTGAGACGATTTGTTTATGTGAATATCCGGAGGATACTTGAAAGATCTGTACACAACATAAGTCATGAAAATATCATTCGTCGAGACCAAAGAAGTCTGCACCGTGTCCCCGCCGGATTTGATATTGCGGCAGCCCTCCGTGCCTTGCCGGGACCCGAACTTTGACTCGATACATGTCTGGAAACAAGCTCATCAAAAGAAACAGATTTCAGCCGAGCCACCTTCAAATCTCGCAATGAGGGCAGCTTCTAGCATGGACGGCCCGAAAGGCTCTTTTGAAACGTAGAGAACCTTCATGTGACTCCACTTGGCTTTGTCGTGCTGGTAGCCATACAGTGAATTGGTGCATCGCCACATTGCATTGTGCGTGTAGCCGATTTTGAATATCATCGGCCGGTGCTTCTTGTGGAGGTTTTCGAAACGCTTTATGGCGTGCCACAAGACTTTTCCACTCGTGGCATTTTCAGCTGGGAGATCGAAAGTAATGCAACCAAGTCGAGCACACTCGGCCTGAAGATTGGAAAGTTTTGTAGAATCGTTCAGTTCAGAAACCATGGAGTCGGACTTCACAGAACTGCTTTGGATGCTCATGTTGCTGGGGTCTTCAGCCGCGCTCGCCAAAGGTTTTTTCCCCAGCACCCCAAGCTTGCTATCGGATGCACACTCGGGCTTGCTGGACCACGGAAAAGGGCCTTCAGATTCCTGACAGATTGCTGGCTTCAAAATGTATACGACTAAGTTAGTTCAGTTAAGAAAGATTTGATGTGTTCAAGCCCATGAAACACCAAAATATGTATAGAATGAAACAGTCAAGCATCATCTCGATGACACGTCAGTAAGTCCAACAGCTCATCTTCTGGGCTTTCGATGGAAGTAGACAAGGCATCCATGGCACATAAACCCTCCACCTTTCCCCTTCCCATACATAGATCCACAGATTTGTTTTTGTTCGAAAGAACCGCAGATCAGGGCATGGAGTGTATTCGCGAAATGCAGAAGAAGACTAAGCTCGTGGCCCCATCGCCGATCTCCTTGCTCAATCCCCTCACCACATGGCCTGAAGGTTGACCTGGCGTGGGGGATAGTACGAAAACTCATTGATTCGAGATATTGAGTTGGTGGGCTGCGACTGATCAACTGCAGACAATCACTGATTTCTTGCATCCAGCACTCCCCGGGATGCTGCTAAGCCGTGAAACAGGAGTGTGCAAGCTCGCTCTACGGATCATACCGCAGATCTCGATCGATTTTTTTGGGGGCCCGGTTTCATCTGCAGCTCGCGCTACAACCCTGCCCAAACACATAGAAACATATCAAGTGTGAAAACTACTTCTTTGGCTTGGCTTTGCCCTTAGCCTTCTTACCATCATCAGCACTCTGTGGCTCCTCGGTTTTCGAGGGCTTAGCTTTGGCCTTGGCCTTAAGCTTGGCGTCATCTTCGTCCTTCGTGTAGTACTTCTTGGCATTCCTGCCCACAAGGCTATTCAGTGCTCAGCAGAAGCCTTTGGTATCGGTACTTGTGGGGCCAGCTGTTCAAGTCAAGCTACATTGCTAGTCATATATTACTAGAAACTCCAATATCTACGGAAGTG